AAATGGGGCTATTACGTTGCTGCTGCTATTCATGAGTACAAATGTGTGCAATTAAGATACAGACAAAGAATAATAATCACTTAATAAAAATAATGCTCTTGAAGGATTGGTCACAGAGAACTACCTCATATTGTATAACAGTTGTCTGTAACTCTGTGGACTATTTTCATTGTCTTCGTAACTAAATGTCTTTCATATACCGTACGAAAGACACATGAACCCACAGTCTTTAGTCTTTAGAGTCATTCGCTCTATAGGTGGTAATATTAGTCAAGAAATACTTTTCCATCCAAGACAATAAAGCACGCTATAAAGCTCTGTAAAGCTGCAGACTGGTGATAATGATCTGTAAGGTGCGTTCTTCTGTAAGCCTATGACTAAAGGATCAGTGCCAAACACTTCTCATCTCAATGCACCAACTCGTACCATCGTCAGGACAAATAGTGGATGGAGATTCACCTTCATTCACATTCATTTTGCAGAATTTCTGGATATTTGTGTTAAAAAAGTAATTGAAATACTTTCTAGATATTTGATGCTGTGCAAGGTGAAATATGATGAATGTGTTCAATCCCACACTGACTGTCCTACGTGATGCATATGTGTGAGAGATGTGTTAGATTTAGGTCATCCTGCGGTCCCCTGACAGCCATCACTAACCCAATATCTTGTTTCAGAGAGAGTGAGCCTCCAGCATGTTTCTTTTGGCCCCCCACCAAATCCCAAAAGTATGAAAATGACCCATCCATTCATAGCCTGCAGCTCTTTAACGCCATCAGCCTTTTGACAAACCGCCACCCGGCTGAGAAACCAGACCTGACTGGCAGAACACAACTCTGCCCCCTGCTATTACCAACCGCAACCCCCCTCCCCCACCAAGCAAGTAAGCAGGGTCATTTCAAACCGTTTGTGAGGCCACATAATTCAACAACCACAAGGCCTGGCAATTATTGCTCTGCGGACAGCCCAGATAAAGTGTGTTGGCTTCCTCTCGACTTGCTATCAGCGCTCTCATACGCTGCCTGGCTTGAGCTCTTCCCCGCTCAACGTGTCACAACCATCTGATTATCGGACCCAGGAATAGCTTGACATGTTGTCTCTGGGTGTGCTCTCCCTGTCTTTTTGTTAGGATGTGACTTCTATGCCGCTAGTATAGTACCATCGCTCTGGTGGTATTAAAGCGTGTAACCTCAGACAGGTACAGCAGTACCAATTGTGCATTGCGTGATGCATAACAAAAAGTCAGAAAGGCTTACAACACCGCCTCGCTGACCAAGAAAAAGAGCAAAAGAGTAATTATGTAGTTCTGGAGTTCAGCATCATTATTGCTGCTGCTGTTGGCCTGAAGGGAAAAAACGAAGCGAGCTCTAAGGAAAGGCATGATTCAGATGCAGACGGGATTACTGGCATTCCTGCGAGGTATTCGCCAGATTCCTCAAATACATTTATGCACCAACAGCGTCAGGTGGCAGGTGTCAGGTGCCAGGTGCCAGTGCCAGGTTAGGATGGTTAAGAATGCCCAGCGTGGAGCTGCAACTGGCACCGCACCAGGGAGCAGGCTTTTACTCAAACACATGGTTGACTGATCCTCAGTACCAGACTTTGCGTCACATTTCTTGGTCAAACAGCCGAGCCAAACTTCGAACTTGATGTGGAAGTGATGTATGAAAGCTATCAAGTGTTCAAATGGAAAACAGATGCAAAATGACGTTTTCTACGTCCTCTTGTGTTCCCCATGTGGTTTTGGTATTCGGTGGCTGGTCATTGAAATGTCTTTCTCTGATATCGACTAATTTGTGTGTGAGCTTGTTCTGTAGGGCTGATGGTTCGCGTACGGATAATCTGCACATCATTGAAAGATGGTCTTTGAAAATACAGATACGAGGTCCCCCAGGTAGCCAGCTCGCCAGAGGCAAAGCATCCATATTAACCCATAAAACACCATTAGACTATGGTTCAACCAGAGCCCACATATTATTAGACGGTAGTCTGAAGGAGAACAAGTGGATGTGGGAGAAGGCTGCATTATTAAATCCACAGGTCATAACCAATCGTGTGTCTTAGTTATTTAAACCACCAATGGTGACAACGCAACCCCAGAAACAACGGTTGAAAAACTACTAAATGATCTTCAACACGTTTGATGAGGTGGTTAAGGTCCAGCATGAAGACCTCCATGTTTATTGGACGTCGCCGATCTGCTGTCTTTCATACTTGGAATCATAAAGGCAGATGAGAGGAGAGTTTTGGACATCGATCATTTAGAAATTTCCATTAGACATGGAGGAATGTCTGAAGTGCCAGATTCTGGCAATTGCATGAGTAAGCTAACTTTTGGTAATACATAAGTGACTCACATTTCCTTCATGTTGACTCTTTTTATGCCAGAACGTGTTCCAGCCTCTGGACTCCGTTCAGCTTTATTTTAGAGGTATGAGGGTGTGTTGACAGATCACCTCATTCTAGTGTTGTTAGACATCTGAAACTAATACGATGAGGAAAAGAGAGGGACAGGCATATTTAACATTGTGAATAAATCATTTGAACAAGTTACAAAATACCTCGCTGTATATATTTACACGTTTGTATGCAAAGCTGAATGAGGGAATTCTCTTCTCCATGAACGGATGCAACACAAAAAGGAAAGCTTTGTGACTCCTCCTGGGACTTTTTAGGGTGATACACTAATGTTTATGCTTTGAGCTCACTTGGACACAGATGAGATGGACCTCAGGACCTGAGGAAGACTGACTTGTGTCATGGTCCCTTTTGTGAAGAGGAATTAAATCCCAAATAAGGAAAATTAATGTTTCACCTTTAACAATATACTAATAAGACTTTCCCGTGATCGGTGCTTTCATGATGTGTACAAGGTCTCACAGAAGAATGATTCATTAAAGAACTTTACTGACATCTACTGGTAAGAGTAAGTAAAGACATATGTCTAATATATTGTTCACTTGATATTATTTGGGTGTACAAAATATTAGAACGCCACCACTGAGGCATAAAGACCGACTACGCTGAAGCGGTTTGGAGAACTCCAATGATAAAGTCGTATTGTCGGGCTGTAATGCAGACATTCCTGGTTCATGTATTCAGTGTCCAGCCTCGGCTTCATACCAGTGACCAGGCAGCTTGTTTGGGTCTTAAACGGAAAGTCTGCCTGAGATGATTCTCTTTGGTCTGTTGCTTATTAACTACCTTAGACTAGTGGAATGTGCATGTTGGGTAAAACCAATAAAACAGTGTCAGATATCAGCATCAGACACATGACCAGCAGACGTTATTACATGGTGGAGCACCGATCCCCAGCTCCTCCAGTCCGCATGTCAAAGTGTCCCTGGGCAAGATACCGGATCCCAAATAGCTGAATGAATGTTGACATTTAGTGCAAGACTCTCAGAGTAGGCAGAGGACTAGAGAGGCGGGACACAAATGCCAGTCCACGTCACATCCATCAGAACAAGATAAAGTTCACAGGCAGCATTTAAGTGACTGAACGAAAGCCTTTAAGTGCACTGAGTCCAGTTGTTCATGAGTGGGATTTGATCAGAGCTCTCAGGGACTCAGGTGAGGCAGGTGAACCCACAATGCTGGATGTGTTTGTTGAGAAAGAACCTCTTGAATGAAGAAAAGAAACTGCTGCTCGATGGAGCGAGTGTGTCACAGTGTCATCTGGTGGCCATTTATGGCATTTCAATATTTACAAATAACCCAAAACTACATTGATCAAATGGCAAATATACTTGACAAATAGTAACACCAACAACGTTGTTGTCCAATCATCTTGCCCAGTGTGCTGATAGTTAAGGCATCTTAGCTTTCCCTGTTCAAGTCACATCTCTTCTCATCCAGGGGACGGCGCAGGACATGCAGCAGGGATTCTATGTCCCAGCTGGCCTCAGGAGAATGAGCTGGGGAGGGATGCGGGGGAGGGATGCGGGGGAGGGGAAGTCTGGGTCGGCCTGCTGACCTGACCGCAGATAAGTGGAGGAAAATGGATGGATGTTTGCTGGTCGTCCACTGAATGGAGCCTAAATGAAACAAAGACGTGGGGGGGGCTGTTTGTGTGGGTTTATCAACCTGCAGGTAAACGCATCAGCCAGGTGAGGTGATGCTCCCCTGTAGGCGTCTCCACATGGACACAGGTTGGACACCAATGCTAAATGGAGCGTAATCGTAAGGAGCTTTTCTAGACTCCCAAATTCCAATTTCTTTAACCCGTCATGTCATCATTCTGATGACAGAAGGCAGCACGCGCAGAGACCCGCCTGCCCCGAGTAACTACCATCCACACTGTTGCCCAAAGACACAGCGCCTGGAATCAAACCGTCTCTCCACTCACCCTGGACTGAACCCTGCTGCTCTTTGCTCCTCTGTCTGTCCGTGAGCTGGGGCTTCTTTTTACAAGAGTCCGTTCTTACTTTTGGGGGCCGAGGTGGACAAAGCTGCCTGAGTGTTGCAGTAAACTTGGGTTTATTGTTTTTAGAAGTGCAGATGGTTTTGATAAAAGATGTCACGGTGCCAGTAAATTCATTCAAGCATGTAGCTGCATCCTGCACACACTCCAATCAGCTCAGTAAATCTCTATCAAAGTCATACAGATGTGCTGTAGCTGCATGGAAGCCACAGTTTTATTGTTTTCAAACAAAATCACATCCATTTGCTTGTTTTTTTACTGTTATTCCACCTATGTTTCCTCGCCAAGCAGAGCCCATGTCATCACCGGGGGACATTTATTCAAATAAGATTAGACAGTATGAGGACGCAGCTCTACATCTCACTGTAATGGGAACATAATGGCTGAAATCAACATCCCCCTGACAGTCAAACAAAAGACTGCAGGGGGACAGTGGGTGTCAGACTGGAGGATGCCCTCGTCCCGGGTCAGCTCCTGGTCGCTCACGTCCCCTAAGCAACCGGCTGATTAATGCAAACACTGCGTTACTATGGAGGCAGAGACACAATCAGTTCAGCCTGCACACTGACCCGGGACAGCAAAGCAACCTGCAGACATGGAGGAGTCCCCTGCCGAGGACTCGAGACTGGACTTCATAGCGGAGTATGTGCTGCGGACTCTGAAACTGAAAGAGGACAAATGGCAGAAGTGCGTGTCCATCGAGGACAACCGGCAGGTGCTGCAGGAGTTCCTGGAGCGAGCCGAGCAGAGCACTCTGGTGGTGTCTGAGACGGCGTCCGGGCTGCTGCAGCCAGCCGCCGTCTTCCCCGCCAGCTCCAGCAACAAGGCGGTGTACTTTGTCAAACCCAGCAGGACAGCACTGCGGCAGGACTCCATGAGGGAGGACCTGTTGTACGGGACCTTGTCTCACGCTCCACTGCATCAGTTTTCTGCTCTAGTTGAGGAGGTAAGCAGCAGGGCACCGTGTTAATTATTGCTGGATGCAAAGAGTCTCTGAGGACTTACTCATACTTACTACTCACCCACAGCCAGAGGTGGAAAGAGTACTGAAAATGTGTACTCAAGTATGTAGAACATTTACAGGCAGTTTTACGGTGGCCGACACGTGCAAACGGCAAAACAAATCCACAGTAAAAAGTTCACTCAAAACACAACGGAAGTTCACCAGAGGGGGTCTGGACCTGTGGGAGATCGATCACAGTAACGACGGAGAAGAAAGTTAATGTCCTTTATGTCTTTTTCAAACTCTTGGCCGTAATCATGATCATCATTCTTTCTTTGCATAACTTTCTTTCTCAAATTCTCAGTCCTCTTCACACGCTGTGTGTTTTACCTCCAGGAACATTTGCCTGCAGCAGCAGCAGCGAGTTGGCCTCTGCTTATATTACGTCTTAGAATAATTGGATCTGACAGCCAATAAGGATTTGCATTGAAAAAAAAAAAAATCTGACGGTTTGAATATTATTTTAAATTGTGGGCACTCAATAGCGACTTTTGATTTTAAAAGTAGCAAAGTAGATCGATCACATGGTGTAAATTGTTCTCAAGTAGGAGTAAAATGACACACTTTAATAAAACTCCTAAAAGTACAAGTACCCAAGAAATCTACTTAATTACAGTAAGGTGAGTATTTATAATTCGTTACTTCCACCCTGCCCGTAGCTGAATTAGCCGTGACCCCTCTGATGATTGTATGAGGCCTAAAGTGGTGGAATGGTCTTTTATACTTTACACCACTTCACTACATCTCAGACAGCACATTATTGAGCATTAGAATAAGTGTGTACATGTACGCACTGTGATACATTAACAGGCCATATTCTGATGATTACACAGATTTTGCATTGTGGTTTTTACTATAGTTTTATAAACTAATAGTTTGTAACTTTTACTTTAATTCTCTTGGGTATTCTTAGATAACCTTTACTGAAGTAATGTGCACACTTTATACTCCACTTATTTCCGTTCACTCGTCCAGGTCGTGGCCCCACTTTTGTCCAACAGTAGGAACCACTCGGAATGGCCCCAGGTTGTGTCTCAGGACGTCCGACGCCACGTCCACTCGCTGCAGACCAACGTGTTTGTGGTGTCAGGCCGAGTCCAGGGCCACACGCTGCTGCCTCCCCCTGCAGGCTCCGACAGCGTGGAGACAGAAGAAAGGCAAAGAAGCACAAGGGACACGAAGGGTCACGGAGACGCATCACTTCATCCCACATCGAAAGTCGAGAGGGGGGAAGTAACAGATAAGAGCATCATCCACTCGGTGGAGTCGGCAGTGATTGGATGGAGCCATCAGATCCGCGCCGTCCTGGAGAAGGACTCCTCCGAGGCTTTGCTGGAGGGCAGGAACCCGACACCGCACACGGAGCTGCTCTTCTGGAAGAACAGGTCAGTCCTCCTCTTTGGATTCTCCACGCAGACTGAGTGTTTTGGGCTGAGAGAGATGATGCATTGGAGATACTCTCTGAACGCGCTGTGAGGCCCCCCAATGAATTATCATTCATGTACAACAAACACTACACATAAAGAAATACATTTCACTCGTAATATGTGTGAACCCTTTGAATGACCTGGAGGAGGAAGGCATAATACAGTCCCTCAAATAATGGAAATGCATTAACACAAATACGCTGTGTGTGTTTTTTTACTGGATGAAGTAATCATTTAATTCACAGAAACTGCTACTAAATGTTTTTGATGTTTCACACTGTTGCCATATTTTATTATAACAGCTACTTGTTAATCCGTGTTACTGGGATAACTCAACTGTGAAACCTCCCGGTGATAATAATAATAATAATAATCTTATTGTCTGGAATTATAAAAAAATAATTCCAGAAAAATATATTTTTGACAAACCAGAGTAAGCAGACCAAACATTTACTGGAAATAAATGTAAAATATCCACTGACCTCTGTCTGCCAGATGATTTGACTGCCGACTATAAAGTGTAATAATATGTAATATGTATACACTTAGATCCTGACAGACCCCGTTCACATGTCAGGAATAATCAGTGATTATAAATAACAAAGGAGCTTCCTGCTTTGGTGCCGTTATGGAGATGCTCTTATCGGCCCTGCTGCTGTACGACAGATATTTTGTCAGCTCTGAGGGACGGATCCTAAAGGCCGCTGTAACAAGGGGCCCATCAACATTTTGGAAAAAGCACAAATAACATTGAGTTGGTGAAGACATCAAAAAGTTAAAAACTCTCTAAACGATACTGAAGGTATGGACTAATGTTGAAGGAAACCTGATGGGCAGAGACTCAGTGTGAAAATGATATTGGATTTGGAGCCCCGACATGAGACCTGTTCATGCATGGGGGGGCATCCTGACAGTAGGTGTCCCAGGCCGAAGAAGGTTAAGCACATAGGAAAGACTTTCCCTACGAACTGCTGGACATTAGGGTGTCACTACACAACCCAGTGAGCTTCTACAAGTGTGACTGCATCATGTGTTTTGCCCTTGAAGATATGCAGACCTGGAGTGCATCCACTCCCAGCTCAAAGCCTCCAAGGTGGAGGCGATGGCGATGCTGTTGGAGGCTGTGGAGAGCAGCTATGCCCCCGCTTTTATTAACATGCAACAGGATGTGCTAGCAGGTAACAACACCATTTATGCACCCGACTCATTTCTGACGTGCAGCACATGTTTGGTTATTTACTTTTAAGTAGTATGGTGGACTTTCATTGACTGTAATCACTTCTCCACTCTTCAGCAATGGAGGAGGCAAAGGACATCTGCACCTACCTGAGGCCCCTGCAGCGTCTGTTTGAGGACATGGAGGACGCACAGTTTCCCGATGTGAGGCGTCATATCGGGCCTCTGATGCACACGGTGTGCCTGGTCTGGGCCAACTCCAGATACTACAACACGCCAGCACGCCTCCTGGTTCTGCTGCAGGAAACCTCAAACCTCCTCATACAGCAGGTCCATTGCGTTCTCAATCAATTTCAACAGCTTGTTACCCTTTATTTCTATTTCTTGTGTTAGCATCTTTGCTGCTAAGTAGTCATGGATGGGGTTTCTGAACATCACCTGTCAGCACGGGGCGGGTGGTACAGACATTTACTTTTGTGGGTCGAGCTTTTCTTCACTCTTATAAGCTATAGAGTTTCACAAAGTTTAAAAACCGGGAGCCCCAACTGACCTCACTAACCTTACTGCTCCCCAACACCAGGCCCGGGTGTATTTAGTCCAAGAGGAGGTTCTGAGAGGAGAAATTCTAGAAAGTCTCCTGAAGGTGCAGACCAGCTTGGAGATCCTGCAGCTCTTCAGAAGCACTTATGAGGACCGGAGGGCCAATCTAAGCCAGTACCAGAGGAACGGGGTGTTTGTGAGGCCTTGGGACTTTTCCCCACTGTTGGCCTTCTCCGGACTTGAGCGCTTTATCAATAGAATCAGAACCATTGAGGTGAGTATGAAAGCATTATGCCTTCCTCAAAAGCTGAAGAATAGTTACAGTATATCATATTTGGTACAGTGTGAGGATAGAAATGGCAAAGCTAGGCTGAGGTAAAACGTCAGACCTTTCATTAAATTCCTACTGCAGTTCAGCTCCATCAGCCTCCATTTTCCCCACAGGACATCCTGTTGACTGCCGTCGACCTGCTGAAGCTCGACAAATTGGGGATTGGGGGCGTGCGAGGCCCAGGACTCAGTCAGCAGGTCCAGTTGCTGCACCAAGAGTTTTTAGAAACGTATCAAATGTTCACAAAGAAGTCCAACGACTGCTTGGACGTCAACAACAGGGTGAGGAACGTCGGATCATGGCGGCTTTGTTCAGCTGCCTGCTCGGTTTTTGTTTTGTCAACCAACGTTTGCAGTCAGTGCATCTTTGCAAAGGTTATTTTTAAATATGAGGAACAGGCAAGTCGTTCTTTTGTTTTACCCAGCGCCTGGTTCCACCAGCGCTTGTGGATCCAACTGTGTCTCTGCCTAAATGGGATGACGTTGTTTCCAGTGCAATCTAGTTGCTTTAGCAAGATGTTCCTGACTGTCCAGCAGGAGAAGCAATGAGCCCATCGTGTACGACCCAGCCAGTGCTCTGTGCTTGATGGCTCTGAGTGAGCGAGATGTGAACAGGACTTGGTGTTTTGTCTGCCGGTCTAGCTGAGCTATCTGCCCTGCAGGAGTATGAAGAAGATGTGAGGGAGTTCAAACTTAAGGTGGACGACACAGACCGACAACTAGGAGCCGTCTTCTGTCAGGCCTTTGACGACGCCCCCGGGCTGGAACACGCCTTCAAGGTCCGAGAACTTAAACTCTTTTTGCTTCTCTCACATACATGCAGACATATTTATTGAAAGCCTTTCATCTGACGCCTGCAGGTTCTGGATATGTTTGGGGGCTTGCTGGAGCGACGCCTAGTAGCCGCAGCAGCGCTGGACAGATACCCGCTCCTTGTCTCCATGTTTGACAAAGAGCTGGACTGCTGTAAACACCTGTACAACAAGCAGGTCCAAACAGCGGAGGAGCTGGGTGAGAACAATACTTCACAGAGCTTCTATACAGGGCGCTTGGGCGTGTCATACAACGTTAGACATACATAGATACCTTTTGTCTATTTCCTTTTTTTGGTATTTTTTCCATTCACTGTTTGGGGTGGGGTCACAATAACTACCTTTGAGTGGAAGGGGGCGGGGCAATGTGATGGCCTACACGTACGTATCTGTAACTTGACTGGGAACGCTTCATGTCACTGACTTTGTATTAACGGTTCCCACTGATGGTTGACCTGCCCAGGATGGAGCCCAGTGAATAAGAACATGCCAGCAGTAGCGGGGGGACTGAGATGGGCCAAGGAGCTCCAGCAGCGCATCCAGGTCCCCTTCTCCAAAATGAGACACCTGTCCCCACCGTACGTCTCCTCCTTTTCTCCCACACAGCAGATTAAAGACTTTTGTTGTGTTTCCAGTGAATGAATGAATTGCTCTGCGTGGTGCTTTAAAGCTCTCGATAAAACAATGTGATGAAGTATTAACTAATAAATCCTTTTGCATGGGCTGAACACTGTGCAGCTTGCTGGAGTCTACAGACGGAGCCAGAGTCATCGCCAAGTACGAGGAAATGATGCAACTGCTGGACAGGTGTGTGTGGATCTTCTCTCAGGGTATTTCACATAATCTTACCGTTCTTCAATATATGTGTTACTGAATAAAATAATAGACAGAAAGATTAAACAGAATAAACACTGACAGAGGATTCTGGACTGTAATTATCATAAAAGCCAACAGGATTAAGATTTTGACCCTGTTAATTTACAGCTGGGCTGTTTTGATAATGAAACGAGTATTTGTGGTTGAAAAGCTTCCTGAGAGAAATGTAAAAGATGTGTGTGTAACAAGTGTGTTATCGGTGAAGATTAGAATTGTCGGGGATCACTGGCCTTTGCCACCCAAGCAGGACCCCCCAGGTTGAAGAGGCATTGCATTCAACAATGAGTAGCAGAAAACATCTGTTCAAATTAACAAAGGCTAATGGTGAGCTAATCAATAAAGCAAGTATGCTAAGTGCCGAGGTCTTTTATGGCTGCACTCATAGATGCAATTCTAACAGTCCTTTCCCCGCTTTGGTCTTTTGACAACTCTGAGGTGTCTTTTGGGTGCATTTGAATGTCATTGGCTTCTCCTTCAAACATGTCTCCTCCTGGATTGTCCCCTTCACATCCAGGTGTGAAGCTGCTGCTGCAATCTGAGACCTTCTCTGTCCTCTCTGTCCCTCACATTCCAATGCATTCAATGTAAATACATACGGCTTCATGCCTCAATGAGTGAATTTAACAAAGCATGCATAGTTTGTCTTCATCTTGTAACTAGTACACCTCAATTGATGTGGTCCAACACTCAAGACATTTGCCTCACTTGGCTGTCTTGTGTCCAGTTGCAGTTTACTACCTGACAGGAGAGAAAACTCCCAATTGGGGGAAATCCATAGGACGGCAATAGCATCCGTCCCCAGGTTTTAACGTTACATTGTGGCAGAATGTGACTATAAATTGTTATTTGATTGTATTGCATTCACTTTATCTAACATACAAATGCAATAACTACTATCTAACATCACACAAACTTCTAACACTAAACATTACTACATGTATTATAATTGTATCCACCATTGGGTGAGCTCTTCTACTTAAATCCCAACACATTCTAGTCAGGAACAGTGAATCATCGCCATGACCCACGCGTTTGATTGCCTCTGCGTCTGCGGTGCCCCCATCAGGAGATGAAGCTCACAGCAGAAATCCAATAAGGAGCCACAGCGCGCACAGTTGTCGTCATAATCGTGGCTTTTTACAGATGGATGTAGGGTACCGAGCCCTGACATATTGTCTGTTCCCAGAGACGAATCACTGTTCATCCTCATACCCCCCCCCCCACCTATCTAACCCTGCTTCCCCACCTTATGGACAAGTCACACCCACCTCCAACCTAAGGGATTGGGGAAATGTCTCAATTGTATGCCCTCCAGGTGCACTTTTATTTTATTTATTTTGATTCCACATTGTGAACCTTTTATCACACCTGTCCCTACTGAAATTACAGTCCCAGTTATTTAAGTTTATACCGTGGTGGGAAAAAGTTACAAATATTTCTAAATAAATAACAGATGATATTTAGTTTGATTGTCATTGCAGATTGTGTTCCCTGGGTTTTTTATTCCAGATACTCCACTGGCCTCTATAAGGCATGGACGGCGTCGGTGGGGGAGAGTTCCCGGTTCAACCTCAGCCTTCCATTAATCAGCAGGGACCCGGACACTCAACTGATCTCCGTCAACTTCAATCCACAGGTCTGAAGAATTAGAACTGATCCACAGGCTTCTTGTTTCAATAACAGGACAGGTTTTTATTTATTAGTTTTGTGATGAATCATGATATGTCCTACAGCTGAAAAAGAGACTACATCTTTAAATAAAGTTAATTGTCAGTCTCTTTAAATAGTTGTGTTATTATATACATTTATAGGACAGTAAGGTGGGAAATCCATCTGACTCGTAGAGGAACGTTTTCAGCGGAACTTTCTTTTGTGCGAAATTAAATTATTAAATTAAATATGTTGAATTTTGGCAAACGTTATCAGCTGCCTTGCCTGATGAAAACAGAAAGTCCCAATTGGTTGTAAATGTCTCTCTACCTCTGTCTAGTTGGTATCTGTGTTGAGGGAAGTGAAGTACTTGGAGGCCACACAAACAGAGGTCGCCATCCCTGAACCTGCGGTGCAGATCTACACCACCAGGGGGCAGCTGTGGCAGTACACGGCTAACCTGGAGCTCGCCGCCGGCCGATACAACAAGGTTGGCTGTTAGGCTGAGATCTGATTGTTGTGCTGCAGCTTCAGCCCTCCGTACACTAAGGCTGCTTCTGTGTGTGTGCAATGTTTATTCTCAGTTTCGCTTTACTCTTGTTTTTTTTTAATCCAATGACCCTGTCGATATTATCCTACTGGAAAAAATGCTTTGTCGAGAGTGTTTTCTATTTATTCCTAATGCTGCCTTCCCACCAAAAGCAAAGCAAATTATTTGTACTGGTAGATTCCATGCAAAGTCAACGCAGACGTGAATTTTCAACAGTAATAAACGGGAACCTCACGCAAAGATTCAGGATCTTCTCCTGCACCCAGACGAGTGGCCTCATGAAATAAGTCACTACACTACACCCCTTCTTCTCAATACAGGGCTGCTTGATACCAAAGATGTCAAAATCACAAAATTGGTTACATTTTACACGAATGAAATACGGGTATTACTGTGCATTGTAAAGAGGAGACACATTTGAATGTTGTTCAGAGATTATGCTAATGATGATGTGGATTGTATATGAAATTTAAATAATTGTTTCATTACTAGAATTCGTGCATGATATAGGCATCTTTTTGTCACGGTTACATCATTTTATTGCTGCCAAAAAGCTCAAGCACAGGTATTGCAGCTGCGTCAACGAGATGATTACATGGCAAAAAAACTTCATTCAACTTCATCACTTCATTACTTCAGGTAGCTTAAAATTCAAGTGTAATTAAGTCGTGGTAACATGTAGAGATACAGAAACAACGACTTTGATGAGGATTGCATCTCATCTTGATGCTTTGGGCTTGAAAAACCACACAGACGTGATATTAAACTGATATTTCTGTAAACGTTCTCTGTTCTCTGGCTGCAGGTGATGAACTCCGTGCTTGGCGTGGAGCATCCTCTGATTCAGGGTCAGCTCAGCGACATCAACGCTCAGCTCAAAAGAGCAGAGGAGAGTCTGACCTGGAACAGCCAAGGTTGGAACCCTGATCAGTATTATATCTTCTGGATCAAACAAATTAGTACGAGACAAGTGTGGCTGTAATGGTACAGTACATAGAAACCATTACCATGTAAGCATGTAAGCAATGCTGAAATACCGTCCTCATCTGATACACACCTCTCATCAGATCCAATGCTGGAGGGGGGGCGAACGGTTTGGCCGACAGGTGGAGGGGGGGATAATTGTCTGTCTGGTGCTCTTTGACCGCTGTAAGCGCCACATGCACGCTTCTTTAGGGCCGGGCCGGGTTTAGGGGTTGGGGGCGCACCCCTCATATAATGGTGGGGGAAACACCGTTGTATGACATGCATCCTGCATGCAGCTGCGTACAGAATAGGACTGTGATTTTCTGTGAGTTTCCCATGTGTGTGTGGGGTGTTTCGGCATCAGGACCATTGGAACTCAGACTGGCACACACTCCAACCCACCAAAACAGCAACCGATAGGATCGATGACTGTTGGGTTTTTTTGTGGGTGAGTGGGGAGCACGTTCGTCCTCCAATCAGAGGGTTGTCGGTTCGATCCCAGGCTCTGCTAACTCGCATGTTGATGTGTCCTTGGGCAAGTCACTTAACCCAACATTGCTCCTGTAGCTGCAACTACATTGTGTGAGTGTTAGTTTAGTTACTGATGGCCGGTGGCTCTGTGTGTGGTGGCTCCTGCCTGTCATCAGTGTATGAATGGGTGTGAATGGGTGAATATGTAGTGTTAAAGCGCTTTGAGTGGTTGGAAGTACAGTCCATTTATCATTTTGCTCCCCTCTTACTACTGCGGACTGTCATTAGTCTTGCCCTGGTTGCATACTCTGACACACATTTCATATTCATCCATTAAAAATGGTCTATTCTTTGGGCCTTTGGTTGACCATTTTCATCATCTATTACCCTCCAGGTGTTTGGCAGTATATTCAGGAGATGCGAGACTCTATCTGTGATCTGGAGAGACGACTCCGGAGGACCAAAGAAAACGTGGAGGAGATCCAAGCCTGCTTGAGGTCCTGGAACAGCCCCATGTTTGACAGAAAGGAGGGGAAAAAAGACGCACTGCTCTGTCTGGACGACAGGGCCGAGAGGCTTAACAGGTTTTACAGTCTGATACGGTCCTCTGGAGAAAAGATCCACTTCCTTCTAAAGGTATTTAAAACAGGTTTCCCCGTAGATTTTCTATGACTCTGTCTTTGCAAATGTCAAACAATGGTGTAGAAATTATGATTTGGTTTAAATGTAAGGATTTTTCATGTCTTAGAGCAACCTGCTGCTGTTCAGATGCGAACCGACCTCTGAGGAGTGGAAAGCCTACGTCGGGTACGTCGACGACATGGTCGTAGATGGATTCTTCAACAGCATTGAGTGCTCTCTCAAGTTCTTCCTGGATAACACGGGTAGGAAGGAGTGTAATAAGCAAACAATACAGAGTAAAACCACAAAAGCACCATTTTGGTGTTGTGGTGTGGTGTTACCTCTGTTGTCTCTAAGCCATAACATGCCGGAAAACAAACATGTAACATCCAAAAAAGACATCAGTATCAGCCAGAACTGACTTGGACAGTTTCCCAGAAGCACATCTTCTGGGATTATAGTGTCATTGTGTGTCAGTTTGTGTTGGCTCTAGACATAGAAAAGATCTGCACGGTTGCTGGGATGAGTTTCAACAGTTTAGATAGGAATTTGTTTCAAGATTTGGTAGATTGTTGCCAGATTCCTACTGTTTCCAGTTCTTCGTCCCTCCTTATTCTTCCTTGTCTCTCCTTGTCTGGGTTCAAAAAGTCCTTTCCTTTTATTCCACTGTGGCTTATATATCGCTGGCCGCACTTGTCTCCATGTCCATAAGTTCAAGACCGTTTACCACAACATTGCTCCCGATGCTGTGACTAGAGTGTGTGAATGTTAGTTGTGTGAATGAATGACATGAAGTGTTTTAAAGAGGAGAAAAGAGATATGCAAGTAGGGTCCATTGTTTTGTAATGTATTATTGAATATATTTATTTGAATTCGTTGATCTGGATGTATTAGTTTGACATTGGTTTAAAATGAAAAAATAACTCAAAGTAGATTCTCTTGACTCCATGTTCTTGCACTTGTTCTTGCCATATTACATTACGCCTGCAAGATTATTAGTCATCATTATTAGTTTGTCTCTCTATGTAGGATTCCCTTTATCCTTAAAATAGATGAAAGGCACAACAGGAATGACGTCTATGTTCTTATAAACGGTCATCTGAGTTTACAGATATAACCTGACAACCTTTACAAAACATCCCTCACTCAAGCTTCGCCTGGGTCAGGGGTCGGCACCTTTACTACCCAAAAAACATTTCACCCGGTTTTCACCAAAAAGAATTTGTCTCGAGCTGCAAAAGCTATTTCACAACTTAAAAATATATAATATCAATAATACAATTACACCCACCAGCCACTTGGTGCACCTTGCTACTAAAAGGTTGGACGCCTTTTGCCCTCAGAACTGCCTTAATTCTTCGTGGCATACTTTTAACAAGGTGCTGGAAACATAGAATCACACAGTTGCAGCAGATTTGTCGGCTGTGCATCTATGATGGGATCGATCTCCCATTCTACCACATCCCAAAGGCGCTCTATTGGATTGAGATGTGGTGACTGTGCGAATTGTAGTCTCAGTTTCTTATTCTTAGCGGACAGGAGTGTCACCCAGTGTGGTCTTCTGCTGCTGTAACCCCCTATTCTTACCGATACCGATTACAATACAAACCAGGGCCAAATACAAAAATACAAAAACACCAAAAAACGTATGGCAAGTAGTCTCTTTCATAATAAAATAGGTCCTGCCAGAAACTCCAATTGTGACCCGGTAATATTCTACACGGAAGAGCTTCCTGTCTGGACTCACGGTCGCTTTCCCCAGTTGGAACAGGTGATTGAAGTGATTTCCAATCAGTCCCCCAAAAAAAGCTGGCCTCAGCTGCTCTCAGGTCTGTGAATCACCAGGATGAAATGCCCAGGTGAGCTTCCACCTGGTTTTATAGGCTCTGCCCCTTAACCTGGGTACTAATAGTGAGCCGCTGTTTAACTTGCCTTGCCACATCAATTTTGTACCCAAAAAAATATGCTCTCTAATCATCTCATCACCTTTAGGGTAGCTCAGTCACAAACTGGTCCAAACTTTCACTATGTCATTAAATCTTTTCGTGGAGTTTACATCCTCAAATAGGGTTAGCTTTGGATGTTAAATATGCTTGTACTGTCAGTACTTCTCTTAGTCCTCTATAGCGCTAAAGCCTGGAGCGCCACATGCTGGTAAAACTTTACGTGTTGGGAAGTGTGACCAATCCCAATCCAATCCTAATCCATCTCTGGCAGGGGGACACTTGTGTTCTCTATCTTCCCCTGCCCTCAGGTCAAAGTGGGAACTAAGCTATTCTGACACCATGTAGTATATCGGTATTTTTACCGACATTTATGTGGTAATTGTGAAACACTCAACACCATTTTGTCTTACAGTGCGCAGTGTGCGTCCAACTTTAGAACTACCTTCATTCACACTATGGTGCATTTTAGTGACATCATCCCAACACGACAATACCCCCTCTCAAAGGGCCGATTCTAGATGGCCCAAAACTCACAAGGGGGGGCGGGCAGGTCAAACACAAGGGTGGGTGGGCGGATCAGGCAGAGGATTAACCTAAATAGACAGAAGGGAAGGAGGGAGAGGACGATACGATAAGGGATGGCATTTGAGGCAGTTGGGCAACCGGGAGTTCCGCAGGACGGTCAGGTGGTCCAGGGATCTCCGGGGGCGGCCTGGACTGCAGATAGGCGGCCGGGGAATCAAGAGGTCCGGAATTGGTGGTTCTGGTGCCAGGAGACGAGAGGCCGGTATTGGCGAGAAACAAGAGTCAGTTGCAGTGAGCAGGAACAGGAGTTTGCTGCGGCCAAGCGGGTGTATCGAACACACAGCAGGAAACAATCAGGGATACAGAAGACAATCGCAGAGTGCGGAGAAAACAACCAGTGCAGGAAGTGAAGTTAACTCAGGGACACGAGAGGCAGGAAACTACAAGATCCTGGAACAGCCCCATGTTTGACAGAAAGGAGGGGAAAAAAGATGCACTGCTCTGCCTGGACGACAGGGCCGAGAGGCTTAACAGGTTTTACAGTCTGATACGGTCCTCTGGAGAAAAGATCCACTACAGGAAACTACAAAATAAATCACAACATGAACCCACACCATGACATTTACTTGACATAATCCGTCTTTTTTGCTAATCATCTCCAACCTTTTCAGTAAATGCTGTGAGCTTTTTTCTGAAAGTGTCTTAAACTACATGTTTTTTGTGTGCTCGCCACATATAAAGCATACAGGTAAGCCAGAAACTAAATGAACTAAACTCTACGAAATAATTTTTGTAGGATTCGACATCGATATTTTACTGTGGGGGGGTTTGCAAATCATGATTAGCCGCTTGCAGGGAAATGCTATTCAAAGGAGCGTAAGTAATGTGACGCACATGTCCGTTGACAAAATACTAAAAGGTGTTTTATTTTCAGTGACACATTATCACCTCAAACTCCAAAATAAGAGATGTCTTTTTTTTGTCCACTGTAGAAAAAATATAATAAAAATAGCCAAATTCCTCTGTCAGACGCTTTCGGTCATATTAAAAAGTTCTCGTCAGAAGTTCTATGTTTTCAGTTCTGGGAAACTGTTTTGGTAAATGTTTTGACACTAAAGAATAAATATATTTAATAAATATTTGGTGCTGTTGTCAAAGTAACACAGTCATTTTAGCCATGAGAAATCCATATGTCTTATTGTAGTTGTGGTTCCACTGCAGCTTCAAATGTTTTCAAATCCTTTGTGTCCAGATCAGAAAGCTGTTGCAGCACCTCTATTTGAAGCTCAACTGGATCTGAAGGTTCCTAATATGGCGTTCACTCCATCTCTGGAGTTTGGGGCAGCAGATGGGTTCTTTGAGCTGGTGGAGAGCCTCATCAATGATGTGTTCAGAATGTCCTCACTGGTGCCACGGCTTGCCCAGCATAGTCCCTTCCTACACTACCAGGTACTGATGCTCGGATTCCGCTTCATCATCTAGAAAGTCAGTGTCTGAAATGCAGTTCACTTCCATCAACATGCCACAAGTAAATGATGAAACCTTCCCCTCAGGCTGACATGGAGAACATGGCTGACTTGGCTGACATGCGTCACCTCCTAATGGACCGCGTGCGGGGCGTCATGACAACTTGCTGCGAGTTTCGTAACTCTCTGGAGCACTACAGCTACCTGTATGTGGATGACAGGAAGGAGTTCATGCATCAGTTCCTTCTGTACGGCCACATGGTCACCAACCAGAAGGTTTCTGGTGAAAACGGCGTCCCTGAGAGCCGACCAACTCTGGAAAACTTTAGAGAGCAGGTGGACAGGTGGGTATTGGTTGAGTGGGGAGTGGCTAGTAGTTTGTGAGGTCATTTTTCTGGTAATCCCTATATAAAGTTGTTTTAGGTTTTGCAATTAGTCATTTTGTTTCTGACTTTTTAAGTTTAGGTTAAAGGACCGTCAAAATAAACATAGGGTTAGGTTGAGCTTCCCCTTTTATGACTGAAGCTGTTTTGTCTGCATACTACAGGTATGAGGAGATATACGAGGAGGTGCAGGGTCTGGAGCCGGGGCATGTTTTCCTCGGCTGGATGAGAGTAGATGGCCGTAGAATGAAGAGCGCCTTGCTCAACATCATCAAAAAGTGGAGCTTAATGTTCAAACAGCACCTCGTTGACCATGTAACCAACAGGTGAAGTGCAATTTTATGAGAAACAAAAGGCTAACACTTGGTTAAAAGCAGATATACTCAATGATATCTGAATCATGTTTGACTGTTTGCTTCCACAGCACATTTCTGTGCCTGTTTGTATTTTCTCTTTTTGCAGGCTTTAGTCGAAGTGCTGTGCATGTTTTTTTATATTTGTATAACTTGCCACTACATGATAATGGTAAAATATGTCTGTATATTCTCAACAAAGGAGCCAGCTAGCTGCGAGACAATTGTAGTTTATAAGCACTAGTGTAGTCCCGGCCAAAGTCTGCCAGCTTCAGTGACTAACCCCTCAGATTACATTATATAGACATTACATATGTGCCTTAATAGTCTGATTATTTTCATCTCTCCCCAGTCTGTTGGATTTGGAGGAGTTCATTTGTGTGGCAAAGGCTGGTCTGGGCCAGCAGGTGGAGGAGGGTGACTACAATGGACTGGTCAGGGTCCTGGGTCACCTGGTGGCTGTTAAGGGAAGACAAAACACTACAGATGTCATGTTTGAGCCCCTTCAGCAAACTATTGCTCTACTAAAGGTTTACGAACAGGAACTGCCTGATGAGGTGTTCAAACAGCTGGCGGTAAGGACTGATGTTCAGTCACTCGTTACATCATTTTTACCAGCACACATTCTCTCTTCCATTGTATTTTGGTTGAAACAGCCATTTCTTACTGTTTTTTGTGTCTTCCTCCTGGCTATGCGTCATCTGTCCCTCCTACTCTTTATTTCCCTCTGTACCTGTCTATTGATCTGCAGGAGCTGCCAGAAAAGTGGGATAATGTGAAAAAGCAGGCTGTGTTAGTGAAACAGCAGGTGGCGCCTTTGCAGGCCATTGAGGTGGCCAGCCTGCGTCGCAGGTGTGCTTCATTCGATGTGCAGCAACACACTTACAGGGAGCATTTTCGCAAGAGTGGGCCCTTCAGGTACAATCAATTTACTTACTCGGATTTAAGTGTATATTAATGTATAATATATTGAAATGAAGCAACTATGGCTCTGTAGTAAAGATCGGCGGTTCAATCCACGGCTCCGCTGGCCTGTGTCGATGTGTTCTTGGTCAAGGAAGTTGACCTCAAATTGCTCCAGTAGCTCTGACTACAGTGTGTGAATGTTGTATGCTTGTTGCACAGTGTTGATGAGTTTGGCAGCTGTGCCGTGCTATCAGTGTGTGAATCGTGACATGTTGTGCTAAAGAGTTATGAGGGGTTGGAGGACTTGAAAAGAGATACAAATTAAGTCCAATCATCATTTACCGTTTTCATAAGGAGTAGTTATGTGCGCTGTCCTGAGGGATGAAACGCTGCGGAGGAGACGGATGGATGCGTATTTGTTTTTCATGGGGAACCGTCTGTATATATTTATATATGTTATATTGAGGCACTCACATCCAAAAAGGCTAATTGATTTTTAACTTGAAGAAAATGGATTCATTTACAGAGATGCTTGAATGCAATGTCTTATTGTCAGATTAGTTATGTGTGTAATTGGTCTCTTAATAACCTGGTGATTATTTTTCCATCAATGCCATGGAGATCATCGTTAATCTTCACAGTGCGCAGTTAGCGCTGGAGTCTGGTAATGCAGCCAAGTCAGGCTTGGCAATCTGGATCCTTTCATTCCCTATAAACAGCTTCATTTATACGGTGTGTGTGTGTGTCTGTGTGTGATTGGTCCAGGTTTGACGACGCAAATCCCCACCAGATGTTGGATGTCTTCCACCGGCAGATCCAGGAGAGGGAGGCGGCTATGGCCTCCCTGGTGGAGTCTGCCGGCCTATTCGAGGTCACCGTCTCTGGGTACAAACAGCTCGGACAATGCAGGTAAAGCCCAAAACTGCAAGGACAAAATTACATTACATTACGGTAGAAAATACCACAAGCCTTTGCCAAATCCCAAACCAAAGAGTCATTAAAGCTGAGATGCTCCATTACATTCACAGTCAGTTTTTATGCTAGAGCAATTCCCCCTGTCCACTCTTCTCCATTCCCTAGGCGTGAGGTGGGCCTGCTGAAGGAGCTCTGGGACATGGTCACCGTGGTGGAATCCAGCATGGCGGCATGGAGGATGACCCCATGGAGAGACATCCAAGTGGAGGACATGGAGCTAGAGTGCAAAAGCTTTTCTAAAGATATCCGAGGGCTGGATAAAGAGGTGAGGCAAGAGATCGTGGAAGGGGATGAGGATCAGCATATCTAAAAAGTACATTGGCGCAGGTGGATCAGGCCAACCAACCTCCACATGTTGAAGACGTGTGCTGTTGTCTGTATCAAACGAATCTGCTCACATGTTGCTATAACCTGCAACATTTTATTGCCTCAACAGTAGTAACATAGCATTATTTACAGCAAAGAAGTGCATCATTCATTAACTACATTTGTTTAAAGCACTGCTCATGATGGAAGATCATGTGGAAGCTGGTCCGAGGATAGATATCTGTCTTTCAGCACTATGCAAGATTGATTATTACCCTGTGCTAGAGCTGTCAACATTAACGCATTAATCTATGCGATCAATGCAACAAAATATTTTAACCTAGTTACCATTCGTTTGTTTACTGGACCGCGGAAACGAAACGGCCGCTAGCTGCAGTCAGTTACATCAAGATGGAGAGAGCTTTTTGCAAGTAAAACAAACCGTGGTGCGACATACAGCAGAGAACTGTGCAGAGGAATAACTAGAAACAAAATGCTTTTGTCCACCTCCCTCTAAAATCAACGGTTTGAGAAGTAACTTGTATTTCTCCAGCAACAGATCTGTCCCACTAATCATTGAAAGCTGCATTTGTGCTCTGCCAGAACATGAAGTGTTGCAAAGAGGCCTCGGCCTAGCAAACAGCCAATTGGTTGTGAAGTGCCGTGCCCAAAGGCCGGGAGTTTGTGCGAGAAATAAGAGCTACAGGCTACAGGCCCCTGAGCAAGTCTGGGAGGCACTACTGTAAATGTCTGCAAACACATGAACAACTAGTGTTTCCCTTTGAGGTGGGTGGTGACAGACGAACACCAACATTTTCTGAAGCGCGCTCTCTGTCCGCTGGTGGGAGTGGACTCACCTGTGTGTGCGCATGTGTGTCCGTGTTGCCCACCAATCAGGGCAGAACTTCTCCATGCGCGTTACAAAGAATGGAGGAGCGACCGTGTAGAAACAGAAACCAACCAAGATAAATGACGTTTAATAAAAGAACAGGGTATAGACGTGTTCTATTGGAAAGGTAACCTTAAATTACTTCTGTAATCTGGGGCTCTCTTGGGGGGAGGAGGGGGTTGCTGTTATCCCCCCCGATATAATGGTAGGGGACTTGATTGGAATGAACATATCTTAGGCTGCAGCTCCATGGTGTAGTGGTCCTGGTCTTTGTATCTGACAGGTTCGGTCGTGGGATGCCTTCACCGGTTTGGACTGCAGGGTAAAGAACCTGCTCACCTCCCTGCGGTCCGTGGCAGAACTCCAGAACCCGGCTATGCGAGACAGACACTGGCATCAGCTGATGGCTGCCACTGGAACCCGCTTCACCATGGACCAGGTATTCAATGTAATTCTGAAATAAGCAACAACATACTGCATATATTGTTCAGTGTTAATGGCCTGCCCATTTGCTACAGTTTTTTAGATAAGAGGAGATCAGATAATTGTGGTTTGTACTGTTCGTAGTCATCAAGCTATTTGATTGAATTTTTTTATAAATGTACAATTATTAATGTTATACATTGTTTATGTGTCACAAGCTGCTGTGTCGTGTGTTGTGGGTTATTAATTGTTGTTATAAAGTTATAACCATGACTCAATCTCAACACGCGTAGGACAAGTGGCTCCACCGCTGGGTGCCCCTCCATGACGTGTTGATAAAACATGTGACGCCTGCTGAAGGCGTGACACCGGTATGAACAGTACGAGAAGAATTCATACCGGTACATCGCACAGCCCTACTGCACAGTTGTATTATCAGCTGTGTTCATCCAGTCTGATACAATTCCTGTAGTAACAATATACTTTTGTATATGCTCGGTCCAAACGTGTTTCTATTTTTGGCCTCATACGCGACAGGTATGGCATGGTTCCATTTTTACCAGCGGGTTCCTCCCCAGCTTTTTGAACACAGGACATTAATATTGGTATCAGCGTAGATATGAATGAAATGGTGCCATCATAGCAGTATTTATACACGGCTATTTGGGCCTATTGTCCGTATCTGACCAGATGACTACTATTTCTTCCAACAAGTATGAGCAATTGTAGAGCCCTAAAGCTATGTGGGATGGGTACAGGAAAGATCCACCCTCGGGCTCCGCCAGCATGTAGCCAATTTTTGGCGAGGACGATCGGCAAGAGCTTGTGCACCCGAGGCCACGTCTCCCCTGCGATGCCGCTGGACAGCCCCGTCTCCTCGCACTCAGTTCTTGCAGCCAGCAAAGCAGTAGGAGCGAGTGCACGCTCTGCTCTTACTGCAGCAAGACTGCTGACTGAGCGAGACTACGTGACAACACCTGTCTGCGATGCTTCAGGCTGTTCGTTACTACAGTAGCTAGAGAATGAACCGTGCTTAAAGAGTTACAACACCAGAGAAGTCGCCAGCTTTGGCGATTATTAGCTTTTTTGCAGTGCTTTCTGGGACTTTTAGTATCAGTATAACAGCCCCTTGCAGGCAGTGGATGTCATTGCTGCAACAGCTGTCTGTGCTTATAGAGGATGCACGGTGAGCAGCACTGCAGTTAGATCTGAAAGGATGCTTTCTACAACTTCACATTAATCAGACGATGTTCCCTGAATAAAAAACTTAAAAGAACATTCACGTTAATGAGCCCGCGCAACTGACCTGAAGTGTCTGTTTCTCTGAGCAGGAGACCACGCTTGACGACTTGCTGCAGCTAAACCTGCACTGCTTTGAGGAGGAGGTGAGGAGGATTGTGGACAAGGCTGTGAAAGAGATGGGAATGGAAAAAGTCCTCTCTGAGCTCAACTCCACATGGACAGGTACAGGAAGTACTAAACTCTTCTTATGTCTTTGGAGATCCTGGCATCAGGAGGTTCTGCCCGAAGACTGACAAAGTTTCTTGATCCCGGTCAGGTATGCAGTTCCAGTATGAGCCCCACCACCGGACCCAGGTGCCTCTGGTGCGCTCAGACCAGGAGCTGATTGACACGCTGGAAGACAACCAGGTGCAGCTACAGAACCTCATGTCATCCAAGTACATCGGCCACTTCCTGGATGAAGTGTCATCATGGCAGATCAAGCTTTCTGTGGCCGACTCGGTCATCTCCATCTGGTTTGAGGTGCAGCGAGCATGGACCCACCTGGAAAGCATCTTCATTGGCTCAGACGACATCCGTTCACAGCTGCCAGAGGTTACACACTGATAGAATCACATTTATGCGTGCAGAAATAATTACAGCTCTATCGGTATACATTACATCACTGACAAACCCATAGGAATGCCGACCTTAACTTGCGACCTTATCGTTGCCTATTGAACCCAGAATTAATAATATGTAAATTCCGAGTTCACATCTATGTAATTACGCCCACGGCGTCAGAGTTTTGCTAAAATCCCAGATGTTTGCTATTAAAACTCTGATTCCGCTCTTATTCTTTTGGGAAGCGACATCCCCTGACTGTGCTCCGTCTTGAACTCCTCTGCAGGACTCCAGACGTTTTGAAGGAATTGATGCAGCTTTCAAAGAGCTGGCAAACGGCATGCACCAAACACCCAATGTAGTGGATGCCACCAATATACCTGGCCTGTTTGGTAAACTGGAGGACATCAAGAGCAGGTAAGAGTTTCATACTCCTGTATGTATCAGTAGCACTCTTTCACTGGGATTATACTTATTTCACTTGGATGCACACACACTGCCTCCGTGTGTTTCTCTGCAGGCTTTCTTTATGTGAAAAAGCTCTGGCAGAATACCTGGACACCAAGCGCCTTGCCTTCCCAAGATTTTACTTCATCTCTTCAGCTGATTTGCTGGACATCCTGTCTAATGGGACCAACCCACACCAGGTGCCTCCACAACTTTGTGCTAGAGGTGTAACAATGCATTTAGTGCTTCAGTCTGTTCCTTGTCAGAATATTTATTTTTTAAATTATTTTCACAGCTTTGTCAAACAATGTTTAACTGCAGCATTTCGCTCTTCTGATCAGTGCTATTGACTATTGTGCTATTTGACTGTTGTAGTACGCACAGTGTCCACTAAGAGGCAATATTGCTTCGAGTTTGGCCGCCTGCTCCAACGTCCATCACCAGGACATATTGTCAGGCATTATTAGCATAGAGAAATACATCTTTGTTAAGCTTCTAAACTTCTAAAGTTCCCTAAAGAGGAAGGAATTTAACAGGCATGCTGCAGAACATGAGGCTCACCATTGATTGATTCAAAATAGCTGTGTTGAAATATTATTCATTTGCATGCAGTAATCACCAGTCAGACAGTGAGTTGAGTAAATTGAGCCTGAGCTGAATGTGCCCGTTTGCTCAGGTCCAGAAGCATCTGTCTAAGCTGTTTGACAACATGGCTAAGATGCAATTTGAAGCAGATGAAGAGGGGAATCCTTCTCAGACTGGTCTGGGCATGTACAGCAAAGAAGGAGAATATGTCCCCTTTAATCAGCCCTGTGACTGCACCGGACAGGTAAATCACACCCACCATCATTTATTAATGTCTCTGCAATTGTAGTACCATTCAGTTGAGCTAGATGGTGAATCAATCTACTCTCTTCATTGGACTGCCAACAGTGGTCCTACGGCTGTCTGTAGATGGATGTAATAGATGAGGAGATTCACTTAGCTGCCTTTTTCTGTAATGGAAGAAACTATAGATATAACAATAAATCAGATAAATGAAATTGGGTCTGTCGTTGCCCCTGGGGTTTTGCATATCAAAGCCCATACATTTTCCATTAAATCCCATAGTATTTGCCTGACTCTAATGCTTTTTAATGACCTCATTAAAATCCATTGATAAGAAAGCCTGTTGGTGGTCACGTGACACACGTTGAAAGGTTTTTCTTAATTTTCTTAAGGTGGAGGTGTGGCTGAACCGGGTTCTGGACCGCATGCACTCCACGGTTCGACATGAGATGACTGAAGCAGTGATGGCCTATGAGGACAAACCCAGGGATCAGTGGCTGTTCGACTATCCAGCTCAGGTAAAAATGGGAAAACTTGGGATTTTTCCCAATTAGTCAACAACCTGTTTCACTGCTGGATTAGTGCCATAATCATGTCGTATTTCAGTACAGTGCACACTCGCACTAAGGCTTTGAATACAGTTTTCACCCACGTTCTGTTGGCGTAGGAAGTGAGAACAAATATGGGTCTATGATAATGAAATGCTCCTGTTTTTCTGTAATATGTAAGTAGGTAAGTATGAATGGTAAAACAGCTACGAGTAGCAGTAGTTATATCAGCAGTACAACCTGATATTCATCTACTATGGCTCCACCCACCCCTCCATCCGATGGTATCAGCTGCTCCTGCTTGGCCAACAAAATAACAGCTGAAAGGAAGAACCTCCACACTCTACAAGATCGAGGAAGCCAAGCAACTCATGGACTTCTGCCCAGTACCAAACAACACAACCAGTGGCCTTGTTGATGATACCACCGCCCCTTCTTCCTAGCCCTCAAGGGCTTCCCTCCTCTGGGAACTCCCAGCACCCTCCACATTCCCACCTCGTTGCCCCGTGGCTCTGTGTGCCCTGTGATCCCTATGGCAGCCATTCCCGAGGGCCCCTCCTACACCAGGACTCGCGCTCTATAGCGCTCTACACCTGCAATGCAACGCGATCCTATCCACCGTTCTCTGAGTCCTCCTCTGCCCACTCCACCAAACCTTCACCTCCATCATCCAGCCGCACTAAACGCTCAGTGCTACCTCCTCGTCCCCTGTTCTTCCCGACCACACTGACAGGCAGGGACTCCATAATCAGGAATATCCCTTTCTTCAACGCAGCCACTCACTGTTTCCCCGGAGCGAGAGTCACACTGGTGACCAACTGTCAGGGAATTATAGTTCACTTGGGAATCAATGACACAGCCCTCCAACAGTATGAGTTGATTAAAAAAAATATTTACACATCTTAAAAAGCTGTGGGCTCTTCGTTTTTATTAATGGTTTGACCTCCACACACGCCCATAGATCGCATCGGCACAGCAGGTTCTTCAGTTTCCACACCTGGGAACAGAGACACTAACCTGCAGCACGCTGTAAAAAATCACATTCACAAAACAAAACAACCTCTCCCACATCCGCCACAGTTATCGGCTCCCAGTGCAAATTCATCATCTGCAAACCCACTTCCTTGAGCCTAATCCCGTCTCTGTGAAACCAGCACCGGCCCGAGCTCACTTACCTCGAAACGTCATTGAAACAAACAGCGGGTGAATTCAGCCACCCTCACTACATGGCACTTCTTCTCTGTTCAACACCCGGTCGCTAAGCAACAAACGTCTAATCATCAATGAGTTCATCACCAACAAGAACCTTGATATCCTCTATCTCACTAAAACCTGGCAAAAACACCTGGACTACAAATGGACTAAACCAAACCACTCGGAGAATTACAATCACTCCATCCTTATTTAAGCACCTGACATTCAAGCTCTCCGCAATTATCTACCTCACTGGTAAACTTCCCAACCTCCAGGCCTCGTCTGCTCCCTTCACCACAGACCTGGTCAACCCCTTACAACAACACACTGCCAGCCACCTCCACTGCTCCCTCGTTCACACCTGAACTCTGCTGGATGAAATCCCAGAAACGCCGACAAGATTGACTCTGAAAACCGGATTCACGGTACAGACCCTTGGTTTACAAAGATTACATACAGCAATACCAACTGGTTCTCAATACTGCACGCTGCACCTTGGTCAGCTTGTCCTCCAGCCCTTCAGCCGCTCCTCTCTGTCAACAATTCCTCCCTGTCTGCTGGAGCCATTTTCCCTGCTGTTAAACTCTCCTCAGTCACACCTATACACCTCAAGAAGCCTGTCCTGGATCCTGACATCTACAACAACTACAGACGCATCTCCAATGTCCATTTCTGTCCAAAATACTGAAATGAACAGTTGGCCACCAACTCAAAACCCACCTGGACTAGAACTAGGCTTCTCACGGCACAAAAATGATGAGTCCGTTGTGACACCTGCCATAAATATCCAAATACCCAATACTTACGATACCAGAATTTGATACAATGTCACAAATACGATACGATACGGGTATATTTATCTATAACAGTAATAAATAAAACAGCAGTATGGTTCCCTTTTTACCAGCGTTTTCCTGCCCAGCTGTGATTTACAATTGAGGGTATTTAATAAATACTTTTTGCTCTTGGATCTGAACAGCATTCAGGCTCTTTCCTCATAAAATGAGCTGCGTTGACAAAATTTGATATTTCATGGATAGCTGAATAAATTTTGACTTGGGCTAAATCAGATCAGACTTGGGATGTCTCACATGCGATCCCGCGCTGTGAGTGGGTGCAGGGCACAGGATGACAGGGAGCGGAGCAGAGAGTGAGCGCTGATATTTTTTTGCAGATATGTTTGCGGTACTAGAAATATGCAATATCATATCGTTAACACTACGATACCTTTTTAGTATCAGTAGACCATGCACTATTAAGGCCAACCAAGTCTATGGACCATTTCAATCCTCCAATGAATCCTATGAACATTTCTCAGTAAAGTCACAACCTCATCCTCTGCTGACCACTTTATTAATATCCCTATCCTTTATCGGGCGACAGGCTGTTGTCAATGCCCTCTGGAACTGGAATTTTAAATCTGCTTTTAACCTGTGATGCTCCTTAACCATGTTAAGTGCTATAAAAATAAAACGCATTATCATTATTATTATTAAAATGTTGTGCCTGTCAGATTCTAGTGTCTGAAAACCATTTAGGTCTAAAGAGCTGTGTTTTAAAAGATGGAGGACAAAAAAACAGACGTTTTTTTTAAATACCTGCCCATTAATGTGGTGTACCCACACCATATAAAACCTGTGCAGCCATCATGTTTCCTTTGAAGCTGACTTTCCACTCAAAAATAGCCATGTCAGAAAAATGTAAACTCTGCATTAAGTCTAACTTCTCCCAGCTGGAAAGAAGTCTAAAAACATATGAACATAGGTACTGTATAAACATATGTTCCATGTGGCTTTACTCAGTCACACACGGACATAAGGCAACATTAAATACACCAAATCCATCCACAGAAATCCACTGTAATTTTCTACAGAATTCCATTTATTACTTCTCAGGTAGCGTTGACCTGCACTCAGATCTGGTGGACGTTGGACGTCTGCATGGCGTTTGTCCGTCTAGAGGAGGGCTATGACAACGCCATGAAAGAGTACTACAAGAAACAGGTGTCTCAGCTCAACACCCTCATCTCCATGCTGATTGGGCAGCTTTCCCCCGGCGATCGACAGAAGGTCATGACCATCTGCACCATCGATGTCCACGCCAGGGACGTGGTGGCCAAGATGATTGCTCAGAAGGTGAGGGGGGCACAGTGGATAAATCTAGCCAAGAACCTGCACTGATTCTTGTGCAGACCGCATGATTGACGCTGTACTTTTGAGCCAGTGAGTAATGCACTTAATACATTCAAGTAAGGCATGTCTTTACCCTAAAGAGAGGGTGGGGAAGCTCAGATTATTTTTGCCTTTATTGCAATCCTTGGCACTCTCATGCGCTCTCTTTTCATTAGGTGGAGAACTCTCAGGCCTTTGTGTGGCTCTCCCAGCTGAGGCACCGTTGGGATGAGAAGGAGAAGCATTGTTTTGCAAACATTTGCGATGCCCAGTTTCTCTACTCCTACGAATATCTGGGCAACACACCACGATTAGTCATCACTCCTCTAACAGACAGGTACGGAGGTCATTCCTGGTGTCTTAAAACATCATAATTGCTTGTGAACAGATTGATGAGTAAAGCTATGTAATTTAGCAGGCATCTTTATAGCTGCCAACCCTTAATCTTATTGTAACAAAGACAGTCACAGGCAGATTTGATCAGCAACAGACGGTTAACTAAGCCAAAGGAAACCAGAAGTTGGATGAAAAAATGGATAACCTTTTAGTGGTTTAAAAATCATTTCCATGAAAGTAGGCAATGAAATATGGATTTGATGGTTGGATACACACTAATGGGCTGAAGCTATATGTCCACAAAAAATCCCTTACCACTTGAAGAATGTAGAGGACATGGAAAGTATGATTTCTGGACAGAAACAATGTAATTTATTCTTGTATCGGTCCGGCTCCTTTCCGTACATATTTGGACTTAATGTTTTATTGCTCTTGTACAATGAGGACTGACAGATATGTGTGATAAGAGAAACACTGACTCAAAGAACAAGCTTGGCTAGATTGATAGATTAAAACTAAGCAGTACATAGAGTGTTTTTGCTATTTGTTCTGTAGACTTTTTGGCAGCAGACAAAATGTAATTTTCTTGTTCCTTGTGTTGTTGTGAGGCTTTCTTAGGCTGCTGCAGTTAACAGGGCAGCCAGACATGCCAGCGATTACATCCATACACACTTATCTGAGGTCGGGTCGCGGTGGCAACATTTTCCAGCTCATTCTAGAGGATCCTGAGGCGTTCTCAAGATCCCTGCACCCTATTCTGGGTTTTTCCCAGGTCTCCTACCATCAGGGCAGGGGTGTCTCTCATTTTAGGTCCGGGCCAGATACTGCCCACTTTGATTTCAAGTGGGCCAGACCATTAAAAATCATAGGGGGGGTGCGGCGCGGCTGGTCCGGTCGACGGGGGGGGCGTGTGTGCGTGGTGATCTAGCGGCACTTTATTGGTCAACGACCTGGTAAAGAAAGTGCATCCTTTGCAAAAGAAACACAGCATGTGCTGCCATCCAGACATGAATATAGTTTTGAAGTCCTCTGGTGGAAGCGTGCTCACGTTCTGCCAGTCCGGGCAGTTCTCTGTGAAGAAGTTTCTTCTATTACTGAGCCGTAGCTTGTGTTGGTAGCTCTCCACAAAACAGTATGTCCTCATGCAAACAAACAAAAACCAACAGCAGCGCCTCGTCTAGTTGCAATGAGAGAGCTACTTTTTGCTGCTGTGTGTCGGAGGCCATGTCAGCCATACAGTGACTCACCGTGTCGTTTGACAGTGGGATGGTCAGCAGCTTCTGGCACGCAGAATCAACTCCTCCGCTGCCGTCAAATGTTTCTTGCATTGTGCCACACGTCTGGCTTTCAAGGCACATTTGAAGTTGCCAGTCAGCGAGATGACAGATTGTTTGTGCATCTCGAGCCCGTTATCCTTACTTTTAAATTCCACCGGCTTTACCGCAAGCGTTGGACGTTTGGTTTCCATATGGTGCTTTCATTTTGTCGTTGGAGAGCGTTAGTCAGCACTGCACAGACTCGGCTGTCGGGTTCGTTAACAAACTTACTTTAGAAAGTAAAGATTGTATTTACGCAGACTTTTGGGGAGGTTTGGCACCACTTTCCTCTTAATTTCTCTCTATTTAAATACTTATCCATGACTGTCAGACCTAGATAGCAGCGGTTGAAACTGAACCTCAACCGCAGGCTACAGATAGAAAGCTGAAGTCTGACATTGTCAAACAATAAAATAAATTGAAACATTTACGTTCCCCTGCCAGTGTTGCTCAGGTGAAATGCATTCTGGGATAATTGGCTCTCACAAACCAGACAAGTCTGCTCTGATGCATTCTCGGTAATACGGGCGGGGAGTCACATCCGGGTGTTATGACGAGAACACATAATGAAAGAGAAAGGGACAAAATCTCTGGTTCTTCAGTTTAAAGAAACCAGAGATGAAATCGAACGGTTTTTGCGCCCCTCCAGGCGGCGCTTGCGGCCCGATGGGGGGCCGCAGTCTTACGGTTAAAAACCATTGAACTAGAAGATACGAGCGCCTCGCGATGAGAAACGGTGAGGGGGCGCGTGTAAGAAAGCTCATTTGAATCATCATGTACACCACAGACCGGAGAACGGCTTTACATCACTGCACTTTGCTCACATGCACATTCTTCTGCAGCATCCCTGATGAAGCTTTACCTCCACAAACATGAATACCTGCCTCCTCCAGCTCTTTGTGGGACAACAGCTTTTGACTGTACACTTTTTTAGACTGACCAGTATTCTTTTTGAAGCCTGAACAATCGTGAACAACGGGCTTTGATGGCCGGATCATGTTGCAATACTCCAGCATATGGTGCAGGCCTTTGCTGAGACTGACAGATTGCCACCGGCTTTCATTTCCACAATAGACCACGCACAGGGGGGCCGCGTGTCAGGTCCTTTAATCCAGGACTCGAGAGAACGGCTGAAACATGTTTGCTTTGCGAGTTTGAATCACGTTTGTAACGTACCCCGTCTTCGCTCATGTATTGGATGATGTAGTTATTTTGTAATAATATAGGGTTAGAAGGCTATTACAAGTTCTACAGACTGTAGCTGTTCACCTATAAATCTTATCAAAGTGAATTCACTCCAAACCAGTCAAATAGGCCAATATCACTCTCACGCCTGCACAGTGAGCATAGGGCAAGTGTCAAGAAGCAAAGCTTGTGCAAGAAAGGGAATCATCTTGCCTGGCTTTGAGTTCCACCCGCAACACTGAAATGTGGCCGTGTGTTTGCTTTACATATCAGAGCCGTCAATTGTTTGGCAATACAGCCAATAAATAAAAAGATGGAAAAGCACACAAATCATTAGAAAGCATTTTTTCATTTCTAGATGTTCCGTTACATTCCTCATCAGTATTACATGTGTGGGTATCGCCACTATATTTAGATGCTACATCACCCTGACCCAGTCCCTGCACCTGACCATGAGTGGAGCGCCGGCCGGCCCTGCAGGCACAGGGAAGACTGAGACTACCAAAGACTTGGGTAGAGCCCTTGGCATCATGGTCTATGTATTCAACTGCTCTGAGCAGATGGACTACAAGGTGAGTAAGCACACATGTAGCTAATGGGCTTTGGCGGCCGCCTATATTCTGCACGTACCTTCACCCTCGTGAGCAAAATGCTATACATACTTCATTAAACTTCCTTAGTGGCCTTGCCTCTTCATCTTTCCTCTTATTGTTGGATGCTGCTTAAGCATTCCAACCTGTGTTCTTTGAATCTTTAGTGTTCGAATGCTGCTTCCCATAGGGACCACTATACATGTGGTGACAGATTTACAGATACAAGTATTTGAAACTGCCATAGGGGAAGTATTTCTGACCACACAGACGCGGATATTGGTTCTCAAAAAATATTCCTATTATGTTATTCTAAACATGTAAATCAGTGTTATTCTCTCTGCCTTTTGATCAACTCTGTAACGATCACCGTGGCAACCACACAGACGCACTCGCTCCGCCTCTCACGCAGGTGATTGGCATTACCTGAGTAGTGTAGTCACATGACGCCTGTAATGCTATCAATTAATACCTTCATAGTTTAAAGGACAAATACTCTCCCATATGTCTCCCAACCCCTTCTCCCCCTCACCCAATCCCATCATTTCAAAATAAAAGCCTCAATGATTATCTGTACCTGTTTTGTTGAAATACTTATTGCTCTTTCAAATACAACTACAACCACTCCTACTAGTACTACCACTACAGCTGATACTACAATTACTAAAACTCATAATAGTATTTCTACTGCGATTAATAATAAAATGACTCCTACTAGTACTGCTACTACACTAAAAGTAGTAATGACACTGCTTCTGATATTACTACTCTTGCTACTATAAAAAAGAACTACTAGCATTTGTACCGCAATCAATACTATTATGAATACGTAGCCTTTTTTAAAAATTCATTTCAGCTTTTAGCTTTCAGCTTCAAGCTTACAGCATTCCAACGTATTTTCTGCAGGAAATGCACTCCAGTTTTCTTTTCATCATTTGTTTCATCGCTTCCTTCTTGAAAGATTTGCCATACCCTGAGTTTTTTTCTTAATTACACCTTGTCAAAATAGACCTCTCTCTACCCAACATCCAAACATACCCTCTGCATATTGAGTGCTCAAGGGAGACATAAAAATAATCTTGTGATCCGACTCTCTCCTGCTCCCTCATACAGGGGCATCATTACAGTGTAGCGGCCGACAGCCCCCCCGGCTATACACACTGCAGAAAGGCAGCAGAGAGAAGTGCTAATTTACTCCAGGAGGAACACAGGCACGAGAAGCTGGCTTCAGAGCCCACACCGTCACTCATATTCCATTATGCTCTCTCTCTCACAAACACACACACACACACACACACACACACAAGCTGGATCCATCCAGCAGTCAGAAGGTTTCCTCGGTCATCCTAGTCTGTTTCGAGGGATGTTGTTCACCTGCTCACAAGTTGATGTTGGGAACTAAAATGTGGGTTAATGATATTTCTATTTCTACCTGTTTTGTTAGTCTGAGCCTTTGTGTACGTACCATTAAGTTGTTCTGCGCTTACCTTCAGCCTGCTGTGTCTTTTATCTGTGAGCCCACCTGACTGACTGCCTATCCTGATGTGAAAATGTGTCTCTTCCTGTGTCTGTCACTAAGTCCTGTGGGAACATCTACAAAGGCCTGGCTCAGACGGGGGCATGGGGCTGCTTTGATGAATTTAACAGGATCTCGGTGGAGGTGCTGTCTGTGGTGGCTGTACAGGTAAGAACAAGTCCAGTTCCTCTCCCTGAGGTACTCGTCTTATCTCATTCAGGTCGACAGGTCATTGTGTGTATTTACCCTCACGTGATGGAGCTAAATGTTTGAGTTGTCATCTTATCAGCAAAAAGCTCGATCTAAGTCAAATGATGGTCAAATAAAGCTTAATAACAGCTCTACTCAAGTAAATAACCTCTTTATCATTGATTTCAAGTGTAAATTGCTTCAGCTAGAAGACCAATTAACCCAGACTTGCATCTTTGCATCAAAGTGCTTCTTAATAATTGGAGCGTTCTCTGAAGAGTGAAGGATAGAAAACTTCACCGTTGCTCACCTCTTTCAACACCAACAAGAGCAAATCGGAATGGCCAAGCATTACAACCACAACTCTCAAAAGATGTGTTACGATAATATGGTGAATTTGCTCAGTGCTAGGACAATCGTGATTTATATGTGTACAAATAGCGCATTTCTTATTAGGACCTGACCGCCGACAACGTCGTCTTTCAAATGAATTGAAAGGGTGATTTATCATATTCGATTGATCCGATTTCTACCAAATTCTAAAAATCATTATTGGACCAATGCGTGGCTCTTTAAATTAGGAATATTTAAAATAGGAACATTAATTGACAAAACATGTTAGACATACAAGGAATTTGACGTGGCAGTTGTTGCATAACATTGGACAGTAAGACAATGAGACAATGGACAACAAGACCAATAACACAATTTACAAATTCAGAATTTAACTCCACAGTATAAAATAGAAGGATATGGGCTGGGGGGATATAGAACATTTTTTAAATTAAATAAAAAGGTAAAAACTGGCGAGCAGATAACCATACTCTACACAACTGCGTTGTGAGTGTATGTGAAAGTGACATGTGTGTGTGCATGTAGAGTGTGAAGTGAGGAACCGATGTCAGAGTCAGTGGGCGACCGGCTCTGTTGATGAGCCCGACTGCCGACGGGAAGAAACTGTTGGTGTGGTGGGAAGTCTTAGTCCTGATAGACCACAAACAGGTTTTGTCCGTGGTGAGAGGGATCGGCTACGATCTTTCTAGCTGCTTCAGGGTCCTAGAAGCAAACAAGTCCTGGAGGGACGGCAGATCTTGTCGTTCGTCCATGCACCGATACCCCCCTACGTTATCCGCCCTTTCCATCGTTTGATCCGGTCTCCGTGGTTTTGTCACCTTTGCTCATTCCAAGATGGCCATCAAACAATTAGCGCTTCAACCCTCACCTTCAACACTCGCCGCTATGCTTTCATATCAAACTTTTTATCCTGTCTTTCAGAAGACACCATGACAGTCCACTTAAAGCAAACGAAAACCAACAAATCAGGCCGCCCTACACCCGTCTTTACTCCAAGTCACCCCTGAGTAAATTCAAGACCCTTTCCATATACTCGCAGTTTCGAAGTTCCCAGAGCCAACGCACCCACTCTTCACTTCAGACACAGTGACTAGATTCTGGTAACCCAGAATACCTCATCCGAATCATGAGCCGACGGCTGGTCCACGCCAGCATACCACCGCGACATCTGCTCAGATCCCAAAGATATTCCAGCCGCTCGTCCCACCTCGCACACGGGAGTTTTGGGGGGTTTGCCGTGCCCGGCAGCTACGTCGGAAGATCCGCCACAACCCATCCGACCACCCAGACAAATCGACTCACAATCATAGCGCTCACGTCTCACAAATAAAATTGTTAAATGCATTAATGCCGTGGTCACTTGTAAGTGAATTGAAGCTGATTGGCGTAATTTCGGGAGCAGGACCACGCCTCCAACATGCTTATTGTTGTATCCCATCCCCTCCTGCCGTGGCGGATCCTCCGACGTAGATCCCCAAAACCGCCAGATCGACTTACAGTCCTATTGCTCATGTCTCATGTCTCATCTCTCATGTCTCATGGTCCTTGCTAGTGAATGAATCCCTTAGACCCTTTTGGACTTCTTGGAGCTCTTTCACTAAACTGAATGAATCATTATGACTTTCATTGTCTTCATTTATGTTTACATGATTTTTTTTAACAAATAACGTTGATTTACTCTCTTATTTTATATATATATATATATATATATATATATATATACACTCTGAGTGAACTTCAGCAGCTAGCGCTTTAATGACTTTAAGGACTGAACTGTATCCTGCGTGTTTCAGCTGGTGCTTGTTTTTCGGCTCCAGCATCTTATCTTTCTGTTATCCTAGACCAAACTAATCCTCTCCCTGTGGCTTCATTCGTTTCTCTGTCGTATTCAAATCGTCGCCGCCTCAGTCAATATCATCTTGCATGTGCAATGGAGTTGATAAAGACACTGATAATGGTTATAATGATAATGAAGATTGAGCTACTCAAGGATAATTATTCATTGCTAGAAGTAACACTCACTTCTCTGCCCTTCCTTCCTTCTCTATTAAGCAGCCTATGATACTTAGAAGAATGAATAGGTGTTGTGTAATAAATAGTACAATATAGAGGCTTACACATGGAAAAGTAGACATTGAGAACAGAGGAGCATCAAACTCCCGCTGTGACAGCTGGCATCCTTCTCCAGAGTTCTCTGCTTTCGATGAGCCGTCTCTTCCCATAGCACAAACATCCAATCCATCATCTTGAGTGCGTCTAGCATCACATGGTGGCATACATGGCTGCTGTTTTGGTCCGCTAACACATGTGGCGGGAGCCCTTCCATATTAGATGAAGCGGAGACAAACAGAAGGCTGGAAGACAGAACAACATGGAGATACATTGGTGAGGTTCTGCCTCTGTTACAGCCGAGACAAGCCTGCCCCAGACAGAAAATAGTGGAGCCAGACCCGACTGGATCACACCTGTCAGAAGGCTGTCTGTTCTTTTGGGCCGTTTACCTGCTTTTGTGTCCCTGCAGGGCATCAGGGTTACCTACTGCTGTTTCACATAAGAAAACAAGCCCCTCTCATCTCCTCATGAAACCCTTTTTGTGTGCTGCAGTTGCACTGTTTGTTGTTGCATTTCCCCCTACTTTCCTCTCCCTGTTGGGTTAGTGTGACTGAGAGACCTGTAGCCGAATACTCATCCATGAGGAGATGTTCCTCCTCTCTCCAGCTGCCGACATGCTACTCTCTTTTACCACACGCATTTAAATTCATAAAGCCTCCTACAGACTGGGACTCTTTTAGGTCAAAGCTGATAGCATGTTGTCAGTATTGATGACATTGTGTGCCTGAAAAGAAAAGGGGCATTGCATACCATTTGAGCTCTTATACTTTTACTGTGATATGTGCTTAATACGGTGGCCCTGAAGTGCAAAACACAATGGGAAATAGGAACGAAATTAACTCCTTACGGAAAGGGTAGGGCCTTATAGCAGAGGACGGACCCTTCTGATTGGACAGACGGTCTGTCTTCTAACAGGAAATGATTCAGGGCTCTCAAGTGTCACGCATTGAGCGAGACAGTCACGCACTCCCGCCACACATCCAATTTCTCACGCCATGGAATCGGACTCCGGTCCCCGAGCCGCGTCGGCCATAGCGCCCGCGGCGTCCACCGGCCGTAGCGTCTGCGGCACTCCCCCCTTTTATTTACACCTAAATATAATTGAACAACAAAACACCGGTAAAACAATGGTGAAACCCTAGTAGGACACTTTTAAGACACAACACATCGCCATCTCTCTGTGACTTTCTGCCCCCCATCACAGGCTCTCAGTCCCCCCACTGATTTATTCATTGCCATAATATCTAGAAAGCGGCATTTCTCAGCTTTAAGAATCCGATTGTGCAAATAGTTAAAGTCACGATAATTTGAATCCTCCATGTCACTTTCCGTCACCGGGCAAAAGGCTTTGAATTAAGAGGGTTAAAAGACAGACAGTCCGTCCTCTGCTATCTGCTATGAGGCCCTACCCTTTCCGTAAGAAGCTAATTTCGTTGTGCGTTCCTATTTGCCGTTGTGTTTTGCACTCCAGGGCCACCGTAGCTAAAGGATATTGATGATTTGCCAATAAGTGAAAGCGCAACCTTCTCAGATGTGAGGGTTAGGGTTAGTTGGGAGCAACTCTTTTGATGGATAACAGTAAGTTTGTTGGGAGAAGGATTGCATGTACTAAAAATGGTATAATGCTGAGTCTTGTTAGGGTTAAATGGCCTCAGGTGTGGAGTCAGAGAACAGATTTTCCAGACCTCCTGGTAGCTAGCACCATTTTGCTCGAGAATTGCATACCCATGATAGAAAAGGTTATATCTCTGCAACCATAAGGTCTGTTAATCAAATAATCTGTGTGTCATAATAAAGGGAACACTTTTGAGATTTTGTCCGGATGCAAAATATCAGTATTTATGTTGCAGTTTAAGACAAAATTAAGATGGCGCAGTACACAAATCAAAACCTTTCCGGTTCACATTAAATAAAAAGGGCCCTCAGGATGATTATCCCTTTGCAATTATACTAGTATAGCTCTAAACCACTACCAAATCATAGTCCAATATGTTAACCTTCTTGTGAAGGTTTAGACCGTTTAGGACGAGATCTCCATAATTTGGGTTTTCGGATCAGTACGTGCCAAACTATACATTTTTGCATTTTGTCATGTACCAAACTAGTTATTTCACTTGTATATCTCTAATAGTGTTCAATATATCTCATACATAGGTGTAAGGCTTTTTTTTCAAAATGTATTTATTTATTTTACCATTAAAAAAGACAAAAAAAATCCAATATAGCCTAGACAAATTGGCTGTCAGTACCCGGGGCGAGTCCTCGGCAAAGGATTGGCCAATTGGCGTGATTGACACCTCATTGGAATGGTTAGAGGCTACAGAGTTGATCCGTCTCCATGATATTGACCGGACTGTTAGGCAGCCAGGATCAGGAGAGCAGCTTCATGGGGAAGTCGAGCTGGCGAACGATCGGCCAACGCTTAACCTTTGAACTTTCCACCAAAGAACAAAAGGGTTTCATGGCAAACTGCTACGATAAGGGACATTGATACTACCGTATCAATTGAATCTGCACTGAATCCGTTGTTCAATTCTCGTCACATGAGTTATGATATTTGGTCATTCAGTTATTGGATGTTTCTGAGTTGCGTTGGAACATGTCAATATGGCGTGCATATACTTATTACTTACAACATCACTAGTTATATTCTTTCGTGATTAGTTTTTTGTAAGACGCTGTTGAACTCTGGGCCCCACAGACCCAAATTTGGAGACCCTAAAAAGGTTTAAGCTGTACCCACATATACTTCCTGGGAGAAAGCCAGTGGGCATACACTACAAACTCCACTTACCGCTACTTGCATAACACGTGAATCTCAGACCAAACGGAGGGCGGTTTAGTTGCAATGTTGGTAATGTAGACAGCAGGTTTAAACCATAAGCTGTAGTTTGAATTTAGTTCAAGCACAAGGGAAAAGATGGCATGGTAAATATACATAGCAATGTTTGTCTTAGCATGTTAGTTATTTTATTGTGAGCGTGTTAGCATTTTCGTTAGAAAACAACAGAACAGCCTCATGGAGCCGCATGGCTGTCTTGTCTTGTGGTTCTGTGTATTTGCAGGTTAAAAGTATCCAGGACGCCATTCGAGAAAAGAAGCAGAGGTTTAACTTCATGGGAGAGGAAGTTAATCTTTGCCCCTCTGTTGGCATCTTCATCACAATGAATCCAGGCTACGCTGGCAGGACTGAGCTCCCTGAGAACCTCAAGGCTCTGTTCAGGTAACTCAAGGGACCATCAGAACACTGCTGTAACTCAAAATACCATTCCTCAAATATTTTGATCCAGCAGCCAAGCATTAATCCATCTACTTGTCATTCAATTCATTTTATTTTGTTTAGCCCAAAATCACAAATTTTCCTCAGAGGGCTTTACAGTCTGTACACATACGACATCCTCTGTCCTGAAACCCACCATCGGCACAGGAACAACTCCCCAAAAAATGAAAAAAAACCTTCCATGAGTGAAAAAAAAGGGAAGAAACCTTAGGGAGAACGTCAGAGGAGGATCCCACTCCCGGGATGGACAGACTACAATGGATGCCATGTGTACAGAATGAACAATGTATAATACATTCAATTCCTATGACAGAAATGATTCAAGTAACTGAGTAGTAAGCCAGGCGCACAGCAGGACCACTGCAGGGGAACCACCATCAGATAGAACCACCATCCACAGAAGCCTGTGGGGAGGGAGAGTCATGGGAATTTAAAAATAAAATAAAATAAAAATTTAATTTAATAAATAACCCTAACCCTAATGTTGTGTACAATAGCAAATATTTCTACTTCAGATTGGTTCCAATACAGATGGTGATGGGTAGAGCACAATCTCAAAGTTTTTCAGGAAACAAAAAAGGACTTTAGTTGTCAAAACTTCCAAAAATCAAAACTCCAAAAAGGCAAAACCATGGATAGGGAACTGCAACATCAGGAATCAGGAATCAGGAAACATTTATTGGCCAGAATATGTCAAACATACAAGGAATTTGTCTTGGCGGTTAGTGCGCGACAGTAGACAGACAAGACAACAGTGCACAAGTAATAAAATAAAGTGGACATGGACATGGACATGGACATGCGCTTCGGCCCACCAACAATTAGTAATGACGCGAAGTGACAACAGACACACGTGGCTTAAATACGCTAGGGAGGTGCAGGTGATTGGAAACAGCTGGAAACAATCATGACATGACAGACAATCACAGGGGACGACAGGACAAGGCAGGAAGTGACGTGACCCAGGGAGAACAGAGGCAAGAAACTACAAATGTATGTATTTGTAAAACATTCACCTAATTGTGGAAACACATATTGCTGACCATTGCCAAAATATCCCTGCATCTGAGTAAAACTTTAACTTTCAATTTACATTTGGCAAACACTTGAAGCAAATAAAGCATGATCCAAGCCGCAGTATATGAAGGCAAATCTTTTGACAATAAGAGCTCAGTTTTGAGGGGGGTGCGTTCATGCATGTGTGTTGTATTAGTAAATACACTCTGAAAAGGTTGAGCCCCCCTGCGTGACGGCATGGAAAACATAGTAATAATAAACGGCATTTGACAAGACATATTCATCCAGGGTAATTAAGGACTATCAATGATCTCATTTATGTGATGACCATTTTTCCACAGACCATGTGCCATGGTGGTGCCAGACTTCGAGCTCATCTGTGAAATTATGCTTGTGGCTGAAGGGTTCCTGAATGCCCGGGTATTGGCGAGGAAGTTTATCACCCTCTACACGCTATGTAAAGAGCTGTTGTCCAAACAGGTAATATCTGCGGTCCTAGATGTTCTTTGTTTAAAAAAGCCAAATCAATTTTAATGTAAAACTGAACTTTTTTCTCGTGCAATGATGCAATGCAAAACTGCGATTAATCGCATTGCACAAAATTTAAACATGAGTTCAAGACTTAACAGTATTCCCTTTGCAAAGTAGCAGTTAATAGTTCTTGTGAATCCCAACTTGGACTTAATTCAATTTTAGAAATATATATGAAACTGCCATGGCATTCATATTTGATCTGGATTGTTATTAAAAAAGAAGTTACCCTCCATGTTCATGACCTTATAACAGGCCTGTTGTACCGGAGAAAGAAAATTTTTTCCAACACAAATATTCTGTACTCGTCACAAATATATGAATGCTTCATACCATTCAAAATATTATTCTTGGCTACAGCAAAATAACCACCAAGCTTGTGAATCATAATTGCCAACTTCCTTTGACATTCTTTGAAAATCCCAATATTGAGCCTTCCCGATTCTCTGCCGTGAAGCCTACACAAAAGCCTTTCCCTAGAGTACTTTATCTTTAACGTGGAACTTTCCATTCTTACTGTCCACACACTGGGTTACACATTAGCCAAGTATCTCCATATTTTAAAGGACTTTTAGGGCTGTTAGTGATTTATTTCTGTCACGATCGTGACCATGGGTCAGGACTCACACGGAGACTCGCAGGGTTGCCAAAACAAAAAATGCTTTATTCAAACAGAATATTAATAATGTCTGGGGGCGAAATCTATGAATCCTGGAGAGAGTTCGTAGTCTACGAACTCTCTCTGTGTTCTCTGGGCGAGAACATCTTGCTAACTGTGATAGAATTTACAGCGGTTAGAGACAGAAGATAATCCAGTGTGAAGCACTGCTTCTGGCAGTCAGTAAGGATGAAATAGAACTACAATGAAGCTACAAAGTGACAAGAGAGACACATGATTTAAATATGCTGGGAAGGTGCAGGTCATTGGCAAATGAAGGGAAACCATCAGGGATACGGCAGACAATCACAACCACAAGGGAAAACACACCAGGGCACGAAGTGAAGTTGACAAAATAACAGTTTAACAGTCACAACATTCAAAAGGTTTTATTTGTGTGTTATATTGATGTATTTCTTCCCCAGTAACATATAAATAGATGTTCAACCCTCACAGGGGTTCCAACCTGTATCCTGACAAAAATGAATTGTCCAGATTAACGAGGTAGTTAGAGTTATTACACTTTTTCTCATGGTATGCCATTTTTGGAAGAGAAGCCAAAAAAAAGTGGAAAAATATATATATTTTATTTGTCCCTGCTATAATAGAGAAACCTGTGTATTCTGCTCTGGTCAAAGTCTCTCTGGTCTTTCCAAAAGGACCACTACGACTGGGGCCTCCGAGCCATCAAGTCAGTCCTGGTGGTGGCCGGCTCTTTAAAGAGAGGAGAACCCAGCCGAGCGGAGGACCAGGTGCTGATGCGAGCTCTGAGAGACTTCAATATCCCCAAGATTGTGACGGAGGACATGCCTGTGTTCATGGGGCTGATAGGAGACCTGTTTCCTTCTCTGGACGTCCCCAGGCAGAGAGACCCAGACTTTGAAAAGCACGTTAAGGACGCCATTTTGGACTTGAATTTACAGGCTGAGGAAAATTTTGTCCTCAAGGTAAGATCAACACGAATCCTTGATAGTTTGTTGACATGGCTTTCGGTTGCATTTATTGGATTCACCAATGTTAACAAAGACGAAAGCAAATGCAATCATGGACGTTGTCTGTGAGGTAGGAGCTAAGTCCCCAAATGGGGTTTCATCTTTAACAACTGAGACGGATATTACAGCTGTAACACTTTCTTATCGTAGTTCTTTCCAAAAACTATTTACCTCACGTCGTAATTTTCCGCTGGGAAATACACATTAGTGTCAAACACGTCTGCAGGATCTGGATGAATCGGCCCAATATAGCAGAAAGCCCACGGTTGATATGAGGTCAGGTGCCCTAACTGCTGAACCTAATTCAAGGCATTACATTCATACAGATACACACACATGCCCAATATAAGGTGTTATGTGTCAGAGTTAGATGCACGCACGACCAGGGGAAATAAGTGCAATCTGCCTCAGGTCAAATAGACACGGGAACCACATAATAACACTCCATCAATGGATGCTGGAGCTGCACTATGCCACTTAACCCTGACATTGTGCAAGAAGGAAATAAACAAAGAGTAGGAGAAACATTGCGGGCTAGAGAGCAAATGGCGTAGCGGTCAATAACAACCATCCACCCCCTGAGCCTGAACTTTTACTGTCTTTGTCTGTGCGGCCAACCTTTTGATTCTAGACAATGAGGGGGGAGCAGGGGAAGTGAGAGAGACTGCATACCTGAAGCCTATAGTGTGGGCTGGCATTAGTCCTCCTCATATAAAAGCCGTAATCAGCCGAGGCCTTTAGGAGTGTAAAGCTGCCTGGGCACCGGCTCAATGGATGAGGAGCAGGAGCCCCGAGGAGCTTGGTCGATGGCATTGATTGAGCTTGCCATCTGTGTGGTTGAGTGGAAATCACTTCTCCCCCCTTTTTTTCTTTGTTAAACACTTTGTAACGTCACCCAACATGTATGGATTGTCAGAAAATGTCAAGGAAAAAGTATATTTGACTTTTGAGGGGTTCCCTCTGGACCACCAACGTACATTTTTCATAGTGGAAGAACTTGTTAGAAAAGTAAACTCTTAATACTAAATTTAGGTTATCAAAACCAGTTTGTCTATTACTGGTACCGATGCATACTGGAACCCAAAAGCACGAGTCGGACACTAATGAAAGAGACCGGTAGCTATACTCAAAGTTTCAGGCAGTTTAAAAAAGGGGAGATTCAAATCCAGAGGGGCAGGCAGGGGTTGGAACCGGGATGGCAATAAGTAGTGATATATCTTTCAGTGTCGAGGCTTGTATCGCTGACGTATGCGTTGGAAGCCTCGTGAGCCGCCGCACGTGGCTGATTCAGGAAATGGTTCAGGGGTTTGGCATGACATTCGAAATATAAGGGACAGCCAATGAGGCCCCACGAAGCTTCGGCCCCATGGGTAAACCAATTGGATGGATCGTTTCAGGCCTCATCTTGCCATCACTACCAATAAGACAGGCGATCAAATACAAAAAGGAGCAGGCAGGCAGGGAATCCGTGGTCAAAAGACAGGCTAGGTCCAAAGAAACGTATATCAGGCTAATGGGAAACCACTGGATGGCAAACACACGGGACAATCGGGCAGGAAACAGAAAGTGACTGATGGCTGATGGGGGGATGTGCTGCAGGTGAGAAGGACCAGAAGTTTACACTGGTCAATAAAAATAGTGAACTGTTAATGTAATGTCACACTAATGAATATTTTACTAACCCTTATTAGAACGTATTGAACATCTCGGGGAGGTGTAGTCGCACAAATAGACCAGCAGGCGGACACATGCTTTCTGTCCACCAGTGCGAATGTCATTTTGGGGGGGCCGTCCCCTTTGTTCAATGTATTGGTCACGGTCGGTAGGGGTAATGTCATGTCATGTAGGGGTAATGTGATGTTTTAAAGCTAGTGTGAAATGAAATCATTAGCATCAATAAAAGTAATAACAAAATAACCAAAGTTTAAAAACAAGTCTAATAATTGATATTCATTCATTAAGAGCGAGGAATTGAAGGTTTGAGTTTGCAGCCAGTATCACAACAAAATCACAGAAAACCGCCGCTTAAAGTATAACAGGGTTTATTAACGTCTAACAAAACTGATCAGACCAATACACTTATTATACAGCTATTGTATGATATCCTAATATCTAAGGAACTAATTTAAACATTCATTCATGCATGTGGAGGGGGTGGTGTGGGTGTGTGTGAGCGTGTGAGTGAGTGAGTGAAATTATAAATCAAATGAAAGAAGGAGAGACTCAAAGCAAAGCAGATCTTATGTGGAGCAGTGAGACACGATAGCATAACTTTATCGCACAGCCACGCTCATAAACACACACATTGCTCACAATGCAGTACACATCACAACAAAAATAACGACATGCTAATCTAACTTCAATTTCACTTCAATTCATTTTATTTTGTATACCACAAAATCAAAAATGACAAATTGGCCTCAGAGGGCTTTACAGTCTGTACACATGCAACATCCTCTGTCCTGAAACCCTCCATCGGCACAGGAAAAACTGCCCAAACAATGAAAACCCTTCATGGGGAAAAAAGGGAAGAAACCTCAGTGAGAACGTCAGAGGAGGATCCGTCTCCTGATGGACAGACTACAATGATGCCATGTGTACAGAATGAACAATGTAAAAGATACAATACAGCACATGTAATGTGCCATGTATGTACAATGCATTCAATTCCTATAACAGAAATGATTCAATAATTGCCAGTAGTAAGCTGGGCGCACCGCAGGCCCACTGCAGGGACAACTTCTGTCCAGCCTTACTGTGCATTGATAGGGTTTGCTGTGTTTCCTCCAGTCTTGTTAAACTCAGTGTCCGCTCTGTCCTTGGTTGGGGGGGTCGATTGGGGATCTCTCTCTCTAACACGGAAGCTGGATCAAAAGGGCTGGAGGAAGTTTTCCTTCTTGAGCTGCTTGGGCTGGAAGCGAGGACTGGGGGAGCCAGACTTCTCTGCAGCAGCTAGAAAATGTGTCCCTTTTCTGCTCACACTTACATACACAAACACAATATAAATTATAAATAAAATAAAATATTCAACCTTTTTATATTTTAATATTATTTTATATATTATTATTTTAGTTTTATGCAGCTGCAATATGGAATTGAGTCAGTTTTGGTCTCTCAGTCAAATCCAACAGCGCTGGCGACCATTGATCTTTGATGTGATTGGTCGTTGTCTCATTCAGACCAAAGCCACAGCCAATCACTCTACGGTCTCTGACACAGACATCATGACATTGTGAGGAAAAGGTCAAATTGAACTAAAAGTCAAATACCACGTCTCCATGAAAACAGAAGGAGACATTAGAAGACGTTAAACAACTAGTGACGACTTGACACCATGAAAGATAAACGCATGTCTGTTAGGTAAAGTAGCTGGAGGGGCCCTTTTGCACTGAGCACTGACTGATGAGGGTGCAGATATCTGTCCCCCCAGAAGACCAATGCTTTCTTTCATTGTAGCCTTTGAATGGCGTTCCCTGCAGTGTGCTACCCTGTCCAGCTACACATCATTGTACTCCCCTATAAAACACAGCATTGAGAGGGAGCAGTCCTGTGTAGTAGCCCATGAAATGCTAGAAAAGGGACAGCGTGAACATGTAAACTATGTCAACAATGTTCTTCAAATGATGTGAACAAACATCGTATTTTAATGCTGTGTGTGTTTGTTAGATAGTGCAGCTGGAGGAGCTGCTTGCAGTGCGTCACTCGGTGTTTGTGATCGGGAACGCTGGTACGGGAAAGAGTCAGGTGATGAGGTCACTCCAACGGACCTATCAGAAGATGAAGCGCAGACCTGTTTGGGCCGACCTTAATCCAAAGGCTGTGACCAATGATGAGCTTTTTGGAATCATCAATCCGGCAACCAGGGAGTGGAAAGATGGTGATAACAAACTCCTGCGGAAATTTTGATCAGTCCAAAGTGTTTCATGACCTGGGTCAAATATGCAAAATGTAAACTCCTTTTTCCTTAAGGCTTGTTCTCCAATATAATGCGTGACCTGGCCAATGTCACTCACAACGGACCTAAGTGGATCGTTTTGGACGGAGACATTGACCCGATGTGGATCGAGTCACTCAACACAGTCATGGATGATAACAAGGTGAGAGTCAATTAGTCTTTTATTCAGCTTTAAAACAACAACGTTTACACACTTTGACTATCTGATTGAATCTGCATTCAGATTTGATCATGTGGTTGAATCATCGCTGACGTGAGAGAGGAGTAAATGAGATAAAATAATGTGATGAAAATAAAAGTGTATGCATGTGACGCTGAGAAGAGGGAATTATTAGGCAATAATTTTCTGTTATGGAAGCAGCAACACACTGTCCAGGGAAAGGTCTAACTCTGCCTCAGTCAGAAATGATTGGCCATATTAATATTAACACTATAAATACAATGTTACATATACAAATGAGGTCAAATGCTGAATCGCCAGTGCATTTTGTTTAAACATGCTTTGTGCTCCTGTGAGGTGCTGACTCTGGCCAGTAATGAGCGGATCCCTCTGAACCCCACCATGAGGCTGGTGTTTGAGATCAGCCACCTTTGCACTGCGACCCCGGCTACAGTATCTCGAGCAGGTAGTCGCCACCCACCTTTCTTTGGCTTTCCTGACAACATTGTTGTATTTTATACATATTTTTTTGCAGCAAGCCAGAGTTAGAAACTGGACAAAGTGGGCTCGGTGACTTGTTGCTATTTGACAAATTTGTTCACACTAATTGTATTCAGCCTCATTTTGAAGCCAGGTATAAGTGGCTTTCTAATTTCTACCTGGTGTTGGGGGTCAAAGGAGTTCACATTTTAGCCCCAGGGTATTTTAACACCAAATGTGTTGTATTCCATATCTCTGTTCAGGTATCCTGTACATAAACCCGGCAGACCTTGGTTGGAACCCGCCGGTGTCCAGCTGGATTGAGAGAAGGGAGGTTCAATCAGAGAAGGCAAACCTGACCATACTGTTCGACAAGTACCTCCCCTCTTGCCTGGATGGCCTCAGATCAAGGTATCGCAGCGCTCATCATCTGCACCGAAGTAATTCCATTCTTACAGTCATGTTCAGCTTGGCGCGTAGCACAGGGAGGAACTGTGTTAAAGTGGCCACGTTGACCCAAAGCAAACAGGGACTGGATGCTATCCTGCCTTCTATTGTACAGGACCACTTGCCTCCTTCAACTCCTGCATCACTCCTGCTTAAAGGCCAAACAGCCACAACAGAAGGCAGAGGGAGGAAGACAGACAGGAGGAATATTTGGTTCTCATTTTGAGCCAACCAATGCAGAAAATGCACCACTGTGCAGTCCCATGCTACTGTATGCATACGCCACATAGTGTATGCATACAGCGTTATAAACAACACAAATTCTGTTCATTCTAAATGAAATAAGTCTGAATAAGCGCTGAATGAGAAACCCACATCAGCAACTTGAATCCAGGGATACAATGTGTCTGTCTTCGCTCAGGTTCAAGAAGATCATCCCTATCCCTGAGCAGAGTATGGTCCAGATGCTCTGCTACTTGCTGGAATGTCTGCTAACTCCAGAAAACACTCCGCTGGACTCTGCCAAGGAACTTTACGAGCTCTATTTCGTCTTTGCTGCGGTCTGGGCCTTCGGGGGAGCCTTGTTCCAGGACCAGGTACTACGTGGGCCTTTGGGCCGCTTACAAAGTGCTTGCAGAGAGGAAAGAAAGAGGACACTCCTGAATAGCTGAATGTTTTTTCTGTCTCATCATGTCCCTTCTGAAAGAGTCTTTTTCACTTGCATCATAACTATTCCTTAGTTTAATTCAACCCCTGATGGCTCTTATGCAGCTCAACTTTGTGTCTCTTGTTAAGAAAAGTTATTTTCAGTTTAGTTGTCAGAGGTTTCCATCCGAAAATGAAGTGGGCTCAATTCCCGCTACACAAATACAGGCTGGCTGAATGTAAATGAGCAGGAGAGCCGTGGCCAGCAGTTGCTAAGCAATCCAGTCAACACCGCACAGTAAGTGCGTCCATCTAAGTTATGGGATGAAACTGCTCTTCCCTTTGTAAAGATGTTCTCCCCCTTTTTTCCCATTAAAGATGCATTTAAATGCTAAGTGGTTTCATTGACTGGAGTTGTTAGTGAGTAGCGGAGACCGGTACCAAGGGGTGGGAGACTGGGGAAGAAAGCAAACTGCCAACCAGCAGCTGATGAGGCGGCTTCCCTGTCTGAGTCAGACAGATGGAGAGAAAGGCCCTCCATCTCATTTTCTGCTCTTCAACTGCTGTCCCCATCTCTATGTTGTTGCCATCTATTTGTCCTCTCGTTCACACATCCATAGCTACTGTAGGGATGGAAAGCGTGGACAGGAAGTCTTTTTGGAGTTTTGACCGCTTGCCTTCGTCTGTGTGTCTGCGTGTGTGTTCTCTGTAAGTGTAGCTGGTGGACTATAGAGTGGAGTTCAGCAAGTGGTGGGTGGCCAAGTTCAAAACCATCAAGTTCCCATCCCAGGGCACCGTGTTTGATTACTACATCGACCCGGAGAGCAAGAAGTTTGAACCATGGTCCAAGATGGTGCCCAAGTTTGAGATGGATTCTGATACATCTCTTCAGGTACGGTCGGTTGTTCCAAGCTTCAGTTTTATATGCTGGACGTATTCTTCAATTAAATAATTTGGGGTATTAACAATTGGTCAAACCTATTGGTCAAACCTAAATACGTACCGTACTTATTAAGTAGCTTAGGGGGGGGCTAATGAATAGCCTGATGAATAGCCTGATTATTAATCTAAAATACATCACCTCCACGATTTGGGAGAGGAGAGGAGGGAATGGCCTGTCAGCCGTCCTGACCTGAAACCCAAAATGTAGGCACCAGTAAAGGGGAAAAAAGACCTTCCAACGGTACAGGATTTGTTGCAACAAAGAAAGAATATGTATATATATATATATATATATATATATATAAACTATAATAATAATATCTATTCATGCAGGCGTGTCTGGTCCACACTACAGAAACCATTCGAGTTTGTTACTTCATGGACCGCCTCCTTGAACGTCGGCGGCCTGTCATGCTGGTCGGGAATGCCGGGACAGGGAAGTCTGTAGTGGTCGGGGACAAACTGGCAATGTTGGATTCAGAGAAATACATGATTAAAAATGTCCCTTTTAACTATTACACCACATCGACTATGCTCCAAGGTAAGAAACCGTGCAATGGAAAATATTTCAATTGTGTCTTGGTTGATGTACTTTCCAGTTATATCAAATGTCTACAACTCATTTGTGACTCTAAACTACTTAATAAATATATATTGCTTTTAAATGATGCCTGTTATTCCTACACGGCTGCTCTTTACTCCTCCGCTCCTCTCCCATACAGCTGTGCTGGAAAAACCTCTCGAGAAGAAAGCTGGGCGTAACTACGGTCCCCCAAACGGCAGAAGACTGATCTACTTCATAGACGACATGAATATGCCCGAGGTGGATACATATGGAACGGTGCAACCTCACACGCTCATTCGCCAACACATGGACTACAACCACTGGTAGGTGTCAGTTAGCTATGTTCTATTATTGTACATGAGCAAACATGAGGGAAGGTCTGAGCTGTGAGAGACCCTAATAACTATACTGAGAAGCTCTTTAGTATTCAGCAGGCTCCCGTTCCCAGTATCAATATGGTACACCTGGAATAAGCCCAAAGGCAAATGTAAGGGCAGGGCTCTGATTCCCCTTCAAGGGCTCCCTTTGCTTATCCCTCTGACACAGCGAGGCCATTCTCAACATGGTTGCACATGATTGGACACGGTCAGCCCATTACACATATGCGGGAGGAAGATGCTACTGAGGCACGTCAGCTGAAGTGCAGCTGGGGGGGCCATATCGGTGCGGTTGGGTGTTTATGTGAATGCCAGACCATAAAAACGATGATTTATATTCCTCGTGTGTGTTTGTGTGTGTGCACTTCCAGGTATGACCGTAGTAAGCTGCTTTTGAAGGAAATACACAGTGTTCAATATGTGTCCTGCATGAACCCGACGGCCGGCAGCTTCACCATCAACCCCCGGCTGCAGGTACGCACACACACACACACACACACACACTGCTCGGTGTGTGCAATACTGGTTATGTAACACACTGCAGAGGTTACGTGAGTACTTTATTCATTTTGGTTTAGTTTGATTTAACTTAGAACCTCTGAATGGAACATTATGTTTCAGCATAAGAGATGTTCATGGATTTGTGTAATATCTCAAATTGATCTGATCTTGTAAAACCTTTAAACATAAGAAAAGAGAGGGAAATCTTTTCTCTGCTGCTACTCGGCTGTGCCTACATGTACCAGGGTGCATTGCGCTCAAGCGGAGAGTTTGATATGTCTGATGAATAAAAGAAAAGAAACTCACAAAATCAACAAAAGTACACAAGCAATTTTCTTTCTTACACCGAGTTAAGACAGGCTTAGTTGACTGGTTGACTTCATCCTGAGTGGAAGGAAAGTGGAAGGAAATTAACTAAAACTAAACACGTCTTCCACTGCAAGCAATCGCAACGCTTGACCTTTAAATCAGCTCATTATATTGACAAAAATTTGTCCCCAACTTGTCACTTGATCACTAGTTCATACGTTCCTTATGGAAATTGGAATAATTTACAAGAGCTTGCCATCAAAGTTTTAGCAAATGCTACTCAAACGAGAAGTACATTTGCATTTGCAGGGGACGATTTTCAGTGGCTGATTAAATTTGCAATTGGCGCTTTAGTAAGAGGCCGGGTCAGAACAGGACGTTACAGGAAGAGGAAGGAGGTGGAGATGCACTTTAGAGTGGTCACATCTCATTTTAACCAAGAGTCAAAAATCCTGTTTATTATCCAAATTCGAGAGACGAAGGAGAGTTAAAATAATCACAGAGTGAACGATATGAAGGGAGCAGCAACAAAGAAATGCTTAAATCTCCAAATTACAGATAGCGGAGTTTGATCAGATATGGGAAAATATTATTACCAAGTATGCAGCACATCAACTTCTACCTTGGATATGCAGCACACACAACTACCTGACCAAAGTTCCATTTGATTATATTTCAGATTGAAGGCACCGTCCTTCTTTTACTTAAGTGTGGACCAACAAGTTGACATGCTGCATCTCTCTCCACAGCGCCACTTCTCTGTCTTCGCCCTGTCCTTTCCTGGAGCCGAGGCTCTGAACACCATCTACAGCTCCATCCTGTCTCACCACCTGAGAGGAGAGGGCTTCGCCGGCACACTGCAGAAGAGCTGCCCCACCCTGGTCCAGTTGGCCTTGGCCATGCACCAGCGGATCTCCTCCACCTTCCTTCCCACTGCGCTCAAGTTCCACTACATCTTCAACCTGCGGGACCTTTCCAACATATTCCAGGTGATATATTGCTAAAAAAAAGGAAATAGGAAGGATTTATCTATACAGACTTTTAGAATGACAAGATATATTTGCAATTAAATGAGAAAGTTGTGTGCTTTTTCATATCCCGCTCTTTTCCTTTCTAAACATGTTTTGTCTTCATTCTCTGTTTTTACCTTTCTGCTGGATCTGAAGCCAGAAATAAGTCTGCAAATAGGATGGATTTGTACTTCCACAGGTACCGGGTATGAGTGAATGCATGTATGTATATGTAAATTAATATAATATTAGAATGCAGAGGCTGTCAAGGGAGACTTTGGTGGCCAACACCTCCTGGGTATCATAGCGGGAAGCTCTCTCTTTAACTCACTACGTTATGATCAGTGCTTAAATACAATGCGCATTAACATATGTCATAATTCCATCCGTGAGTTCTTTCTATAGCAAACTATTACACAACCTATATACACAGGGGTGTACTGAAATTACATTTAGATTCATGTGTAATGAAAAATGAGTTGGTTATGAGTAAAAAGCACAAATATGCAGGCTGAGATTGACAACAAGATGACAATGAGCAAATGCACCCAAAGGAGCATAAACAAGCACAGGTTAAAAAAGGCTGAAGCACGCACTCTGTTCCCCCCACTAACGCAAAGAGACTATAAGGGCTCAACATCTTTTAAATAGGAATGGGTCAGCATGTTGTAGCAACCAATCACGTTACCGCGGTGACCCCAAAGAACTTCATGGAGAATTGTCAGTTTCTATTTTATGTTTTTTTACTCCTTGCCTGGCCTCACGAGATGTCAGGTACTTTTCAGATACGCTCTTCTGATGTGTGTCCGCTTAGATAACAAAGTCGATGGTTGAACCAGGCGGCGAATGTAGCTGCTGTTTGCATTCCCCCTGCTGTTTTATAATTTTATAGTAAGTCCTAAGTGTCCATTGGTTCTTAAACCTCCCTACGTCAGGCTGAAGATGTGTACTTCCCAACGGTTCAGTATACCAAGTAATCAATATACGAGGTGACGATGAAAAACAACACAACGTTTTACGTTTAGGTTTCTGGCAGACGATGTTCCCAACCAGCTGCATAGTCTTGTTCTCAACCACATTTCCCCGTTATATATCTGAGTGCTGGTCTCTCCCATATCATCCTAAATGAGCTCCTCACAGCTGAAGAAGGGAGGAGAGAGCCGGGCTGACGGAGCAGATGTCTGTACCATGTTCCATGGGTGCATTGTTTGGGGCTCAGGCTCAAGGAATCTCTGATCCCTCTGAGCCAGACACACCAATGAAGACGGCCCGCCAAAGTTGGCTGGATGGAGTGAAAAAAGTTTTGTCTCCTTCTCGGTTTGTTAGCAGAGTGCATTGGTACAGCGAACCGCTAAGCTACAGCTAACAGTATGGCTGTTATCTACAGATGCCATATGGTGTTTTGTTTTGCTCTGGCACACATTTACAGGGTCCTGATTGACACCATTAAGCATGAAATGGAGTGAAAAATACAGATCTATTAAAAGTGAAAGGATTAGTGTTCACACACGCTCTCGTAAACATCTTGACTTTTGTAGATGTGGAGTAGCAGCGATTATTCTGTCTCAGTCTGAACCTTCAGTGCACATCCTCCCACACGGGCCCACCGACCGTCACAGGCTCACGTATGAAGGCAGATCAGACTCAGCTGACGGCCCAAAGAAGGCGCCGTCGATCGGAATAACTTCTAGGGCTGGAAACACACAACATCTGCTTGCCTCTGTCTTCTGGGGGACAGAGGGTGGGACACACGTGGTGTGGACTACACGGGGAAGGTGCAGGTGACCTGAGGAAACATTTGGTTACACAGCAAAGAGAGAAAGACCCTGAAAGACGTTTGATTTAAATACATACCTTCAATTAGAAATCAAATCAATTTAATTAATAAACAGGAAAATACAAAATGAAGCAGGAGAAGAACCTCCACTGGGACACATTTGCTTGGAGACGTCTGGTTTCGGTCCTCCATTGGCCGTAGCCCTGTTAAAGAGACACTGCGGACCACTGATTGGTCAGAAAACATCAGAAAACAGTCTCTCGCTTTCACCTGCTTTGCTTTTGATAGAATCCTTCAGATCCCATGTCCCAGCTACTCAAATTACACATTATACAAGCGTGCAAAAAGGATCCTCAGTGAACATGGCCGACAGCCACATTCCACATGCAGACATGTTTTTCTTTGAAAATAAACACTGTAAGCAACAGTCACACTCAGTCCCACCTTTATTATTCCTCATTCTTCCATCCAGCCCAACAAAGCCAATCTCCAGTGAGATGAAAGAAACATGTTGTTTCTCTGACCAACCTGCAGCTTTCTGCCTCCATATCCATCCATCCACCTGCAGTGACTTTCCTCCTTATTGTGTAAATCCGCCTTCTCTCCCCTCCCTGCCCAGGGCCTTCTCTTCTGCACCGCCGAGTGTCTGAGAGCCCCTTCGGACCTGCTGAAAGTCTATCTGCACGAGTCCAACCGGGTCTACAGGGACAAGCTGGTGGAGGAGGGGGACTTCCAGGCCTTCGATAAGCTGCAGGCGGACACAGTGACTAAGTTCTACGAGGTGAGACCTTTTCAGCCGCTGGGTGGGGGGCATCGTGAGGTTGCCTGCTCTGTCTGTAGAGGGGGGTGGAGGAGGGAGAATATAAATCAGCATGGTACGTCTGGCTGTCTGGGTCTGCACTCAGCTCAGCTTTTTTCTGTCCACTGCCCCCCCCCCCCTCTCCTTCCCTCCCCCAACACAGCAAAGTATGTGTGTACCGATACCCAGAGAGAGGCAGAATGAATAACACTAACCACTCTGCAATAGATTATTCAGACCTCCCCTTGCGCCACACAGCAACATCTTGCTATTTTTACATACAAACGGGAAAGTCCTCTTAATACCAGGACGATGAGCACAGAAGATAAAAAGATGCGAATTTAAAAAACAAACAACTTCTTCCATCACACATTTAGCTTCGAACCAGTAAAACTGAGAATACAAACCAGCATCTGTAAAAGGCACAAACATCTCTCATCTCTCCAGTGAAATATTTGGTGCCCAACAGGGTAAATGACACTGTTTAAGCTCTTCACTTCTATTATACTGAGAGGGGTTGTTTACTGCTGCACAATGTGTGTGTGTGTGTGTGTGTGTGCATATCCCTCCCCAAGGACGTGGAGGAGACTCTAAAGCAGACCAGGGAGATGAACCTCTACTGGCATTTTGCCCATGGGCTGGGGGAGGCCCGCTACATGGCCGTGGAGTCCTGGAGCTGCCTTAATAAAACCCTGCTGGAGGCACTGGACAGCTACAACGAGGTCAACGCCACACTCAACCTGGTCCTGTTTGAGGACGCCATGGCTCACATGTGAGTGGAGGCTTTGGTACCCTGTGGACTAAACTCCATCGCCTGTCAAGGAACTGAACCAGTGTCCCACATGTACTTTAGGATTCATGGTTCTATCTTACAGACTGGGATAAGCACCAACAGGCAAAGTAATCCAGGATACATAATGACGGCAAGCAAAATACACAAAACCAGGTTTTGCTTCAGTCTGAAAAACTGAATCGTCTTACTGCCCCAAAGTTGTGCTAATTGTTTGACACCGTTAAGCTATTTGATATTTTTACTGATTTAACGATTCAAACCCAAGACATATTTTTTTATGATTGAACCTTTTTATCAAAAGTAAATGGAGTGTGTCTCCTCGTGACTTTGTGAGGGATCATCACCTCTAAAGTTCTCTTACAAATCCAAACCAGGTTTGGTGGGTTTGAACTGTGCGCAGCATGAGTGTGTGTTTCAAACACATGATTGAGTCACACGGTTGCACTGGTGGACTTTTGGTCAACATGGGGATTGTAGCTTAATAAAAAGGTTCTTCATTTATTGGTAATATCACAAAAAAAGAATTAGCCCAATAGGGAAGATCCCACTACCAGGATGACCAGAAGAGTGATAGAAGTCATCTGTGCAAAATGAACAATGCCTTTAATGCGACAGAAATGATTTGTATATTGACTTTTTCTTGCTTGCTTTATATTCTAACAACAAACTTGATTACAGCAGATACTATTTTAATGTTTTCCTATTCATAAATCCCCATTCATAAACATGAATAACATGAATGAGCTCTGAAAGCAGTTGATGTATTTCTTGAACAATCAAATATCAAGGCAAATGTCAGTCGGTATGTAAAGGCAGTTGAAATGCTGCTGGAAGTCTGCAAACGAAGCAGCAAAAAGGACAAAGAAGTCAATTCACTGTAGACGTGGACACACTGGTCTTCTCTACTTGTCTCTGATGCTCGATGTGAATGAAACCGGCAGAATGGAAACAGTGTGTTTGTTTGTACTATGAGTCATAAACTGTCTTCATACAGCTTGCTTCCTTCTACGTCTCACGACATCTAACCCTTCCACTGATTCCTCCCTCTTACCTTCCTCCCCCCTGACTGTCTTCGCCTCCCATGTAGCTGTCGTATAAACCGAATCCTTGAGTCTCGGCGGGGGAACGCGCTGCTGGTCGGCGTGGGCGGCAGCGGCAAGCAGAGTCTGACCCGACTGGCTGCCTTCATCTCCAACCTGGAGGTGTTCCAGATCACCTTGAGAAAAGGATACAGTGTGGCCGACCTGAAGGTTTGATGATCTCAACTCAACTCAATTAGTCACATATTAAGTATTCCATATGTGTAGGTGTGCCGATGGACTATTTAACCCTCTCACTGCCCAATCTCATTACGTCTTTCCTCTGTCAACCAGAGTGACCTCGCGTCCCTCTACATGAAAGCCGGCCTGAAGAATATTGGCACTGTGTTCCTGATGACTGACGCCCAAGTTGCAGACGAGAAGTTCCTGGTTCTGATCAACGACCTGTTGGCATCGGGTAACAGACTTTGCTCATTACTCTGCTCCATGTTTTGCAAGAAATAAATAATCTGCTTTATCGCAGCAGCAAATCACCGTGGAGCCATTTGTGCAGATTAATATCAGGCTGGTTTTACATCAGGAGTGCGATATGTATGATAATGATCACATGAAGTTAGACTTTTTATCAAAATGTTAATGCTGACGTGCACAGTTTGGCAGTTTGTAAACACAGAGGTAGTTTATCATTTGGAAAAGATGTCATACACCAACCAATACTGGGACCACAGAACAACAACTACACAAACACCAACTTGAACATTAATGTGAAGACATAAAATGAGACCATGAAAAGGAAAATGTATTTCTTTCCCTACAAATAAATACTTGAATTCTTTGGAATAAAATGCAGTCCAGTCTTACTTGGCCTGATAAGACATGGGGCTTGTAGTATTTGGGTATCGTGTTAGCCCTGTAAGGCAGGGATTTAAAATCCAATGATTTGAATTCAATATAACTTTACACAAACAGAAAATAAACGTTGCCAACAACGCCACCTAGTTTGGGGAGTCTAGGTCTCCAGTTTAGGTTCTTTGGTCTTTCTTCTTTGTCGAGGGGAGAGCAGCATGGATCACAAAGACATAACTTAAAAAATGCTTTCATTTATGAGCTAAAACCCACAAAATGCTATAAAATAACTGCTATTCTATTGTTAAAAGTTGAGCCAAAAAAGGATCTAGTAAATAATTACAGAGAGTTCAAAAACAGGTCAGGAGGCGGCCACAGGGAGCTTTGTTGGGCTCCAGCTGGTTCAGGTTTATCCGTATGGACACCAGCGCCTATGGACACGTCTTCCTCTGCAGGGGCTCTCCTTGCCTCACTCCTTTGCCTGGCCTTTTACTCCCTTCCCTCCATCCGGCCTGTTGGCTGGTTCTCAGTTCTATTTTGAGGTTAAATTAGTGTCCAACAAACGCTTGGTAAAATTGTAGGTTATAAAAACACAAATGAGACAAACCATGGTGAAATCAATAAAACAAACCGATGTTCACAGCCATATGGCCTAATCTCCTGATGACAATTTCTGTGACTGACAATACTGAACTCTTTCTTACTAGTACAATAGATACTACATCAGTTATCACAAGTGTTGTTTCCTGTTTGTGGTCAGCAGAACCAGCAAAGCTAGCGATAGCAGTGATGTAACCATCTAAACTCATTGTCGACAGCTTGAACCAACAACCAACCTTACAGAATATTATTGGCCTGATAAGCAATAGGTTGGTCATTCCAATGTGCCTCATGTTGTTGTGATATCAATAATTGAATTTTACCTGATTGTGATGGAGTTGACTGCTCGTGGGAACTCGATGGCTTTGTTAACTGGATATGAAGTTTTTCATCTGACTCGATACTCAATGGATCTGGTTATCAGACTAGTCCAGAAACGATGAGGGTTTATCTTTTAGCCCGATGTCACACCAGATCAGGCCTCGAGGGGCATTGGGGTAAAACTCAAATGACTGGAAGCGCATGTTTTTTTTAATAGAATGTCTGTACTCAATTTTCACGTAGTGAATGTGTCAACAGCTCCGTGGGGCTTTGATAGAAATCAGCTTTGCATTTGCATGATCCCTCTGGATGAACTGCTGCTTCCACCACCTCTATTAATACAGCTACATTTGATAAGAAATCTCAGTGTCAGTTCTTAAGATAAGAAAGTTCTGGAGAGTCTCGACTGCTTCCCACTTTTTTTTGGGTAGTTTTGCGTTCAGAGTGGTAATGTGATGCTGATTTGACTCATTCAAGGAGAGATTCCTGACCTGTTCCTGGATGACGAGATGGAGGACATCATTGGCAGGGTGAGGCCAATGGTTCGCACCTCAGGGTTGATGGATTCAAGGGAAAACTGCTGGAGGTTCTTCATTGACCGGGTTCGCCGACAGCTCAAGGTGAAGTAGTCCGATTATCTGAAGAGTGCAGCGCAAAAAGCTGCATTCTGTTTTCAGAACTTCACTACCAATCATCACCATCTATACACAGTATATAGAGATGGAGAGCAGAGGTCCCCACCCGCGGGCCCCAGCACAGAAAGAATAAATATATATCTTTTTGACATTTGTCATTCTATTCTGAAAATTTTTTTTTTTTTAAATTGACCGGATTCTCTCCTAATTACGTGCGCTCGTCCCCTTGACATATTCCCCAAGCGTCACCAAGCGTTTTCTTTTCACAATTGCCCGCTCCTTGGTGCGTACGTCTGTTCTGCCCCCCCAAACGCCCCCCTGACGGCCGCTTATTTTGTTGTGTTTATCCTGCACACCTCTAAGACTGGTTCACGAAATATTGTCTAACATGAAAACTGTGAGGCAAAAAAGGTCGGGGACCCGTGAAGCAGAGCATGATGTCGCCTCACACTCAGTGTAAAGGACAAATGAAAGCATTTGGGTTGTGATGAAGTCACTCACCGACATGAGCATAGAAGCCCTGCCTGGGGAGAGAGGGATGCCAGTGTCCACCCCCACTACAGACATCCTTCACCCCACCTCGCCCCCAGCTAAGACTCCCTGGGTTGGAGAGTGAATCAGTTGGGAAGGCACAGAGTATTGGACTGTGTAGCTGTTTGGATGGACCGGGTAATGTTGGTAATATGATTGAGAGTTTAAATCCTGATCCATACATGTACATCATTATTACACTCAGACCTCGGAGCACATGGCTTTGGACTAGTAGTTACTAATAGTATTTGATTATTAAAAAGAATTCGGAAAAGGCTTTGTGCTACCCACATGTATTTCTGGACTCTTTTAGGCCTTTTTACTTTAAAATATGATATATGTTAAACATTCCCAACTCTAATGAAAAGGGGGAAACAATCATTAAATAAGCTACTGATAACTAGGAGGATTCAGGGCCCCGATGCGAGAGTCTGTTTGTGATGATTTTAACTTGGTTGCATAATTCTCACGATGGGTTCTGCATTATATTGGGTACCTTTCTTGCAGAGAAGCCAGATATCTTAATTGTTCACTTCATAAAACTTCATTTTTTTAAATAAGTGCTCTTTCCCAAACCAATGCTTTCATATATCCACAACAATATGACGTATACTGTGAAGCAGTAGTGTGGAGAACGTGTACATACAGTAGTCTGTATTGTGAGAATTGTACATGCTCCCATTAGGGTGTAGTCACATGTAGATATGGCTTCATAGAAAGGGTCACTGGCCGACATGGTGAGTAGATCCATTCTCCCAAGAAATGTAAGATTAGTATGCGGCTACTTCCTTTCCAGACTTGATTATCATCAGCAGTGCCTTCGGGTATGACATGTTTGTTTCTAATAGTATCGAGCATCTGGCTGAGCTGTTCAAGCAGCCAGCTGTTCAGCAGCTCGGAACATTCTTTTAATGCACGTGCTTGCTGGAGGCTTTATTTGTTTAATGATGTAGCTGCAAATAATAAATTCACAGTTCTCCATTGCCACTCTTGACCGCAAAGAAGTGCCAGTCAGAGCAGGTCTTCCCTGCCTTTCTTTTCTCATTCGGACCGACTCCAGTTGTACTCGGTGTATTTGACCTTGGTGAGTGTGTCTGTGTGTGCTTGTATTGCAGGTGTCACTGTGTTTCTCGCCGGTGGGCAGTAAACTGAGGGTTCGCAGCAGGAGGTTTCCTGCACTGGTGAACTGTACAGCGATCGACTGGTTCCACGAGTGGCCACAGGAGGCGATGGAGTCGGTCAGCTTCAAGCTCCTCCAGGAGGTGCACCATATTGATGTGAGAACAGCTGATATTTCAAAAGCTAGGATGTAAACGCTACACAAATATAATTTCAAATGTCAGGGACCCTGTTTATAACCAGAGGCCACAAATAATGTAGTCACAAAAAACCAAGTCACATTCTTGGTTATTTCCTTACTGGAGTCAGCCTGGGTTGCTTTGGAATGACATTAAACGTCTCCGTTAGCATTAGCATTAGTTTCGGTCATCTCTAGCGGTAGACGGCACACGTGTGACGTCATTTGTTTTAATCAATGGCACGCAATCGACCTGTACTGCCTTTGCAACCTATTGGGTACCCCTGGTGTACGGTAACTCCTGTCATCAGTGTATGAATGGATGTGAATGGGTGAGTGATTTACCATTCATCTTTCTTTGTTGTGAAGTAACAAGTTGTGGTGTACGATACTCTTACAGCCCCAAGTGAAGGAGTCGGCCAGTAAGTTCATGGCATACGTCCATATGAGTGTCAATCAGACGTCACGGGAGTACTTAGCCAACGAGCGCCGCTACAATTACACCACGCCCAAGTCCTTCCTGGAGCAGATCAAGTTGTACTGCAGCCTCCTGGGCCAAAAGAGCCAAGACCTCACCACCAAGATGCAGCGGCTGGAGAACGGCCTGCAGAAGCTTAACAGCACCTCCGCTCAGGTACAGTTGCCATTTAAAACTCCACCCATGTTTCATATGAATAAAAACAACCCTGTAAAAGAAACGGTAAAATGACTGGCTGCAATGGTTGCCAAACAAAAAACATAAAATTAAAGTGCAAAATCCTGATTCAAATAAAGTAAAAATTAAAATTAGAAAAAAAAATGTTCATGGATATTGTCATTTAAGGTTTTGCAGGGATACATTGTTTTTACAGATTGTTCCTGTATTATTCAAATCAAACACCTTGAAAACAGGGATACAACTAAAACCTCTGCAGAGAAAAGGTAAAGGCATGGTTAGGTAGGCTGTTATGGTACAGATTTTTCGTGATTTACAATCAGCAGTGAGAGGACAGGTGTCTTGCTCAGGGACACAATGACACGTATCAGCCCGATACAGTAAACCCTGCAGTCTCTTTGCACTGCAACACGGTCGCCTCGTGTTGCCACTCCAAAGGACTTATAGTTATCACTCTGGTTCCCACTTTCTACCTGGACTATGTATTGTCTTCAATATAGTTTTTTCAGATTCATTGGCAAATATGTGACATCACTGGGTGGGGGTGTGGCCAGAGGCACAACCTGCCTGAAAGTTTCAACATGAGCAGTCCAGCTTTGTACTCTTTTAAAAAAGACTATGTTTTATGTAATGAAAAATGTAATAATAAAAGTACATATTAATAATAAAAATAATAGGATTTACCCTAAAATTACTAATAAAATCATGAATTTGTATTTTACATGAACTTATATATAATTTAAGAAAGGAATAAAAATACTGTATTGTATTCTGTTTGCACTATTAGCATATTACTTATAGATATAGATAGAAAATAGATTAACAGTTGGGTTATTCATTTACAGATAATGTCTGTAATTTTACAGCGTTTTGTTTATAATAAAGAAATATCATCAGACAGTTTTATATGAATAGTTTGATGAATGTATCCAAATGTAACAGAGTACAATGAAAGACTCAAGTAAGAATAAGAAGTATGTTGCAATTAAATCAATTTACTTTTGAAAAGTACTTGAGTACATGTAACGCAGTAAATGTAATCTGTCCTTCTGCATACTTTATGCTACCCAAAGCTACTCACCTTACTAAACCATACAGAGTAGAGTAGAACCAAAGCTTGACAATCTTTCCTTTTCCCTGTTTTATCATGATAAATGTTTATTTGAAGTATTTGATGTTTGCATCTTAAATATCTACACCTGGATCCTTTTGTCCAAATGTTTACCATGTGCACACTTTTGCAGAAAAGAGAAGCATGAATAATGCAGGATTTGTGTGTAAAGTAGTCCTAATTATAGTGGCTTAACTACACAGTGCAAGGGAATGTAACATCACCAACACACACACACATCATTCCACCGCCTACACACTGTGCATCTCCATTGCATTAACATGCCCACATGCACCCACCTGCATATGTCACACGTTTCCCACTGACTGTATAACAGTGAAGCCATTAATGCTCCCGGTGTTTGTTAGCGCATCAATATCGATCCACACTGAGAGCTGTTACTTAACATTCGGTGGTCACCAGAGGCTGCTGTGTCCTGATCAACAAAAGAAGAGAAATCTTGTGTGTGTTGGTTGTGCGTGCGTGTGTGTGCATGTGTGTGTGGGTGCAGGCGTGTGAGTGTGCTTGCGATGGGGGCTTTGGAAATGCTGTGTGTAACTGGATGAGTCATCTGCTTCCTAGAGGACACATTGGTTCCATGTTTTTGTCGGCTTTCATTTGTGGAGGCTGTGTCCTTTACAGTCTTGTGATAACTTTAGTAAAATAAGTAGTGCTGGTAATACTAGACATAGTGTAAGTTGTAGTTTATATAGAATCTCCACTGAAAGCTCTTTGCTTTGGAAATAAGAAAAATAGCAGGTTTCTCTGAAAGTATAATAAATGGCCTCATTTTGCTCTTTGTGTCTTCTATACTTCTATATTCAAATGGTTGTAATCGGCAGCAGGCGGTGAAAGGGCTTCTTGTGCATTTGGCAGCAGTGGATAAACACAGAAGCCACTCAGATGTAATGAATATCCGCCATGTCTCCCATCAATTAGTTTGTCCCCCCCCCCTCCCCCATCTCCCCGTATACCCTCTGCCTATTTATCATATTGATGGCTCACTTGGTGCTCGTCTAATGATCAAATATTTTGCAGAGAATCGGCTCAACCCAAAAGAGCGTTTTTATCTCTGGCCTGATTTCCTGTTTGTTAATTAGCAGAAAGACAAGCATGAAAAACTGTCTGTTTTGTTTTCTGTGTGCAACGTGATGAAGTGGTGATGCAGAGCCACATTTTTGGGGTAGTTATGAGGAGTTTGAAACTGCTTTAATTTCACTTTATGACTTGTGTGTGTGTGCTGATAGCAGCTCTTGATCCTAAAGCTTTTTTTCCCAATATTTTCTTTTTGCCCTTTATCTACTTGAACAGACTAGGATTTTCTTCTAGTAATTGAGTCAAGGCCCAGCAGGCCATAACGATTTCCACAAAGGTTTAGGCCCTTTGTAAAGCTTATCGGTTCAACTTCCCATAAGTCACAGGTTACTCTTTGTGGTTTTCAAAGAATTGGATTGGAAAGATGTTTAGGTTTCAAAGCAATTGCCATTGGCTCGATTGTATTACCAATAAGACCCAAACTTGAGAGATTTGATTAGATGATAAAATGATAGATTCATTGTTTCCCATGATGTACACACTGATTGATGATACGTCATTTAAATAACTGAACTCAGCTGCACTGCTCAGAAAAACCAACAAATATCAAAGATATTTCTTAAATGAATCTAAAAGGTGACCTGTTCCTCAAGCCAACGAATGTCTCTTAATTTTAACTTATTTATTTCTCCCCCCTGGCTCCTAAGTCCCTCCATATACTGCTTCTGAGTGGCTAATGAAGCTGTCGGTAATTTCCCCCTGAGCTTAGTTGGATCCAATAGGATAAGACGATTCAACAAAGTGGTTGAAAGGCGTGAATCGGCCAACTTGAGCCGGACTTGGACAGACATCCAGATTCTGACTCCATTTGTTGGCTGTGGGGCAGCTGTACAAATCAGAACACTCACAGGGGTTCCCCTTTATCCTGACAAAACAACTTTTCCACATAGTATTTCCAGAGTAATTACAATTGTATCATCGGTTCGCCATTTTTTAAGTAGTGGCCAAAAAACAGCCTCAGAGAGGAAAAGGCCTGTGACCAATAACATAATCAATTCAATTCAAAAGAATGGTTGCATACATCTGCACACCCTCAAACTCAGGGGTGTCAAACTCGATTGCACAGGGGGCCAAAATTCAAAACACACTTCAGGCCGCGGGCCGAACAGAATAAACATTTATTGAACGCACTAAAACTAAATGTTTCTTTTAACATAAATATAAATACAAACCAACAGGAATGTTATTCTGGAATAAATAAACTTAAACTTTAAATAACTTAAAATATCTTGCTCTCCATAAAAATATATCCAGTCAAAATTATACAAGTTAGAAATATGAACATGCTGCAAAACCTGGAAATTTAAATAAAATTTGTGCTTTTCAGCAATAACAAATAACGGTGCAAAACATTCCGTTTTCTTTGCTCTTATGCCATTTTATCAGAGCTGGATGCTTTGCATCTCTTTTTGGCAACAAGTTGGTTTATGTTTGGCGCGAGGTCCCGTGTTGTGGAGACTCTCAGGATGGACTGAAGGTTCATCAGTGAGACGACTCCTGTGTGCTGTTTTGTTTGTCTTCTCACGCAGATATGTGCTACCAAACATGCACACGGTTCGAGCCGCATGTAGACGGAGCTGGGACATTGCTGCGGGACCGGAGTGAATAAACAGTGTCGTACTTTGTCTTTAGTGTCCCATCACACTGCAGCTCAATCAGCTCCATCTGAATCTGCACAGGTGCAGTTTCCACGTCGACGGCAAATGGGTTGCGAAACAACTCAAAATTATTTTTTTGTTCCTCAAAATCACCAAAGCGCCGAGCGAACTCCGCGCGCAGTGCGCTCAGTTTATCCGCAACGTGCGTATTTGGGAACACCGTTGTGCCGCATTACTTGGCAACAGGGAAAGTGGGGCGAGTTGCACTGGTGCATTTGTGTCTCCCATAAAATCAGCTTCACTGCGTCGTACATGTCAGTGGTCATGCGGTCACGTCCCTGGAGCTGGAGGTTTAAGGCGTTGAGATGTGCGGTTATGTCAGCCAGAAACGCCACGGACAGCGCTCGGCAAGGCAGCTGAAGCGCTGCATTATGGGATCTGTAGTTTATTGTGTTATCAGCGCTTCATATAGTCGGGCCATTAGTAACAATAACATAAAATGATCTCGCGGGCCGGATATAATTGCATGCCGGGCCGGATATGGCCCGCGGGCCTTGAGTTTGACACATATGCTCAAACTAATACTTTGTTGAAGCACCTTTTGGTTTTACTAGTCTTTTGGGGAGGTCTATAGGCATGGGACAAGTTGACTTGTCACTTGGTAATATTCGCCCACTCTTGGTGAGTTAGATTCCGAGGTCATCTCCCGTCCATAGCCCTCTTCAGATCACCCACACATGTTCAGTTGGATTCTGGTCCATTCCAAAACGGTAAACCTCTTGTGGTGAAGCCATGCTCTGACGTGAGAGTCCTCTTCATCTTCACCTTTCTAACGGAAGCCTGACGTTTTTGTGCTTGGACGGGTATTTGGAGCCGTTCATAACCTCCCCCACCTTGACAAAGGTTCAAGCTGAAGAAAAACAGCCCCAAGCCGTCTTGCCCCCCTCCCCCTTTGCCCACATCTATGAAGGATACGGGAGATTGCACACACACTGTGCACAGCCAGTACTTGCCAGACGTTCCTGCAGCTCCTTTAATGTGGCTTTAGGCCTCTTGGACGCTTCCTTGACCAGTTTCCTTCTCGTCTTTTCATCGAGCTCGGAGGGACGTCCAGTTATTGGTAAAGTCACCGTTGTGTAATGTCTTGGAACCTCTCAGATGGTGTATGTTGTAAGATGCAACTAAGAAAATCATACTAGAAGAGCTGACCTTTATTTGGAATGAATCAGTATCACTTTAAATGATGACAAGTGTGTACTGACCACTATTTAACATGAGTTTGAATATGACTCATTCATTCTGAACACACATTTTATGAGAGGGTGTGCTCACTTATGCAATCACATTATTAAGTTTTTGATTTTTTGTGTAATTTGTTTCCATTGAATAGTTTACGGTACAGGTCACATAAATGGTAGAAAAGTTCTGGCATGATTTGTCTTGGTTTAATTTTTTTACTTTAACAGGGGAAGTTAGACCTTTTATATCCATTGTATCTATATCTTTCTATATAGACAGACATGGATGGAGAGAGGGTGAAGTGAACTTGATTCAGTCTGGTTCGTAGTATCATTCAGTCACATATTCCTGACCTTTGTCTCCATGTGTCATGCTCTGAAAGGTGGATGACCTCAAGGTCAAGTTGGCTGCTCAGGAAGTGGAACTCAAGCAGAAGAACGAGGACGCTGACAAACTAATCCAGGCAAGAACATGTGTTAGTTATTAGACCGATGGCAAAAAGAAGACTGTTGTGAGTCTGGTGGTATCCAGCCGTGCAGATAGTTTGCCTCTATGTGCGCTGGTTTATATCTGTAAAGGTTTTGTTGCTGCCACTTGAAGTTTGTCAGCAAGTCACACAGAGCAAATTATTGCTGTTAGCACAATGAATCAAATGTTCTCTTTTTGATCTTCTTCCAGATGAAACTACACTACCTGTTTGTTATCTCCTTTAGTGTATCTATATATAAATGGCCTGTGTGCGTTCCCCAGGTTGTTGGGATAGAAACTGAGAAGGTGTCCAAGGAGAAGGCAGTCGCTGATGAGGAAGAGCAAAAGGTGGCGGCCATTGCTGTGGTGGTCAGCGGCAAACAGAGAGACTGTGAGGAGGACTTGGCGAAGGCTGAACCGGCCCTGCTCGCTGCTCAGGATGCCCTGAACATCCTCAATAAGGTCAGTTACTCTCACACCGCCCGGAATATTGTATTGATTTGCTCCATCGCACCCTCTTTTTCTCCACGTTTAAAAAATGGTTTTCGTTCTTTTCTACTTGTTAGATTTCATTTCCAGCTTCATTGGAATACGTTCACAAAAGGCCTTGAACAGAAGAGCATTGAATGTAGTATTTTAAATGATGTATGTTCTGTAGGTATTTAAATTCATTCTTGCATCCGATGAAGATTTATGAGCAGCCTCTGGGATTTCTAAAAACATCCTCTGTGTTTAAAGGTGGTCCCTGTTTAAAGAAGCAGATCAGACAGTTCAATCACTGCTCACAGCTCTGTAAAGATGCCCGAATTAGAATTCTCATTTGTCTTTCCAAAGTTGGCCCAGGTTCATCTTTGGTCAGTCTAATCCTATCCCTCATCCCTTGTATTGACTCCTTCTCCATTTGGCCTACCGCAGAACAACCTGACAGAGTTGAAGTCATTCGGCTCTCCGGTGGTGGCGGTGACCAATGTCACAGCGGCAGTCATGGTCCTGACAGCGCCTGGCGGCAAAGTGCCAAAAGATCGTAGCTGGAAGGCAGCAAAGGTGATGATGGCAAAAGTGGACGCGTTCCTGGACTCTCTGATAAACTTCAACAAGATTGAGATCCCAGAGGCTTGTCTCAAAGCTATTCAGCCGTATCTGCAGGTGAGCATCTCCATCAGCCTCATTCATTAACGTCCGTGCTAACAGCATGCAGTGTGAAGGCGAATATGCATTAATTAGACCTTAGTTAAGAAGGGCCCAGACTACCATGTCAGGGGCACATTATGGCTGCTGAGCATCTTGATGATAAACAGAGAACCTTAATTGGTTAAACAATACTACGCATTGGGAACAGCAGGGGGCATATTTGGTAATAGCTGGTGTCAAACTAAATTATTAATAATCACAAAATGAACAAATAACGGGGCACCACCCTGAGCGAACACGAACTAATAACCAAATAATAAATCAATCAAGAATAAAGATCAAAGAATTTTGAAGGTTTAAGTTTGAGCAATAGACTATGAATACCAACTGTTAACAACATACAGACGCACAAGAAAATAGGAAAAAACCTTCTTTTAAGTTTAACAGAGCTTATTGCCTTCTAGAAACACTGATCAAGATCAAGACAGAAATATGAAACTAGTGGTAGGACCCAATATCACCTGCAGAGAAGGACGAGAATGACAATAAGGGCCGGTCTCTTGGCGGATTGTCGATTTGAAAGAATGGCGGAGGCAGCTCCCGATACCTCCCCGCCAGCTCTGGAGCGAAAGCGGATGCAAAAGTACCGACGAGAATGAGGATCGCAGAGTCTTATTTTTCTGTACTAAAGGTGGCAACCCCAACGGTGAAGAAGGGGGGTACTTCTAGACAAGATCAATATGCATCAATATGTTTGGACCTATGCGTATGTGGCTGTGGGTCATTGGTTATCAAGACAATACGGGTAAAAATAAGAGAAAAAGTAACAAAAGAAATCTCACTGCAAAGTCCAGAGCTGGTCACCATCACATGGGCTCCACGATGTTAATAGAGGTGCGAGTGTGACTCTGAGTAAACCATCTAAGATAATAATAGCTATTCTGCCCATAAAATATAATCCAGCAGCAATAATCTGTTCTAGCGTAATCATTTTGGAATCTCAGGCAGAACAATCACAGTATGAATTCGTCAGGTGAGATTACAGCACGAACACAATCAAGAAAGAAAGAATCCTTTATTGATCCCTGTTGGGGAATTATTCTCTGCAGTTAACCCGGCCAACACAATGGGAGCAGTGTGCTGCTGTTAAGGCGCCCGGGGAGCCGGTAGAGGTTGGATGTCTTGCTCAGGGACACTCCGACATGGAGCAACCAAGGTTCGAACCAACAACCCAGTGGTTCTCGGCGGCGCACCCTCTCTACTCCACACAATCAAACATAAAGGAGTACACGATGACAGCCGACTTGGTGCTCCCGTTTGGAGCCGGTCTTCTTGCTGAAATCATTGACCAAAGGGGTATTTGTGTCCTGATACTCTCTGCTCAACCAAAAAATCAGCCGGTCTTTTCTCTGATCAACCAAGATCCAAACAAAACAAAATAAAAGCAAACCAAAACAAACAATATGAACAATTGCTTGTCCAGCAAAGTTCAGGGGCTGGCTGACCAGGTCTGTCGACCAAGAGATCGATATCTGCCGCTTGCTGGTATGAGACCCGTATGAGACCCGTATGAGACCCGTGTGAGACCCGGGGGTTCGGTCACGTGACGCGGCTCTGTCCACCTCCCTTCTATGCCCAGCGGGGGGCTGTGATTACAGGCTCGCCTGGTCAAATGTCTTCCTGCATGTTCCTGTCCTTTCCTCGGTTTCTGGCATCGTGCTTGAGGGCCAAACAAATGTGAATCACACAGATTTCATTTACAGAACCATGGATGTAACATGTTTTTATACGTCTGCAATATTTTCCACAGTGGTGGTCAAAAGCAAACGTTAAATTATGTTTATCATCCTTGCTGATATATTTTGTCTCAATCTCAATCTCTCAATCTCAGGATCCTGAGTTCCAGCCAGAACTAGTGGCCTCCAAGTCGAACGCGGCGGCCGGCCTGTGCTCCTGGGTCATAAACATTGTCCGGTTCTATGAGGTGTACTGCGAGGTGGAGCCCAAGCGGCAGGCTCTGAGCAGGGCCAATGCAGAGCTGGCTGCTGCACAGGAAAAGCTCGCCGCCATCAAGGGCAAGATCAATGTAAGCCATCACATTGGAATGAGGATACAGGAAATGAAAGCTAGATTTGCTACAAGCCAGGTAGCAGTTTCAAAAAGAGGCCACTTCAATATCTAAGATCCTGAGGACATAACATGAATGGACTTGAGGTCACTGACAGAAACCTTAAGGGCTGTCTATAAACTTTAGAGCAATGACTCTCCACCTCCCAATAGACCCAGAAGGTACGCTATGCAATAAGAATATAACGCCAAAGAAATAGAATAAAGATAACCACCTCAAGTCAGGATATGAATTATTTTATCAAGGTTTGAGTGACAGTTCTGTGACACATCAGCTCTGCCAGAAGTGATAAACGCTGGTGTGAGTGCCACTATTCACTAATCTAAAACCAAACCCACCAACCAAAAACCCTCTCGATGACAGCAAGGGTAAGTAATTGTTTCTCTGTGGCGTTTGACATTCAGCCCATCCGTCCCAGCGGTGCTACTGACGACCCGTAATAAGAGCCAGCGTGACACCTCCAGTCATTTTTCAGGCCTCAGTAACATTTATGAGTGGAGAGTGTGCTTGGAGCCAAGGGGAATTAGCTAAGCTCAGACTAATCTCCTGAACCTGTGCGCCGCTCCACCCATTAATCCTGTTTGTCCTTCTGCTAATTGCTTCCATATGCCAAATAAATACGTAGCAGAGGGAATGATGACTTTTACCCAACTGGGCACACTGTGAAACTTTAGCTTTCACTGTTTGTCTACGGTGTTTCTACTGTATGTTATCAAGTGCCAATCCGTCTCTATTCCTGTGTGTGTGTGTGTGTGTGTGTGTGTGTGTGTGTGTGTCCTATCAGCACCTTAATGAGAACCTGGCCACCCTGACAGCCAAGTTTGAGAAAGCCACCGCAGACAAGCTGAAGTGCCAACAGGAAGCAGAGTCAACGGCGCGCACCATTTCCCTGGCCAACCGCCTGGTGAGGAGGGCAACACCGGGGGCACATGGGGCACCAGCATCTCACACACACACACACACACACTCGCCCATCTGTCCCACTTGCTCCTCTCCTTAGATACAGATGATTCCAAACTTGATGTGATAGAGATTTATACCCACAGATTGGATAAAAATAATATGTTATGACCTGCAATTTGATTAGTGACTGTAAAATGTCTGCAGATGTGACACAATTAAGAAACGTCCCACAACTTGGACTCAAATCCAAACCCAGCACATGTTTACACAGATGCACACAGCGTTGACAATGTTAGTGTGATAATGTAAATGATGCAGAAGACGACTTCAAAAGGCTGTCAGTCAGACCTTGCTGTAGGGTACAGTGTCTCTGTGACGTCAGTGTATAAATATCACATGACACAAGATATCGAGGGGCTTAAGTTTTGTAATTCAGAGCAGCAATCTTCTATCTCTGGGTTTCAGCAATACGCTCGACGCGGAATGAGTCCTACCGGGACAGCAACTCCGTTTAAATGTTTCCTCTACATAAAATAAAAGTCCTGTGGTCAACTTGGAACGAAAAGGAAGCAGAGTCGAGCAATTCAGCATATTTGTAACTCCATCACCGGGCACATCCTACTAAGTCTAATATGGCTCATACAGCTTTCACCAAGTGTTTGTAAAAATACATTTGAATTACTTCCACAATCGCTGATAAATGACCTGACAAAAAGGACTTGATGTTTGCAAGATATTGTTGATGCTCTTGGGGCTGAGCTCCTGCCTGTGAAGAATACGTCACAGTAATCTGTCCCGGTGCTGCAGGTGGGGGGTCTAGCTTCAGAGAACGTTCGCTGGGCACAGGCTGTCGAAACTTTCAAGAAACAGGAGAGGACTCTGTGTGGGGACGTCCTCCTCATCACGGCATTCATCTCCTACCTGGGCTACTTCACCAAACGCTACCGGCTCCAGCTCATGGACAACACCTGGAAGCCCTACCTCAGTCAGCTGGAGGTGCGTGGACTCATTGAGCTGTGACGGCCGACCTACAACTCACTAGGTGTCAGAAGTACACAGAGATGCCACATGGAGCTCTGACATCTGGCAGAGAGGAGATCTCTGAGCGTGAAGACAACACTCTTTCTGTGCTTTAATCTAACGCTGCTCTTACATTCTCTGTCTTTAATTGAGTGACGCTTTCATCCAAAGCGACTTACAATAAGAGGGTACACGCCGAGAACAACCAAACTACAATGTGCTAGAAGTAAGTGCTAATAAAGTGCTAATAGTCCAGACATAGAGGTGAGTTTTTAGTTTGCGTCAGTTTGTAAGTTTATTTACCAAAGTGATTCCTAAGATTCCGATCTAAGGGGACAGTATTTTGCAGACTGTCCGACACAGGGATTCACTCTAACAACGAGGTCACGGGAAAGTCACTGCTGGCCATGCAGGAACATTTTATAGCCCACTGCTCGGTTCTGTTTCTGCTTCTCAGCTCACAGGCATCATATAGGATGAAAAGATTTACTTCATTGATATAAATGCAATACATGTATAATATATTCAATATTTATTACTAATTACTAATAATTGAACTAGTTTGAAGGCATCTTTTAAACGTGGTCTATGGTTAAATTCTACTCCTCGAGCTCTGTATGTATATTTATAACAGGAGTCACTAGTAGACAGACCTCGGTCAGGGTCAGAACCCAGACGCTTTTGTGTCTGGACCGAGACGTAAAACCCATATATAATAGAGAATTATGACATTTTGTGAGTGAGTCAGATAGTTATTCACATTCTCCCAGAAAAGAACCAGAGCCGTAACCCAGAAAGGACGGACTATCTTCATTCATCCTTCAGGCAGTTCCAAACCACTATTTCTCAATTGTGCAAAGCGCCACTACGACACAAGAATCCAATATGATCAGAATCCTAAAACATGAAATAATTGTCGAACAATGATGTCATCGGAGACAGGAAAGTAGAGCTGAACAGCTGACAACACCAGCAACTTATGTTTGATGAGTAGTAGTGTTTAATGTACTTGTCGCTATCACCTGTCAGGTTCCCATCCCAGTGACCCCCGACCTCGACCCTCTGACCATGCTGACAGATGGTGCCGACATCGCGGCGTGGCAGAACGAGGGGCTGCCCGCTGACAGGATGTCCACCGAGAACGCCACAATTCTCACTTCTTGCCAGCGCTGGCCCCTCATGGTGGACCCCCAGCTGCAAGGCCTCAAGTGGATCAAGGCCAAATACGGCGAGAATCTACGAGTTATCCGCATGGGGCAGAGAGGGTAAGAGGCTTTACGGTTAGACTTGCTCATCTTTGGAAGAAGGTCCTGACAGAGAAATTCTGCCTTTTTTCCTCAGGTACCTGGATGCTGTAGAGAGAGCACTGGCAGCCGGTGATGCAGTTCTGATAGAGAACTTGGAGGAAACATCAGATCCTGTTCTCGGTCCTCTGCTGGGCAGAGAAACCATTAAAAAGGGCAGGTAAATAAGGCTTTAAATCCCCTCCCAATCTCCCCCCTTTTGGACTCAGAGACTGCGAGGGGCGCTCCCACTTACTGCGTCAGCGTTTTGTTCTGTTCCACTGTCACATCGTCGAGGGTTTGAGACTCTCTGGCAGACATTTTGGAAACTCTATAAACCCTCCCGTTCGTCAGCATTAGATGCTGTCTTTGCCTAATGGAATTACCCACAAAGCATTGCAACGTGACATTAAAAAGGGAACGTAAAGAAGGGGATGGCAAATCGGTATTCAACCTTTCATATTAAATCTACATTAAGGATGGAAGATGGAATTAAAAAGAACCACGTGAAATTGGCCGTTTGCCCCAAATCCCCCAAAACTGAGCAAAATGTTGAGTTTAAAAAAGGCAAAAGAAACGGAACTTTGCAACGATACTGACTCGCTATACTTCAACATAGAAAAACGTTTCGAAGCTTCAAACATAGGAAAGGACTTTATTTTAACCGTTTCTGCGTTTATAATGGATGTGTATGTTGGCAGCGCCGGGATCGTGGCCACGTTGATTAGTTTGAAGTGTGGATTCTATGTGAATCCGTATTAGCTCATTAGTGCAGTCTGACAGGACCTAAAGGTCTTTTTCCACTCCCGCGCGTTCACTTATCCGACTAGTAATTCATATGCGTCTCCATCATTCGCTTCATATCTGCCGGAAAGGGGGCGTGGCTTGTCTCCGGAAAGACCGTAAACATTCCCTCTGTCCACCATGGAAATAAACACTATTTATGCTCTGTACTTGTCGAGGAAATTACACAAACGTCGGACACCAACTGACTGGAAGTTCTCTAAAATGGAAGCGAGATGTGAGGGCCGATCAGAAGTACAGCAGTTAGCGTTCCCAAAATGGATTTGTGGACCACGAGCAGCCAGCCCTCCTGTTAAAACATGAACGGATGTTTGTGATTTGTTTTCTTTAGTAGGCACCAGTCACACACAGAATAATGAAATCAGAAAGTGTTGAGATTAGTTTTGTGTTTCGCGGGGATTTGCTAACAATAAGAAACATAGAATATAACATCCTGGTTCATTTGATGGTGACCTGACATTTTTAATACAGGAAAAAGTTTAAGCTTAGTCTTAAAGTATAAAGTTATAGATGAATCCCCTTATCTTGTGTCTACATTGATAACATGTTCCTATTTCGAAATGTATGCCTTCATTTAGTGTCTCTCGATGGTCAGGAGCTTCCTTGCTCTCGTTTGCCAGGTACATAAAGATTGGAGACAAGGAGTGCGAGTACAACCCAAGTTTCCGTCTCATCCTACACACCAAGCTCGCCAGCCCTCATTACCAGCCGGAGCTGCAGGCCCAGTGCACCTTGATAGATTTCACAGTGACCAGAGCTGGTCTAGAAGACCAGCTGCTGGCCGCTGTGGTCAGCATGGAGAGACCTGACCTGGAGCAGCTCAAGGTGAGGAAGTCACTGGAGTATCAGTGGAGGCAGAAAGATGAATTGCCTGATGCCCGATGTCACAGGAATGTAAAAGTGAACCTGCTATCAGAACAAACAACCATCCCATAGAACCACGGCACTCTTCGGAGTTCCACTATGCAGGTAAGACACAGTGAGCGGAGTCTGGAGCCTCCAGCAGGCGGCCGTAACTCTCTCATTGCCCAACTTTAACAATGCACGTCTGCAAGAAAACATCATCCCTCTAAAAAGTACTAAACTAAATAACTAAATGGATGCGTAATAATTACGGGCGTTGGGTCCCACCCTTAAGGAGCTTGGGACCCTGCAAGACTGTGTCTGCATGTTGGTCAAGCCCTTTCTACGGAGACATACTGCATAGCTGCTGCAAAGACAATCACCCTTACGCCTTCTTTGCTTTTTACACTGAAACAAATTATAGATGGAGAGCTGGAGTTGCATAGCCAACCCGAACGCGTTGGCGTCTCGTGCCTGCTGTGCCGGCTGTAGGTTTACACAGACATCGGTTCGGCTGTGTGGCTACCCCTGCTAATAGATTAGCGATTGAACTACTCTCCCCCTTCTCCTCCCCCCCAGTCCTCCTCCTTATCTTTTATGCAGGCTGGTAAGATGAAACAACAACAGTCTGGCCTCATTAGGGGCTTCTGACTGTCACTGTGTATGTTGGTTTCTGTGTCTTTATATGGCATATGGATGTGGAACATGGGAGTATATTAATTAATGAATAGTGTGAGTTGTGGCACTGGCACAGCTGAGGAGAATGAGGTTGGCCTCTGAATTCTTAAATTTGAGTCCTATAGTTCCACATTAGTCCAATGGTCTGTCGGTAGCAGTAACAAGTCAGGGTGACATCATAACCTCCCAAAAGATCCTGGGACAAGACAAATATACTGGAGGGAAGATCAAGCTTTCCTCCGAAGAGTTGCGTTCATTCGGTGTTCTTTCTTGTCTGGATCTGGGATGAGATTTGGGCCTCGTTCCTCGTACGTGGCTAACTGATTTAGCTGCATAATTCTCTGGATTAATATTACATGAGTCAGGATGTTTGGTTCCACGAAGCAAGATATGAAAAATCACCATGGTAACATGTCCAAAAACCTGCGCAGGATAATTTCAGTTAGCTGGATATGCTCTCCACTCCCCTGGGAGAAATGGGCAGCTCTCTTCCTCATTGATATTAGTTAGATTAACATTTCACAGGGAGCCATCGTCAACAATCTATATTAATAGGTAATCGTTCTCTGACATGTGGCTACAGCATTCAGAAGTTCATTACTAACTTTATTGTTTAGCTTTTTACTGGGTTGAATTTGGGTTGAAGCTGACTAACTACCAAGGTCTTACAAAATCGTACCGGAAATACCCTGATTCGTTCAAATCAATCTATTTATGTACATGTACATGTACATTGTACATGTGCACAAGTTACTCTCTACAATGACATTGAAAATCATTATTATTTTATTTTGCTGAAAGACTATACACACACACTAAAGGGCATACGCTGAAGTGAACCATTGCACATGAAGTCACAGCAGCAAGCAGTCGCTCACAGATCAGTATGTGTGTGTGTGTGTGTTATCAGTGGTGTGGAGGGGGTGGGGGGGGGTCTTGTGAAAGAGCTGTTCACCCGTCTAATGGCCTGCGGGTAGAAATTGCTTGCCAGTCTCTTTGTTCTTGACTTCAGACTCCTGTCGTCCGCCTGATGGCAGGAGAAGAGTCTGCTGGAAGTGTGTTCTGTCCTTGGTGATGTTTGCGGGCTCTGGAGACCCTGGTGGTGTAAATGTCCTGTAGTGAACGGAAGGCTGCTCCTGGGATGAACTGTGCTGTTTTTTATCACACACTGGGGAGCCTTCCTGTCCTGGGCAGTGCAGTGTACCACACGGTGATGGATGTGATGAGGACGCTCTCCACCGTATCTCTGTAGTTGCTGAGAATTCTCGTGAGGCTGCCAAATTTCCTTTCCTCCTTAGGAATCTGTAGTGTGTTGTGAGACCAGGTGAGGTCCTCGCCGATGTGAGTTCCAAGAAATTTGTTTTCGCCCTTTCCACATTGTGCTGCACCTTCGAGTGATGGCGAGAGCGAAAAGTGGCAGGTGGCGGGTTCCCTTCTCAGTACGACACACTCCCTGTTCATAGGGCAGATTGATCCCCTCTCGCAGGCACCTTCCCTTTTCAGAACAGCACACACCGATCTCTGCTGATACTGGTGTTTCCCCGGGAGGCCACACAGTTGTCTTGTAAGAGGGTGTACAGCAGGGGACTCATACACAGCCTTGGGGGGTCCCCGTGCTCACACTCGGTGTGCACAGGGACACAGAGGTGCGCTTGCCAACTCTGACTGATTGGGGTCTACCTGACCTGATGTTCAGAACCCAGTTGCACAGAGCAGGTGTCAGAGAGGTTTTACTCAGATTTGTGGGATGTATTAAAAGCTGAGGTGAAGTCTATGAAGAGGAGTCTTGCGGAGGTGTCCTTGCCCTCTAAGTGCGTGAGGGTTGTGTGGAAGGCGCTGTTCACTTTGTCATCAGTCGACCGTTTCTGGCGATATGCAAACTGCAGCAGGTCCACATTGTCTGGGATCATCGTCTTGACGTGGGCCATGACTATCCCCTCGAAACACTTGGGGTGAGTGCAATGGGACGATAGTCATTCAGGCAGGACAGTGTTGCTCTTTGGGAGGGGCACAATGGTGGCAGACTGGAAGTCTGTCACTATCTCAAGTGCCCCTGTTATGTGCCCCTGTCACTATCTCATGTGCCCCTGTCATGTGCCCCTGTCACTATCTCATGTGCCCCCCGCACACGATGCATTCCGTGTGAACGTACCATTAGAAAAAAATCCACATTTTGACTGCTTCCCTTTCTGGGCCGTGAGTGAGTGAGTCAGGATGAACTAGAGTGGTTTATCCTCACTATCAAACTGTTGATATATACTGTCCACACACTGGGCTAACATGTAGAAGACATTTAGCCGGTATCTCTATGTTTTTTAGAATGTATAGGGCTGTTAGGGATTAGAGATTTTATTGTGTGTAATATTGATATATTTCTTCACCAGTAAGATCTAAACTGATTTTTACACATCATAGCACTCACAGCGGTTCCCCTTTATTGTACCGAAAATACATTATTCAGATAGTCAAAGCCTGTGCACGTCAAACGTAACAAATAGGAAATCCAACAGTGATCATTTTTGAAGTTTGAAGCATTAACATCTTCAATATTGTTTGATAATACGAAAAGATAAAGTATGAGCATTTCAAACAAACAATTCACCATTATGTCACAGTTGCCCTGAATACTGACACCATCCATCATCAAACTCCAGGAATGTGTAATTGTGTCTTCATCCTGTCCTCAAAGGAGTTTCATCTTCTTGTTTAATCGTTCACTTATGTTCATACATCCTCTGCACAAACAAAGGCTTTTTGACGCGTGTTTCCCTTTTGAATATAATGACTGTCTTCGCTGTGAGGACCATCGGCGGGGAGGAGGACCTGTCACCAGCTGTAAGCTGTCATGCTGGTCAGTGTTTGGGGGTAAACTGTGTGCAGTGCAGCCGGCTGTCGAGCGCTAACGAGCAGCACATAGTTAGGAGATCCAGTATAGTTTGAATGTAAATGTTCCTCATTATGTGAAAATTCTCTTGGATCAAAGCTCCAGCGTCTAATGATGCTTCACGCTCGTCTCTTTGACAATCTGTGCTTTTCATGTCGGCTGTTTGAAATGGATTAGCTGGTGGTGCAACTGTACCGCAGCCATTAGACAACAAGCTGAGACACTGTTCCTTAAATGTGTGTCTTGTGAGTCACGGGGAAAGGACCATCAGAAGTCCCTCTGTACTCACAAGTGGAGGATAATGTGATAACGGGACAGACACACTTACTCTCACACAACAATATTTGCATTTGGATGGTTTTCCAGATGGGTCCTGGTTTGCACATGGCCTGAGTAGGCGCTACTCAGACCGACAAATCGACCGATAAATGGAGGCCTCATGTTCAGCAAAACGTAAATTGTGATATAATGAAGCTTGTTTAATTAGCATTTTACCAGAAGTGGGAGAGGATAAAACATGAGTTAATTAAGACTGAAAGTTGAATGTGGGATGTGTGTGTTTGTGTGGTGGAGGGGGGCTTTTGTTGCCAGTAAACAACCCACACTGATACGATCAGAAGAATATATTCCTGTTTCTATTCTTGGAATGACTCGCTGTCATTATACCTTTTAATGAGGTTAGCGTTGCTACTCAGCTGTAAGATGAAGGCCGGGTTTAAGAAGTCAACTCCCCTTTATGGAGAGAGCAGGGGGGGGACAGGCCCCCAACCTCTTACCACAACATCTTCCTCCCTTTGCACATATGAGTGTGCACGCTACATCCTTCTGTTTCTTCTTTGCTTACCCGACCTTCAGGATTAATGAGAACCAAGATGCTCCACTTCCCAAATTACCTTGACAGGGCTGCTCTGTGGAACTCAGTAATCATTTGCCTAAAAAATGATGGATGTAATATCTCATTTTAATTCCAATTAGAGTGTTCTGCTGTCTGGTTAATTGTTTGTTTTTCCCAAGCAAGGGTAATTACAAGTACAATTTGCCAGAGGAAAGCTAATCGTTTAAGACGGCCTCATTACGGCGTCCAGTCGGAATGTTTTAGTGTGCGTAGCTTTTCCCCCCAGGAGCACGGAGTGTGGGCAAGTAGAAGGTCACAGTTGACTCACACAGCCAAACGTCCACCAGTCTGGGATTTTTCTCTCTGCACCATGACGTACGTTGGGTCTTTCTTCAAAAGGCCATGCTTTCTTTCTCCTGTTCGGTTTAGGCAAAACCGCAGAGGTGTTAACGGCGTAAAATTCCGAGCACGTACAACATAACAAGGCAGATGCTTAATTAGCTTTAAGTTCACTGCAATGGGAACTACTGTCATAAAGGGAGCAATCAAGCAGTCTGATCACCTAAACCAGGGGTATTCAACTAAAAGTGAATTTTTTTGTAGACCCAGTTAGAGAACATTTCTAGAAGCCAAGATCCAGATCATAATGTTATGAATGAATTCAGTACGATTCAAAAACTCTTTGACAATCTCTTTTCACGTCACGTAACAAAGTGAACATATATGTATGACTGCAACTCTAATAATAAATAATGTAATTAACTTAGTATTATTAAGTATTATGTAAAGATAGTAGAATGTTTAGCGCTCCCAGGGAAAGTGTGAACAGAAATGAGTCCATTCTGGTTTAAAACTATTGCTAAACACTTTTCTCTTCTCTCAAGTCATTTTTCATGGAAACATTATGCTTCGCCCAAACTCCCCCAGCACTCTGCCACTGAAAAAAGCCTCCGCTGTAACGGGTCAGCGGCAACATTCAAGTTGGTAGATCTCACAACAGTCACAGAGGGTCATAGGTCACAGAGGCCTCTATGTAGGTAAAGTGCAATAAAGCCGAGTCAGCATCAAGCAGAAACAAGGACCTACGACACACTGTAATGAAGCCATGAAGAGAAGTAACCTTCACCGGTTTGCAGACTTTGAAAAGGGAAAGTTTCTGTCATGCACTTCTGCTTTTGTCAGGCAAAGAAAGACAGAAATATCAGCTGTGCGTATGGCTGATTGTTCTATAATGGTTTGTACTGGTTATTAATTGGACACTTGATATTCCGTCGTAATTGAATCCTAAAAGAGGGTGATGATGTGTGCGTTCACCATCAAAGCTGATTGCGCTGCTGCTGTAATCCACTGTCTCATCACATCCAGGCTTAGGAGACCCAGCAGCTTGATGTTCGCAACCAGACGGAAGCTGGCTAATCCCTCCAAAGCATATTGATTAGTTCTGCCTTTGAGACGCCCTTCAGTGTCCCTGTATTGACGCATACCTTGAACATCTCCCACCGCCTCCAATTATGAGGAGGCAAAAAGGAACCCTGCAACAAGCACGTGACTGATGTTTTTGTGTGTTTGTGTGTTTATTAGTCAGACCTGACCAAGCAGCAAAATGGTTTCAAGATCACTCTGAAGACGCTGGAGGACAACCTGCTCTCCCGTTTGTCCTCAGCTTCAGGAAAGTTCCTGGGTGACACAGAGGTGGTGGAAAATCTGGAGAAGACCAAACGCACTGCAGCTGAAATCCAAGAGAAGGTCCTATTCTTTCTTTTATTCTCACAGCCCTCGATTCAAAAGGAAAGCGCCTATACATGAACAAATATATATACGTACATGGGCGGGGCGGAGCACTGGCATCATTTTGTGTTTAGGAGGGATTTAGGAATTATTTGAATTGTCCCTTGTCCACAGCTTTTATACTGTATTGACATCTACGACAGATATGTGCTAGCTAAGGCCTTGAATGTTAAAGAGAACAGGATACAGCGTTGGAGGTGTCCCTTCAGTCCAACATCTTCCAGGGATCTTCCACATTGTAAAGCAACAATTAGTTTCTTTTAGCCCTGCCTGATCTCAGGCCTATCAGATCATAATAGGACGTCTCTCCATCTAGATGTAACAAACTTCAGCTAGCGGCCGTTTCGTTTCCGCGGTCCACTTCCGGTTTACCTCCGGGACGAGAAGTAAACAAACGAACGTTAACTACGTTCTCATCAATCTCATAGATTAATGCATTACTGTTGACACCCCTGCTATTTAGCATGTACATCAACAACCTACCCAAGTGTTATCAAATCTATGCCGATGATACAGTTATTTGTACATCAGCCAAAACATCTAGCAAAGGCTGCTGATCTTGCAAAAACACAATATGTTCAGCTTTGAAAGCTTTATAGTCCAGTTTAAAGCTTATTTTTAAATGCATACCCGGTCATGCTGCTTCACCGCTTAATGGGTTTGTTACCAGACAGCAGCACACCAGTAGAGTGAAGACATGGGTCTCAGTGAACGGCAACTGGCGTAGTGCTATGCGCAAGACCATATTCGGACAATCAGGGTCTCGTGTACGAACACTTTTGCGCCCACTTCAGGTGTCTTTGTTTCGCAACGTTCGCGTGAAAGCATATGGTGAGGTTTGCACAAACATGCTGCACCGAAGTGAAAGCACCGACTGCCTGTCGCGGAAACTGAAAAAGGCACATTGCGCTTTCCGTGTCATGCAAATGCATTCAGAGGAAGGTTAAGGGGAAAGTGGCAGTTTCCCATAAAAAGATGGCAGTAGATGCGTAAAGTGTGCATCATTATGCAAATTATCATTTCGCTACAAACACTAAACACATGGTATCTGGTTCTGGTGCATAATTGTATAATTGTATGTCACAATTGGAAACAAAAAAGGAGCATTTAAGGGCCATTGATCATTTGATTTACCTTAAAATCAACTTCTCTTTCCTAATATAAGTCAATGGAAACATCAGGTAATTTACTGTCTGGCCAAACAACTGTCGTGTTTTGTCTGGAACCGTGAAATTGGAAAAGCTTCACTGTATTGAATTCTGCACAATTTAATTTGTAGCTGATTGCTGAACCCTGAGTGTATGCATATCTCTGCAGATATGTGTGAGTGTCATGTCATGAGTGTGTGTACTGTCTTTACTGTAGGTAAAAGAAGCCAAGGTGACAGAGGCCAAAATTAACGAGGCTCGGGAGCACTACCGACCGGCAGCTGCACGGGCTTCCTTATTGTACTTCATAATGAACGACCTCAACCAAATCCACCCCATGTACCAGTTCTCTCTCAAGGTAACATGCCTCTTAAAATGCTGCGTTTCCTAAAGTCACTGTTCCTCCCCTCGTTCTTCCATTTGCTCACTGTGCCCTGCTGTCATTGTGTCTGAGGCTCCCTAATGTGGGAATGGGCAGTGTAAAGTCTTTCATATCACATTACATGTCATTTAGCTGACGCTTTTATCCAAAGCGACTTTCAATAAGTCCATTCAACCATAGGGATACAAAACTCAGAAGAACAAGAAACAAGAAAGTGCCATTTCATCAAATTGTCAGCCAGCAAGGGCTGTGAGGAGGCTGCCTGACATACGGTTCGCTATCACTCCCGAATCCGTAGGTGGCTGCTCAGATATTACCCAACAAAAACACAATGTATACGATCTTGGAAAAAAACACACTGTCCCACAGTCAGTGTCGTTTATTATGAACAGGTTAAGAGGCTCGGTCAATCAGAACTTGCTGACCCAGTGAGAGAACCTCTTTGCAGGGCGCGCTGCGACTGGCCCGAGACGCCCGTGTTCAACAATGTAGCACAATAACACATTCAAGAAAAAATCAAATCAACTGAATTGAAGTTGACTTGCTTGACATTGATGGGCTTTCTATAAGTAGCATTGAGTTCTGCATTTCTTTACCAAACCACATATTAATGTCTGATTCATAATCAAAGACCAATAGGAACCAGCGATTGGTGAATATTGTTTGATCATATGTTTGTAGTGACTGTTCTGTCAACAAGATTGTTCCATTGGTACTGGTCAGATACTGAGCCGCTCTTTTGCTCCTCAGTCGTTCAGTGTGGTTTTCCATAAAGCGGTTCTGATGGCCGAGCCAGACGAGGATCTTAAGCGCAAAGTGTCCAACCTGATTGAGAGCATCACTTACTCGGCCTTCCAGTACACCATCAGAGGCCTGTTTGAATGTGATAAGCTCACGTACATCACTCAACTCGCCTTCCAGGTAAGGAGGGATGGTTTTGTGTTGAGAGTTGGCCCTTGAATGAGTTGCTCCTGAGACCAGCCGCCATGTTGGATCTCATCTAGTGGAAAATGACTGTTGTGCTAAAAATCCAACAATTCAAAGACATTCCTGTTTGTCGTGTCCCCAGGTCCTGCTGATGAATAAAGAAATAAATCCTGAAGAGCTGGACTTTCTTCTGAGATACCCAGTAAAACCAGATGTAATGTCACCAGTGGATTTCTTATCCAGCCCGTCTTGGGGAGGGATTAAGGTACAGAGAGGCAGAGGTGGATGAGTTTTTCCCACTAGTTAAATGTATTGTTGTCAAATTGAAAGGATTGTATTAATTGTTTAAGCTATTTAGTGTTAAATATCCTTCATAGTTTCTTCACAATTTTACAACAATAGGCAACTGACTGGTATTCAGTATGTCAAATTGAGCTCAAAGCAAATGAACAATCAAAATGACAGCAGCATATGCGATAAAGAATACCTGAATCCCATGAAGAAATGTCCTTTTATTTGTTGAATCCAATAGGGAGCCAATAGGACGACTATTTAACTTTTTCTATAATAGTTAAATAGTCGTCCTATTGGCTCCTCCTGTCCTATTTAGTCATCTATATTGTACATTATACTGTTTTTTTCAGTCCATCTGGTCTAGATATAAAGTGTCACCATCAAGAAAGATTCAAATATTAATTATTTTGAGAAATTAGTAAACAAGCTGTACTTGTATTTATTTTTTCTACCCTCAAACGACTCAAAGTGCTTTATTTACCCGTTAACACCCATTCATACAATGCAGGCACAGCCACAGCCTACGGAACAACGGTTCAGTATCTGACCCACAAAGCAGATGCTGGTTTAGGTTATTTGCGTAAACCTGTTACTTTGAGTAGCATGAATGAGCCCACCCCCCCCGAGTGTCAGTTTATGTAGTTTCTGGAAATGTAGTTGGTAACAGAGATGGTTTGGGACTTCTGCTCATAATGAGAAGAGCTTTTTGGATGATTGACAGTGAAATGTCTTTAGGGAGGGTCTCCAGTTTCCTTGACACTGATGATTGGCTGAGTGAGCTAGGAGCGTCTGATGAGGTCACCCCACAGGCGTTCCCCATGTAAGACACTCATTCGTTCCACTTGCAAGACCGGGGTCATGTAAATATCCTAAAGCTTTCTCTGTAGACCGACCTCCTATGTGACAGCAGCTGGTTCTCTGAGCTTGGCTTTGCTCCTTTTCCACGTGTGTTTGAACATTCAAAGGGGCCCCTCAATAAATCTACACAACAGTATTCTCCTCGCTGAGTTGAATTCACCTCACCTGCCTGTCACGGAAAACAAAAAATGCCAAATTGAGCTTTTCCGTGTCCTGAATATGCATTCATAGGAGGGTCAAGAGGAAAGTTGGACTTTCCCATAAAAAATAAAAAGGATGCATAAAGTGCACCTAATTATGTATCTCCAGGGAACGCGGGGGAAAAGCGTCTCCGTTTGGCGGTGAGAATGATCGGCCTTGTAAAAGCAGGTGTAGACCAGAATGGGGGATTTCCTCCCATTTGCCTCCTGGTGAAATGACAGCAGTCATCAGAGCCACAGAGGCCGAGGAGACGAGCTGAAGACGCGTTACAGATGAAGCAGCAACATTACAGTTACTGGAAGAAATCAAAGGTGACATTGCATCTCCTACTCAGCGTCCACATTCCATCGCTGCAGCCACATTCCAATGATTGGACCAGGATCATTTCAGACAGTCACAGCATCAGCAGGGGGAATATCTCAGTCTGCACTCAGCACAAGTACACAACGCTTTGCTACAGCGCACACGTCTCCCACCACGCAAATAACACATGGACTTCTCTCTGATCCGTGATAGAAAGAGAAGGAGGTCCGTTCACGCCGCGTTTAAATGCTCGCGCTGTGCGGCGTAGTGGGAGGAGAAAGGCGCTGATCACCTGATGAGCTGCAGGTTTGTAAATATGACGTCACAGCGAGCGCTCTCTGCACGCCGGCTGTGACGCTGAGAACGTCACGTTTGCAAATATACGTGCATGAGGGCCTGTGTGCGTGTGTGTGTCTACACTTGTCAGTGTGTGTGCATCTGCACTAAGTGACTCTGCTGTTCGCCACAGATGAGATAAGGTGTCATTCAGATGCGGCCTTACAATGAAGCCCCTACTGGTTCTGCAACGGATGCATATTTAGTCCTCCCCCACCACCCATACCCCCCACCCTCCTTCCATCATGAATGGGATCGTGTTTGCTCAGCATTTCTGTTTGAATGAATATCATTTGTATTGGCGTAAGGAAAGATAACTTCTTTTTGTCACTGTTTTTCTACCCAGTCTTGCAAACAAAGTTTGGCATTTTGCTGTGTATTGGGAAAAATCTCTGAGGTGATCAAACTACAAAATGTTTCTCACTGATCACAGCACTTTCTTTCCCCAACTGCCAGTCACTGTGTTCCATGGAGGAGTTCAAGAACCTGGACCGAGACATTGAGGGCTCAGCCAAACGCTGGAAAAAGTTTGTGGAGTCCGAATGTCCAGAAAAGGAGAAATTTCCACAGGAGTGGAAGAACAAAACCTCCCTCCAGAGACTGTGCATGATGAGGGCCCTGAGGCCTGACCGCATGACGTACGCTGTCAGGTGAGCGCTGGAGCCGTTGCTGCGAAAGGTTAAACATTATTTCCTATTGTTCGAGCTGGCAGGACTCCTGTGCTCACTGCTGCTACGGTCGGTCCGTTGCTTAGTAGAGAGAAATTGCACAGCTCTAAAAATCCCGCCTCATGAGCCTTATCATTAGCTATCGACCTGATGTCTTGGAAAACAATTATACTGAAATGAAATAGCATTTTCACCTGGTAATAACATGTAATCCCTACTTGGACATCATATTTGAATATTACACCAAAAAGAGATTGGTCTAGTACATTGTTTTGGTTTTATTACTCCCACCTTTACCATTTTGGTTCACTCTATTATTAGCTATGCACAGTCCCATGACAGGAAGCTATTCCACTAAAATGCACTGATGAAGTCTCTGTGCACTACACGCTCAGCAGCAAAGACTAACACTATGTTGGTTTGGCAGCAGACCTCTATATCATTTACCTGTATATTTGTGGTTTGACTCGTGCATAAAAGACTATTATCTTCGTCTTAGTATCCATCTCCGTTATAGCTAACAGCATTTTAAAATGAAGTTTAAAGTTGGTGTAATTTTGATTTAACTGTTCTAATCCATGATGTTCTAAAGGATTTAGGAGAGGTTAAAACCACCCACAGGTTATATTTTGTTCTGTAAACCGTTGTCTGCAGTGCACTACAGAAGATTCCCACCCTTCAACTCATTCAGCTTGTTGTTCAGATAATAAAATAAGGTGTTTAGAACTGAGTCTTATTCTCTCCACAGAGACTTTGTAGAGGAGAAACTGGGAAGCAAATATGTGATTGGCAGATCACTCGACTTCGCAGCATCCTTTGAAGAGTCAGGTCCAGCCACGCCCATGTTCTTCATTCTCTCCCCTGGAGTTGACCCTTTGAAGGATGTGGAGAAACATGGTAAGGCGCTCGGCCGTTTGATGTTTAATTAGCTGACAAGTGCTGCCTCACAGCGTGTTCTGGACTTTTATCAGAGCATACGTATTGCCAAATTATCGGTCTTTTCTTCATGTCTTGAGAACTTGCAGGATTTCTGTGGAATAGGCTATTTAAGTCAAGTATCAAGTATTGAGTCATTTTATCTTTGATTATCAGTCAGACCAGCATTCCTCCGAACCCATCCGTTATATGTCTGTGCTGTGATATCAGCCATCACTGCCAATGGACGACAGACTCTGTGTAGATTGAAGCTATTATACTGAAGGTCACAAATATATAATACGACTCCACTGATGTATTAGGAGCAGCAGAAAGTAAATGTCAATAGTTTTAGAGGTACTTACCAGCACAGTATGAAAAATGCAGAAGGCAGCAGGACACACAGTTTTGATTTCCTACCACATATGCCAGAAATTCCATGTTTTTTTACTGACCAGGAACGGGGCACCATTACCGCCTGACACGTCTGAATCTGCTCCCAGATAATTAAGTCTGAGAGTATTTAGAAGTCAGATATACAGACAGCAGCTACTGTACCAGTTTACTGGAACAAAGAGATTTCAACAGTGTTTGTACTCGGTGCCGCTGTCACACCATGGAACCACAAAGAGGGGCATTTCCAGTGTAGACAATTGGGTTTGTAATTCGTATTATGTTCCATTGGATTTTCAAACCTCCCTGATTACCAGGTTCCAGGTTACAGTTTAGATCAGTCCATCAAATCAGTCTAAACTAAATTATTTATTTTTTTACTTGAAGGAGCCATATCATGCCCTCTTACCACACATTTATATGGTTCTTTGTGGTCTGAATGAAATGTCTTAAATATAATTTGGTCAAAATACCACAAGGATCATTATTAACGGCATCCTTCTCAGACTGTCTAAAACAGCTCTGCTCATAACGGGCCGTTTGAGGTCTTAATGCTAATAAGCTAACCTCTCGCCCCTGTCCCCTCCCTCCTGTCTCCTCCACCATCCACACTCCTCCGTGGTTCGGGCCTTGCATGGCATGCATGCGGAAAATGGAGGTATTGGTGTTGGTGCAAAATAGTATACCTCGTCTGTGCTGTGACGGATAGATGGTTTCCATCCCGCTTATTGGCCCAGATTGGTAAAACAGTCCAAATCAAAATGGTTTACGCATACCAACAGACTTTTGCCAATTCTTTCCAGAACATTACCTTCAATATAAATTCAATCCATTCCGGTCTTGTGTCTTGAGGCTGGGACGGATGTACAGATCTGTGTGGATCAGTGCAGCGACCACAGTGCATCTTGAGCATTTGCTTCATGCTGCTAGCTGGTGTTTGGGTGTATCTGTATATGGTGAGTGTAGGGGGGGGCAAAGCCATGTAAGAGAGACTCCCATTTCATAGTCACGGGAGAATAATAAGGAAGTTCATTTCACTCAAGCGGGGTCGTCGTGGCGCAGGGGAGAGGGTGCACCGGTAACCGCAAGGTTGGTGGTTCGAGCCCCGGCTGCCCCATGTCGAAGTGTTAGTGAGGAAGACACCTAAGCAGCAGAAAGTAAATGTTCTGCTGCGTTTGAGCGTTATAACATTATAACTATAACTAATGGCTCCCCAGGATAAAAATGGAAAAAAGCCATGGGTTAAACGTACAAGAAACTTGTGCTTAAAAACTTAAAAACTTGTGCGTTTTTAACGTACAAGACATGAAACATGAACATGTTGTCTGCGTGGGTTCTCTCCGGGTTCTCAGGCTTCCTCCCACAGTCCAAAGACATGCGCTGGGGATCAGGTTAATTGGGGACTCTAAATTGCCCGTAGGTGTGTAGATGTGAGAGTGAAAAGTTGTACCAGGCACCCCAAATATGGGGCTTTTATAATGCTTTGTAGAACTTTCAGCGAGGAAGTAACAAATGATGATAGGGGTATAAATCACAAAGTAACTCTCAATGCATTGCTATAACAATATACTGACCCGCCGCTTAGTAACACAAAACCATCTGAGAGGCTATCATTGGAGATTACTTGGAAAAGGGCAGGCACTTACTTACTTAAATGAACCATCACTCAAACTAACTGACTGAAGCTGGTCCAGAGAAGAGAAACACACATTTTCAATCGAGAAAAGCCTTACTTTAGTAATACTACCCCGTCCAGATAGAGCTGATGCTATTGATACATCTACTCATACCTCTGTTGTTGTTTCTTTCAGGGAAAAGGCTGGGTTTCACATTTGACAACAAGAACTTCCATAATGTTTCTTTGGGTCAGGGCCAGGAGGTTATAGCTGAACAAGCCCTCAAATTGGCAGCTACAAACGGCCACTGGGTGATATTACAGGTACAGTATGACGGTACACATGCAGCTTGCAAACACTGTCCAAAGTAGCTCACATTATAACTACAACAAGCATAATTCACAGTAAACATTGCTGTTTATCTTACACACATCAAATAAATCTACTATTCACTAACAACACCCTATTTGTTTTCACCAGAACATTAATATAGAGAAGATCCAATTGCAGTTAGTGCAACGCTAAAATTAATTTGTGATGAGTATGATTGTTAAACATTCTGACACTGAACTGTTCAATCTTTATTGCCTCTACTTCTCCGACAAAAGGTGACAATTCATAAAAAATATTATACTGTTGCAATCAAAATTGGCATACAGACCCTGACATAAAGAGTTTATCTAAATCACAGTAAGCAGAATGAATCGGGCATATTTTGTGCGAAGGATTGCATGTTGTGAATGTGGTATATTGTAACATTGTTCTTCATGGCACACTCCATGTGATGATGACTTTCCTCCTAGGTTTGTCTGCATGGAAAAGTGAATTAAGTGTCCTGCGAAGATGTCTTAACTGAAAGGGAATTATACAGTAGTATATCTACGCGGTGTCTGTTTTATCTGGAGGGCAAGGCCAGTGTTTGCATTTTAAGTGAAAACCTTGGTGGAATTCTAATGGGATGTATCGACAGATGTGAACCGTACAGCGGGCACGTCAGGACACCCGTTTCATTGAATTCACACAGCTGGTAGTTTTCTCCACTCCCCTCCAAAAGTTTGGAGACCATTACTCTTTGCTCCAGACCCAGAACAGCAAAGACAAGCAGTTGTTTAATTACCTTTGCATAATAATCTTAATCAATAGGCTTAAAAAGGCCTTGTCTCCCTGGCAACCAACCTCCCACTCGCTCTATCATCAGCTGTCTCTTCGTCTGCCCGCTTGAGCCACCCCCATGGTACTGGCCAGGCAGGGAGAGAAAAATGAGGGAGGGTGGGTGTCATATTGTTATATTATATGTTCTTCATTCCACATACCGGACATACCACCCCTCCCTCTCCTCCTTACCTTTTCATTATAGCATCTATCCACCTTGCAACCGTGCAAAACTGAATGTTTGTTTGGTTAGAAGCCACAACAGATACTCACATCCGCCCTGTAAGAAATTAGCGTGACTTGTCTTGCAGACAAAGAATATATCCTATTCAGGAAAAATCTGATGGTCTTTGTAATGGAGTTGAAATCATAGAAGCCAGAATTATTTTTGTAAATCGCTTTTGCGCCCACTTCAGGCGTATTTGTTTCCCAATGTGCACGTAAAAGCATGGCGAGGTACGTACAAACAAGCTGCACTGAGGTAAAAGCGCAGATGGCAAATTGGCATGGCATTCACAGGAGGGAGGGGATGGGGTAAAGTAAAGTGCGCTTAATTATGTATTCTGCGGTATGAACAGAAACCGCCCGTGGAAACATGCCTCTGTTTTGCTGTGGAAATTGTCCACCTCTTAAATGTAGGTGTAAACCAGAATGCAGGTTTCCTCATATGCCTCCTGGTGAAATGACTTTCATCAGAGCCGGACGGCCACATAGGCCCATGTGACAAGCTGAAAGCCTTTTGCCACAAGGATCACACCCTTTCAGTTGAGTGAACAGGAAATCATTACGATTTACTGATAAAGCAGTATTACAGTTACTGGAAGAAATCTAAGATGATGTTGCATCTCTGACTCAGCGTTCACACTCCATTCCTGCAGTTGTTAAACTCCTCGCTACATCACAATTATTGGCATCAGGATCCTTTCAAACAAGTGTGCGTTTGAGCGTTATAACATTAGGCCCTCAGACTCACACTGAGTCCTGTGTGCTTCCCGTATCAGTCTAGAGTCTGACTGCTCCTCCCCTGCATGGCCTCCCTCCCAGCTGTGGAGCTGTCCTCAGTGCTGTGCTTGTTTTCATATTGATGTGCATGACATCAGAGGGGCTGGAAGGCTGTTGTCGACGAGACTGACTTAAAAAGTGTGATTACGGTCACATGTTTCGAGGTAGTTTCTGACTTTCTCTGTTGGCTCTCTTAATTAATTAATATAATAATTATGTTATATATATATATTATAATTATCGTCACTTGTCACTTTGTCTCTTGTCTGTTACTTGTTCGTTAGTGCACTTTATGCTTAATATTTTTCTTTTTAACTTTTTAATATTTAACTTTAACATTTTTAACTTTATTCCCTTGTTTTATACTAACCCATAGCCTTATTCTACTAACCCATTGCATTAGCATTTCATTCTACTTTATTTTATTACTTGTGCACTGTTGTCTTGTCTGTCTACTGTTGCGCACTAACCGCCAAGACAAATTCCTTGTATGTTTGCCATATTTTGGCAAATAAATGTTTCCTGATCCTGATATTATAATTAAGTATTGATTTGCCAAGAGGAAGGCTTGCACTATGGAGCCAAATCCAGGTTAAAGGTTTTGTCATCATTTGAAAAACAAATTCTTGAACAAAATAACAAAATACAACAATGTTTTCGGGTTAAATATAGTTTTGACTTATTTATTTAATAAAATACTTTTCAATCTTTACCTAGTCAAAACTATATTCAACGTGAAAATACTTTTCATACGCTTATTTCTATTTTGAATACATTGTCGTATTTTAAATGTTTGAGACTAAAATTTGTTTTTTAAATAAACCAAACTTTTGACCTGGATTTGGCTTCACTGGCTTGATGAAACACTCTTCAATTGAGACTTTTAATTTGTATTCCATCCACTTGTCTCTAAAGCTTCAAGGGAAACTAAGTCATCCTTTTCTCAGCTTCATGCTCCCCCCAAACGTCTCTCAAAGAGTGAACAACTTTTCTCTTTCATTTTTTTCAACAACTCTCCCGAAAATTGACGTTTCTCTCCCTGACATGTCCCGTCATTTGGAAAGAAGACCAGCTTAAAGATTAAATATGGAGAGCAAAGGGAAATGAGGAAGTAAAGAGGCTTAGGAATTAATGACTTGAGTTATTAGTGCTGTAATTAGATTTAGGGAATGGGCACTGCTGCATGTTGAGATCTGTGTGTGTGTGTGTGTGTGTGTGTGGGATGGGGGCTGACTCCCTATCATTCACAGGACATCCTGTAAGTGTAAGGACAGTTGAGATGGAAAATTGAGCTCATCCAAGCTTGTGAGGTAGTACTAGTCCGCTCCACGGCTCACAAAGCACTGAGAGATGAATGGACAGAAAAGCTGAAGTAACGTCGGCGAACGGACGCTTATGTTTCAAGTGCTATGTACCATTTAATTTGGTTCCACATCAAAGTCACGGAAGAGAAAGAAGACTATGCAACATTTTAATTGCTCCTTTTGGCTAGTTGTCATTTCACGATTTCAACAATATGGACAATTCCAGCATTAAATGTCCTATTAAGCTATTGTGTATGTGTTATCCAGTGAAGCTCAGACTTTCACAGATATCAAACACAAAACTTTATCTGGTAGTAGATTAGGGAAATTAATTTTGCCTCACGACTAGCCTGTTGCCTACTGATAACGTGCCATTTTCCTACTTAACCCTTACTTGTTGATCCTGCTTCCTGTAGAATATCCACTTGGTGGCTCGCTGGCTGGGTTCATTAGAGAAACTTCTTGAGCATCACGCAGAAGGAAGCCACGATAACTTCAGGGTGTTTGTCAGCGCAGAACCCTCCTCCACCCCCGAGGGCCACATCATACCGCAGGGCATTCTGGAGAACTCCATCAAGATCACCAATGAACCGCCTACTGGCATGCATGCCAACCTGCACAAGGCCCTGGACAACTTTACCCAGGTAACACAGTGATAAAGGAAACAATTAGAACCATGTACCCAATGGCCAAAGACATTTATAAATAGCTTTAAAAATAGCCCCACCTCAGAGGGATACAACTTTAACATGCTACTGACAAGTGATTCATAACTACATTCCAATTCCAAATTATACTAGGTACCTATACACCAGTCTAAAAGTGGCTATTTGATTGTAAAGGTCCCCCAATTATATTATGACTTCCCACACATGAATATGTCCTTTTTAAATCTATTCAGTCTTAATCTCCAGTTGTATCTGATAGACCTCTCTGGAGGGATAGTACTAAAATCTGCAATAATTGTATTAAATGGACTGTTAAGTTACACCCACTAGAGTAGCACAAGGTCACAACTGATGCTCACAGATTCCATTAGCACTTACAGTGCACATTTGATAAATCTTCAGTATGAGACGACTTTGAATACTTCAAGGACTTATTTTCATTTTTGTCATGAGTGGCAGTTGAAGCAACTTGTGGCAATTTTTACTTCAGATTTCTCATCAAGTAGCCAATTTTAAGAAATGTAGGAGCGAGCAGATGGGAGAGTCACCTTTCACTCACTGTGGAATTGCCTGTGGCCCCCAGAGGAGTGATGTGAAGGTCATCATACCTGTGCATGGTTGCGTTGTGCAGGGAGATGTTGATAGCTTACATGGGGTTGAGATCACAACAAAGTCTGTTTGACACTTTTTGGTTCTGTTATTGGAGAAAGTGTTAAGTCTAGTTCTTCTCTCTATCCAAGCCCGACCATTACCTCAGAGGTTCGCTGCCAATGCATCTTACTCTGCACGGCTAAAGGCAGCGCTAAGCCATAGAAACCACAACTTTCCTCTTGGCCTTTTCACTGAGAGCAAACAGCTGTACTGCGCATTTTTACCCCGAGAATATCTACAACGGAGTCTGGGAGAGATGAAGTTAAAGTCAGCCACAATGTTTTTATTAAAGAAACATTTCTACAACAAAAAAAGCTTTAAAGGATTTTCAAAAAACTGAGTGGCAGACTCATGCATATCGCGATTTGCATTTCAGCTGGGTTGAGCATTAGAGTACCGAGGAGAATACTAACTAAATCTGTGTGTGTGTGTGTGTGTGTGTGTGGGGGGGGGGAGGTGTAGTAGTCCGACTTCACTGGACTTTTGTGTGCATCATAGGAGTCAGCCCCCCCCCAACGATACTGAGAGGGTATTTACCATGGCACTTATGATAAATGCTAGAATAATTTAGGATATTGTATTACCATAGGAGTTATTGGCCTGCTTATTTAACAGTTGCCATTTACATTTCTTTTTCTGGAATGTTGAGCCAAGGAGACAGAAACTGACGGCACCTGACATCTTCTGACAATTAAAAGGGAATCTTGTTTTCCGGCTTATGGCCATCGTAGTGTCTGTCAGTGTGTTGCAGAACTGGGGATTAGGCAAAATAAAAACGTTCACTGGTTTGCCTGCCACAACGTTTAACCTGTAACAGCTCCTTAATGCAGCTGTACACTTCAGAAGGCTCTTTATCTTTCGTGTTCCAGGACACACTGGAGATGTGTGCGCGGGAGAATGAGTTTAAGAGCATCTTGTTTGCCCTGTGCTACTTCCACGCGGTGGTGGCAGAGAGAAGGAAGTTTGGTCCTCAGGGCTGGAACAGATCTTACCCTTTTAACACTGGAGACCTCATCATTTCCATCAATGTCCTCTACAATTACTTGGAGGCCAATACTAAGGTAAGGTAGACTGTTTTTCCTTTACTTCTGGGCAGTAGATTATAAGGATCAACATTCTTAAATCTTAAATGGAAACACCACAAGCCACTTTCTTGCAAAGCAGAAACCCCATTCTGATTTCCAGGTGCCATACGATGACCTGCGCTACTTGTTTGGCGAGATTATGTACGGGGGTCACATTACGGACGGCTGGGACCGCCGTTTGTGTCGGACCTATCTGGAGGAATTTATCAGGTGTGAGATGATGGAGGGAGAGCTGCACCTGGCACCTGGCTTCCCCTTACCTGGAAACATGGACTACAACGGCTACCACCAGGTAAGGCAAACCCAGCTGGCCTGGTGGTTAAACATTGAAAAGCTTCAAATTAAAATTGTCATCAGGTTAGTTTCCCAGGCCTGGCCATACTTTTATGTATTATCAGGTCATTGATTCACCCTCAATGTTTGTTGTATGTTGTTATGGATCATTAAACACAGACATACTGAATGGATGTATTCAGAAATGAGGAAGGTTGTTCTGTCAACATTCATTCAGATAATATGTATAATGAGAATAACTACGTATATAAGTCAACAACAAATAAAGAAGCCTAGGTCAAGCGCTTTGAGGTCATTTCGGTTTTAAATCTGGAGTGTTTCTTTTGTCAAAGTTATTCATAAAAAAGATTTGGCCTATGAACAGGGCTGTCTGCCAGGCCATTGCCTCCCATAAACCATCTGAGCAAACTTACAGTATAAATACAAGTTGAGATTTCGGGGAGAGGCACAGTAGGAAGGTGAATCAGCAGTTTTACTCCTCTTTCCAAAAAATACAGGTGTATACAATCTGCAAAAGATAGACAGCAAGTACAGAAGAGATCAAATAACCTGAAAAAGGTTCAAACAACAAAGTGTTTTTTGCCAATATAATCCGGATATTATGATTAAAGGAAGCTTGCTATACGGTGTAGGTTTCCCACAAAGAGGAGCCTTTTTCACTTCTGCTTCCACTTTCATCTCTATGGACTTGAAAGCATGTTGATACTCATTATGAACCAGCAGATGGAAAATGTTTCCCTTTTATGGTTATTAACAGTCCATCAATGATCTGGTGTTTGAAACTCATCCAGAAATATCTCGTTTATATGGTTCCATTCTTCTTCCAGTCCTTTGTCAGCAGAACATTAGAAGAAAATGAAACATGTTTGTCCGGCAGTAATTGCCACCTTGCTAGTAAACGGTTGGAAGCCCTTTTGACTTCAGAACCGCCCTCATTCTTGGTGGCATACCAGTATAGTGGTATATTGTAGTAGTGTAGTGGGCGAGAAAAGGCGCTGCTTGCCCGATGAGCTGCAGGTTGTAAACTGAAGTATCACAGCGTGCGCTTTCTGCGGGTTGGCTGTGGCGCTGACAACGCTACGTTTGCAAATGCACGTACATTATGGCCGAAGTTTCCTGTTCTTGGCACCTGCTGTGGTCTTCTGCTGACTTTCATTCAGATAATATGTATAATGGGAATAACTACGTATATAAGTCAACAACGAATGAAGAGGTCATTTCAGTTTTAAATCTGAGTGTTTCTTTTGTCAAAGTTATTCATCAAAAAGATTTGGCCTATGAACAGGGCTGTCTGCGGGGGTCTGCTAGTCTGTTCTTCAAGGTATCAGGTGATGTGCATTCAGAGATGGTATCATGCATTCCTTTGTTGTAACGAGTGGTTATTTGACTTTCCGTTACTTTTCCGTCATCTCAAACCAGTCTGACGTCTTACATTTTCGTCCACACCAATCACTGGATATTTTCTCTTTTTGGACCATTCTCTGTGAACCCTAGAGATGTGCATGGAAATCCCAGTAAATCAACAGTTTGTGATATACTCACATCAGCCGGTCTTGTACCAACAACTATGCCGAGTTCAGGGTCACTTAAATCTCCTTCTCCCCCTTCTGACGCTGGCTTTGAACTTTGCAAGAAGTTGTCTTGCCCACGCCTACATGTGCATTAAATGCATTGAGTCCTTGTGATTGGCTGATTAGCCATTTTTGTTAATAAGTGGTTGAACAGTTGTACCCAACAAAGTGTCCGTGCATAATAATCTTAAAGCCACATTTTTGAATGTTATCCCTGTATGTGAAATGTCGATTTACATGTCTCTAATGAAAAAGTAAATACTTAACCTAATTGACTTCATTTTGGTAAATCCTGCATTTGATGCGGGGCAGAAATTCCTTCCATGAATGGGGGTTGGGATTTGTGATGACACAAAGGTTTTACACAGTTCCCATCTCTGATGTTCTTCTGCTCCAGTACATTGATCAAAGCCTTCCTGCCGAGTCACCCCACCTGTACGGCCTTCATCCCAATGCTGAGATTGGCTTCCTCACACAGACCTCTGAGCAGCTCTTTCGCACAGTGCTGGAGATGCAGCCCAGAGACGGAGGAGTCGGTGAGGGGGGCGCCTCCACACGTGAGGAAAAGGTTATTATTTATTCTACACTACATGTTCTAAAGCATCTGGACAACCAAACATTACACCTGTAGATGATTGCGAACACCTATGTAATCACTTTCAGTCAGTCAGCTTTCCACTTACTGGGTGAGGTCATGGCTCTGAGCATTGCAATATGATGTTAAAAATGGTATAACTAGTGAAACCATGGATGGGTAAACAAAGAGGATTGCACACGTGTGTGTAAACTGTCATATCAAAATGTGAGAGTTCGTCTACATCGAAGACATGGTCAAACCCTACATCCCAACTCCGCTCTGCCAAACTGCTTGTTCCTCCTCACTGAGAGCAAAACACTCGACTAGATCTCCACTCTTTGCTGTCCTTCTCCTAAATGGTGGAAGGAGGTCTCTGAAGACATCAGGACCACAGAGAGCCTTCACATCTTCAGACTAAAGACACACCTCTTCAGACTCTACCTGGAACTGGTGTTGCACTTAAATTGTACTAATAATCTATAGCAAGTTGTGAATCGGCTTATTTGAACAAATTGCACTTTCTTCTTCTGAGTTTGTGTCTTTACGGTTGAAATGCACTTATTGTAAGTCGCTTTGGATAAAAGCGTCAGCTAAATGACATGTAATGTAATGTAATGGACGTTGCTACCCCTCACCCACTTGGGAGGGTTTTTTTGGCCAAAGTACGTGATAGGTACTTCTTATTCTTTGTCACTGTTGATATAAGTCATCCAGTGTGAAGCATTCCCTCTGGCGTTAGTAAGGATGAAATAGAAAAATAGTTATGTATGTAACTACGGTTCTATGAATCCTGGATGACCCCCAGAGTTCTTCGTGTCCCTATATCCTCAACGGGGCCCTGACAGAAAAATGTTGGGAGCCATTGCCATAGAGGGTTAAGCAAGACTTAAGCTGAACGCTGCTTCAGTTAGTTTGATCGACTCTAAGAAGGCGTTTCACAATTCCCTGGTAGGTTTGGTCAGACTTCAACTTAAAAATCCTCTTGAAAATGAGCCTCATTTACTAAACGTCCACCACTCTAGTGACCGACATCCGACCTGTCTTTGTGGGTGTGTCAACTTGTGGTTCTGATGTTTGACCTTACTGGCTAAGAAGGCTGGATGCTCTTGTCTTAACAGATGACAACCAATGCACGGCTTACCAACAAAGCTCACTCAGTATTCAGCGTGTTCACCGGCTGCAAACGACACATGAGATATTTGAACTCCATAGCTATGATGACCTCATATTGTTTGCTGGGCACCCTAATTCACTGATTGACTGCCAATGCTTGTTGCTTTGGAAAAGTGTTGACACAGGCATTAGCTTTCATCACTTACCCTCAACAATATGATGTCAGCATTGATTTTCGGGAGGAATTAGACTGCTATTGAAAGCAAACAGCTGTCTTTCAAAATATATCCTCATGAATATTTATGAAACGATCTTTCAAACCGTAACATTTTCTCAGGCTGTGATGGTTTGCACTACTGTGTTTATCTGACAAACGCCCCAGTCTCTCATCTCTTTTACTTCTTGTCCTCTTTTATTGTAACTAAGATGGACAAAACTATATTGTTCTGACTAATTCACTTACTCATTGACACATCAAGGTGCGTGCAGTGCTGGAGGATATACTGGAGAAGCTCCCAGAGGACTTCAACATGGCTGAGCTGCTGGAGAAGGCAGAAGAGAGGACTCCCTACCAGGTGGTGGCGCTGCAGGAGTGCGAGCGCATGAATCTCCTTACACAAGAGATCAGACGCTCGCTCTGCGAACTCAGTCTGGGACTCAAGGTGAGGAGGCAAAGAATCCACTACTACTCCGCCAAATAGAAGTCTTTGTTCCTTCCCATTTCATCATCTCATGACACCTCCGATATGTTGAGAACGTCTGGAATACACCACCTGTAAATCAAGTTGTTAAAAAAATGACATTTTCCAATGCTGCATTAAGACAAAAATCGATGTACTATAAAAGTACAGTACTAGTCCAGAAGAATAGTGCCATACGGTGCTAAAGAATGCTGAGATCGGGATCAGGGTTCTTTGTACACAGATGCAGAAAGAGTACATGTATCTTATCAGCATCATAAAGAATTTCTATGACTGTCACGCGTATATATATATAACACCAATATTTCAGCTCCAGTATCAGTGGGTAAAGGACCCCAGTGTTCTCTCATTGCTCTTATAGCGTGTTTATCTGCTAAGCTAGCCCTTGTTTGTGAATTCGACACCTGTGTCTGGTGGTTTTAAATCCAAAGTTTACCTCTTGAGATAACGGAAAGTGAGGCATTGCCCTCTTGTTTCCTTCCTATAAAGGACTTGATTTACAAAAGATGCAGCATCTGTCAGCAGCAGGCTTCAAAAGTCTGCAAATGAGGAAGTGCCTTAAAAATATATTTTCTCTATTAACCATCAGGGGGCGACTCCTTAGGGCTTATTAAGGGCTTGTGATGCTAAAAGAGCCATTTATAATATTCTCTACATCAATCTACTACAGTCCAAATACAGTCACTTCTGATCACTGGTTATAAAAATAGCTGCAGACCAAACCCAAGATGGTGACGGCCTAAATGCTGAACATGAAATGACCGGTTGACATCCCCGTAAATACAGCACTTAAAAACAAAATACCAAATACAAATATTTTTTAGTTTATAGTACAATTAATTCCCAACAAAGAAGGTATGACCCATTTGGGGTGCAGGGCCTACCCTGTTCCTATATCTTCAAATGGGGGCTCAACAGAAGAGGTTTGGGAACCACTGCATTAACTGAAAGTAGTAGTGAACTCAATTGACCCGGTGCTATGGACCACCCTTTAATTGCCGACTGGCCATCATAGCATTTTAACCACAAAAATGGGTGGTTTCAGTTGTTCAAAATCAGTTTTTCCTGTGGCCCCCACCCTTCAGGGAGAGTTAACCATGACCAGTGATATGGAGAGCCTTCAGAATGCTATCTTCCTCAACATGGTGCCGTTGAGTTGGACGAAGCGGGCTTACCCCTCCATGTCTGGCATGGCCCTGTGGTTTACTGACCTGCTGGCCCGGATCAAGGAGCTGGAGGCCTGGTCAACGGACTTTGTCCTACCTTCTGTGGTGTGGCTGGCTGGCTTCTTCAACCCACAGTCCTTCCTCACAGCCATCATGCAGGCCATGGCTAGAAGGTAGGGTTGTTTTACATGACAACTTTGAGGGTATAAATGGAAAAGAAACGACTTGGTGTGACACAGCTTGTGTTTAAATGACAGGAACGAGTGGCCACTAGACAGGATGTGTCTGCAGTGTGATGTCACCAAGAAGAACCGCGAGGACTTCTCTTTACCGCCCCGGGAAGGGGCCTACATTCACGGACTCTACATGGAGGGTGCACGCTGGGACACACAGGTACATCTATTATTACCCTATCACTTTGCTCAGCTGACTGTCACAGCAGGGGTCAATAGCTGATTGTAACATCTAAGGGAAGAAAGAAAATAAAATACTGCTCACCCAGAAATCCTCCTTCATACACTACTTGCAATGATGGATGACAGATTAAATTATGTACACAAGGTGAGCTCACATTAAACTGAGTAAAGTAAATAAACTTTGATATTTGACACCTGAAGAGCCTCCACATTCCCCTTGTGGCTACATTTTCTGCACTCAGAATTCAGTGCATTCCCAGCTTCCCAGTGCTGTATCTATCTGCATACATACAGCTACTGTATATGCACCCATCTTTCAAGGAGCATCCCTTTAGACTTCTTAATTGGGAGTGAGTGTGCACTTGAATGTTTAAGTTGGAGAGTTTCTCTGTTTCTTTCTCCCCCTCTTCCTCTTCCTCCTCCTTCAGGATATAGCCCTATGCAGCAATACAAGTCAAAGATTTATGATAAACCACATTGTCTATAATAATACAGGTGGCATTTAGAGGGGTTTCACACACAAAAGACAGCTAAACTCAACGAGGCCCAGGGAATTTTCCCGTGCATGGGTCTGGACCAATGGCCTACTTGTGCTTTGATTTTGTCCCATCTATACTGAAGTTGTATTAACATCTGTTTGAACAACTCACTGTCATTTCATAGACAGAAAGTCATTTTGTATTATATGAAAAGCATTTTTCTGTGTTACAAATGTTACATTTAACTGAGCTGTCCTGCAGCTTTAAATTCAGTTCTTATTAAACTTGTTCATGATTACAGAACATTTGGTTGGAACCTGGTACTGGCTCGGCCTTTAAGGGTGAACCTCGGAATGAACAGTTGTTTCAGCTCGACTCTCTTCTCAGTTGACATCATAATCATCATTTCATGTGTTCTCTTGGAGAACAGTATGTGAGATGCCTTCTCTGACTCACTTACTAATCTAACTCTTCTTGCTCTTCCGTCTGTTAACATCTCAATCAAGCAGCAATGCTTGATTATAATACACATATTTGATATTTAACTAGTATTACCAGAGTAGCATTATGTGACGTGGTTTGCATCTCATGTAATTGGTCAGTGTGTTTCTTGGACCGCTGAACAAGTGCAGTAAAGTCTACAAAAGTTGCTGCAGTCAAAATAGAAGCGATCCCGTCAAAATTGAATAATTCTCAATTCTCAATTGGTTAAGGGTTGCGGGTCCAGACGGGTCCAGTCCAGACATTGTGTGCTGAATGAATATGGTAGAAAAGCAGACATGGGGATCCAGGGGACACTTGTGTGTTCATGAGGTGTCACCAATAAATACTAAATTTTTGTAATAAACTGTTATTTTCTCAGTATAATGTGACATCACACAACTGTAATATAGATGTCAGAGTGTATATAGTGTTGTTAATCAAATTTACAATGAATATCAGTTAGTCCAAATGGTTTGCTCGAGTGCGAGTAAAGAGTGGCGAGTATTCGTCTTTGTTGAGAACGCAGCATCACAGACACAACGTTTAAGGGGTCTTTAAAGTTTTATAGTGAATGTAGAGGAAAATGGGGCTTTGTCCTTTCCAAAGTCAACCGGATTCACATTCCTTTCCGAGAGTCACTGTGCATGTTTGTCAGGCACAAAAGGACGATTAATTAATGAGACAGACCGCTCTGTTTCATTGTGTTTATAGACGGCAGGGCAGCATGACTTTGATTCACTCTGCTGACTTTCACAACTTCATGTGGTTCTCAATATTGTTTCATGCAAACTGGATGTCTAACAATGTTTGCGCCAACCAAGATAGTCTACTTTTTCTTCAACCAAAGAACATTGTTGAATATTTACGTCAACAGCAAGTAGCGCCGGCATGAGGATCTACATGCCCACCAAACTCATTTCTAACTTCTCTCTGTGGCTGACCGGCTTCTCATCCCCAAACACCCTTCCTACCTTCCCCTTCCCTCTCCTGTCTTCTCCAAACCTTCTTTTTCTTTCAGACTGGCATGATTGTTGAAGCCCGCCTGAAAGAGCTCTCTCCAACCGTGCCGGTCATCTTCATCAAGGCTATTCCTGTGGACAAACAGGACATCAGGAATTCGTACCAGTGTCCTGTCTATAAAACCCGCCAGCGAGGGGCCACCTATGTATGGACCTTCAACCTAAAGACCAAAGAAAATCATTCCAAGTGGACTTTAGCTGGGGTGGCTTTGCTGCTGCAGATCTAGCATGAGTTGTTGTGTTGATGGTGCCAACAGGGTCAATGGTTCAATTCACTTTGGACCAAATATTCCAAAAGGGAGACAATGCAATTTTTGAAACAAGAAATAATGCAGTCTTCCAGATAAATTAAGATGCATCCTTACTCAATGCAGTCAGTGTAATCTTACTATTACTATTACTATTACTCATCTTTTCGTGTGCTGTTGTTAGATAAAGTTGTATCGCAAATAAAACAAGACGTAAACACTGTAAATGTACAGAAAACCTTCTTTCTTGTTTACAGCTTGCATTTCAGAATGCAGACATTTTAGGACTGGCCGGACCTGCAAGGCACATGTTCAAGGGACATGTAAAAGGACACATGTAGAGTACCGGTCAAAAGTTTGGACATGCTTGTACGTTATGACTTTGTTTCATAATCAAAAAATGGGAAATAGGAAGATTCTATGTCTACTTTTAAACCAGTGGCCTCAAGAAAACCTCTGGAAACTGGAAACATGCGCTCATTAGAGTTCCGATCTGCAGCAGATGTGAGTTGGGCGTGTGGGTGGGTAACAGGGAGTAAAGGTTTGGCTGTGTTTCCAGTAGTGGAATGAAGAGAAAACATTGTGCCAGTTTCAGACTCATACATTTATTGTGCTGTGGTTGAAAATAACAATAATTCTATCCCTCTCAGAGAATTGGTACTATCCCAAAATAAAAATGATTACTTTGGTGAATCTCACACATATACAGGATTAACTCAATTGAATATAAAATAATCCAGATTATATCTGAGTTAACTGCTACTTTAATCTCTGAGATCTATTGACAGGACAGCAATATTCTCTAGCCTTGTTTTAAAGGACCACTGCTGGTGTGTTTGATTGAATTTGTACAAACCAGAATTGTCATATTTAGGCATATAAATCTGTACAAGAACTTTTCCTAATCCCTTTTGGATACAAGAATCCAAACTGAAGCATTTGATGTTGACTCAATAGGGACCAACCTATAGCGAAAAGTGAGACACGTAAATGGAACCAAAAGTGATGTTGACGATGACGTTGTGAAGGTAAGTAGGTCCTCTCAGCACAGATTTATTCCCAAACTGTGCCAGCATAAGATCTTGTGCCTTACTCATGAGGTGCTTACATATTGGGTTTTGCCATACAGTGATTCTATATTTTCATGAAATGAAACTGAAAGCATCCATGACTAGTTTGTAGACGTATTTTTTTGTGGAGAAATTCTAGCATTATCCAGTGAGTTGCAGCTGGTTCCGGAATAGGAGACAATACAATGTAACTATTTCACACATTCTATCCAAACCAGTACCTCCACTTCTAAGGCATGATAAAAAGATCACATTTTTAAGAGTTTCATTTTCACCCACTGTAGGAAAGGCACCATCTTGGGTTGACTGTGGCGCATTAATTGGAGTGTGTGCGACTGAGCAAGACACCCAACCTGGACGCGTTCACAGCCCACTGGTCACACTGTGTGAGATGGGTTAAATCAGAGAACAATTTCCTGTATGTGTAAAATAATACTTGGCAATAGAAAAATCTTCTTCTTCTTTGGCACTGTAGAATATTATGAACAGACTGACAACCCGGCTAATAGGGTACGTTGGCTGCCTCTCCTCTTGACACTTTGTGCTTGTGTGATTTATATGGCTTTTATAGCTATTATTTTTTCAACCCCGTTTTTACGTATTGCCATTGCTCCTTGAGTTGGAATGTGACCTTTTCCTACTTCCCTCAGTTGGAATACAGTCAGATTCATTTAGGATTGCTGCCCCGGCTGAAGCTGTGCTTGTCCCTGTGGTCGTTGGCAAACGCCACTGCATGTGCCTAACAGAAACCTGGCAAAAACCAGGGGACTACTCTGTGCTTAATGAGGCATGTCCCCCTGGCTATAACTACATGGAGAAAGCCCGCAGCTCTGGTCGTGGTGGTGGACCAGCCATCATGTTGAACTAAAACGTTCTCCTCTGCAAATGCCTGATCCTTTATGGAATACCTGGCCTCCAAATGCAAATCTCCGTACTGCGTGACAGTGCTTGTCATATACCGTCCTCCAAAGCCAAACCCATCTCTTCTACCTGAGGTAAGTGATCTCCTTACTTCACTCTGCACTATGTCCACTAATATTGTCATTTTCTGGTGATTTAAATATTAATGTCAACAACCCCTCCTGTCATTTTGCTTGAGGTTTCTACTCACACCAATGGGCACATTCGGGATCTGGTTATCACTGACTCGGCTCCCATCAGTAACCTACAGGTTTATGATCTTGGTGTGTCCGACCACAAGGTTGTCTCAATGGCCATGACTCTCATGCTGCCTACTGTTAGACCTAAGCGCCAAATGTCTTTTCGGAACTGGAAAAGCATAGACTCCGTTGCTATGACTATGAACCTCGAGCTCATCACCTGCCCAGCCTCTGCATCAATGGATGAATTAGTAGAACTGTAAAATGCATCCCTGAGCAGTGTTTCAGAGCTCTCAAAGTTGCTGTCATCCGTCCCTTCCTCAAGAAGCCCACCCTGGACCGGAGGTTCTAGCCAACAACAGACCACAATACAGATCTCCAACCTTCCCTTCCTGTACCAGGTGCTAGATGAGGTTCTCAACTTCAGGGCTACCTCAAGCACAACAACTTGTTTGAAAAAATTCAGTCAGGATTCCTTTCAGCTCACAGCACGGAAACAGCTTTGCTCAGGGTGCCGAATGACCTGCTGATGACAGCTGAGGCTGGATCACCCTCAATTCTCATCATCCTGGACCTGACTGCTGCATTTGATACAGTGGATCACACTATCCTCCTAGAGTGCCTCCACACCACCATTGGAAAATCAGACTTAAGTGGTTTCAGTCCTACTTTTCTGGCCGAACTGAATAGGTCTTACTGGGAAGATGCAGTCCAGACTGCTCCCTGTCTCCTGTGGTGTTCCGCAAGGGTCCGTCCTTGGCCCCAACTTCTTTATCACCAACATGCTCCCCCTTGGCCGTGTCATCAGCAAACATGGAAGGTCCTTTCACTGTTATGCTGACGACACACAGCTCTACATCAAGACTGTCCCGAGCCCCTCTGCTGCCATGTCATGTCTCATCGCCTGTCTTGGGGAGATAAAGGCACGACAACTTTCTCTAGCTAAACCGCTAATCCAACACCGAAGCCCTTCTTGTTGGCACTCCACACCAGGTTCAGTCATCCTCCATTATCCATCTCACCTTTGACAGTCAGGTCATACCTCTCTCCACAGTTACCAATCTGGGAGTTAGGTTTGACCCTCGCCTGACCTTTAATGACCATGTAAAATACCTGACCAAAAACATCTCCAAACTCCGCCCCACGTTTACCCTGTCAGATGCAGAGAAGCTTGTCCATGCCTGTATCTCCTCAAGACTGGACTACTGTAATTCACTTTTAACTGTAATCACTGGGAAGAATATCCTGAAACGACCATTCATCCAAAACAGCGCTGACAGGATCCTGATGGGAGTCCCGAAATATGAACACATAACACCCGTCCTACACTCACTACACTGGCTTCCTGTCTCTTTCCGGACTGACTACAAAATTCTACTACTCACTCATGAATGCATAAATGGACATGCACCTCCCTATCTACAAGAACTACTCACTCCCCAAATCTCCACCCGCACCCTTAGATCTGCAAGCACCTCGCTCTTCTGGGTCCCCTACATGAAGCTCCATGTTTTTACTAGCTTTTACTTAATTTTTTTACTAGTTTGAATTATTATTTTATGTATTACCTATGTTATTGCCATTTATGTTGAACTCTGAGATATGCTGATGAAGAGTGCATTATAAATAAAATGTATTATTATTACAAATTAGGCCGTTTAATGAAATGCATGCAGTGTAATACTTTAGACATTTAAAATGGCAGAGAATGCACTGGCACTGCCTTGGCATCGACACTGCCATTGATTAAAAAAATAACGTCACGCAGGCACGGTCGACCACGGCAGCTAACAAAAACTAATGCTAATGGTAATTAGCATTCCTTGCTTACTAACGGACACATTGTATTTAAAAGCAACCCTGGCTAACGGTAATGAACGAGGATGTATGGAATAGTTATGACGGTTCCCTCGCTTCTGACAGACGAGAGGCTCGCTGTTTGTTTATATTGATTTGTTTTGCGCTGACGGCATTCAGCGCTGTTGTTCGTTTGGTCACCGCTACTACTCGTTTGCCTGATCCCCTCTGTTAGTCCAGAGTTTGTTCATTTTCGACACATGCAGTCAGTCCCCTAACTCCCGTTTCCAGTCTCCCAGTGCTGCGTCCTCTTAGTCTCTCCCTCTCCATCCACTTCACTCCTTTCCTCCTCCCCATTTGAAATCACACCCTCTGTAGTGAGTCAGATTTAACCAGGCAACACCACAGTGTATCCAAACGCCCACAGTAAGCCAGCTGTGTCTTTCTTCTTCTTTCTGTCTGTCTCAGCACACGTTCCCCAGCGTCTCCTTTTTCTACTTTTTGGAGAGCCTTAACAATGACAGAGAGACAGAGGTGAAGAGAAGAGGAAGAAGGAGGAGGAAAGAAATGATGCATGGTGAGGCCATTATGTAGAAATAGAATCTGCTTGTGTACACATGATCATTAAAGATTGTATTCTTGCCTGCCGTGCAGAAGGGGTGCTTCAATGTTGTAATGGGTTAAGTATTACAAAGTGATTTAAGTGATACTTCATAATAACTAACGTAAAGTCAAATGTTCATCCCTTTCCTTTAAATTAACAGTTAATGCTGACATTTAACTAACAGCAAACTACTGCAATTTAATAGCATAATACAGTATTTCTCATGAAGTATTGGATAAGTGAATGAATACAATAAGTCGCAATCCATAAACATTAATATGCCTTTAAAGGCGATATAACTTATATAACATATAAAAATGAATAATGCTTATTGTCTAAGTTATTTGAGTGAAGATATGATTGACACTTCCTGAACGTCACAGCTTGAGTTAATCTTTCCGAGCCAAGGTAAAGTTAAATTTTACAGACGATATGTCTCCAGGATTGATTTGTGTTCATACTATTGAACTATTAACACAACAGATGTTTCATTACATTAACCTACTAATATTGGTAAAGAAACCTTTTAAGTATAACTTAAGTTAACATAACATTAGTATATATATACATAACATATATATATATACATACATAACGTTAATGACCAATGACAGTGGTAACATGAAACATTAGTAACTTGGTGTTTCGTTGTGCTATTACAGATCTAACTACATAATCAGGAGGCAGACGATGATGGAAAAGGAGTGGGACCACAAATTATATCATATACTGCAAAATTAGCGTAAGCGTTATTAAGCTCTGACTCCCGTAGTTAGATACTGTTGCCGTATGACTGGCGTTCTTACAGGCCATTTACAGTTTAAAATGATAACGTCGGTGGATTTACAACTCAAGTCTGATTCTTCACAAATGTAATCAAATGTAATCAAAGCAGCTTCTGTATCCGCCAAAGGCTGTTGATTTAATCTGCTGAAATTACATATATTTGTGATCCTGCTACCAACTTTGTATTGCTCTCAGGTCACAGGATTAAAAGGAAAATTAGCACACCTGATTTTTTTCTGACCGGTCCAGGAAAGATCTTCACTTTTAACAGAACAGAAGCCAACACGTGTAGAGCGAGGGATGACGCTCAACTTTGACGCTTTCCCCCCAAAACCCTCCAACCTCATCTGCAGACGAAGGAATGTTTGAGAGACACACAAGATGGCTTCTTGACAGTTATCAGTAAAAAAAAAAACGAATCAAAGGGCTCCGGTGGCTGTATGCTAACCTTAGCAGCGGTGTGTTAGCCATTCTGTTAGCTCTAGCTCCTTCCCTGCTTTGCTCGTCACTCAATTGAGTCGGCTACGTAGATGGTCTTCAATCCTGAGTTGGTTGAACAGCACTTCTGAGACCATGTCGTGTTCTTGAACACACAGGAGATGTGAGAAGCAACTGTTTTATTTAACTTCTGCCATCTGTTTTCCCACAATCCCCCAAAACCAAAAGTGTCAGGGCGGAACGGCCAAGGAAAATCAACAATGTAAACTAACTTTTGATTAGCATGTTACAACAGAACTTGCTACAGCTTATCACTTACAGCTTGCGGCAGACTAACATTATTCAATTAATTTTATTTTGTAAAGCCCAAAATCAGAAATTACAAATTTGCCTCAGGAGGTTTTACAATCTGTACACATGCGACATCCTCTGTCCCGAAACCCTCACATCAGCACATGAAAAACTCAATGCACAAACAATGTAAAAGATGTACAATACATTCAATTCCTATGACACAAATAATTAAAATATTGCGAGTAGTAAGCCAGGTGTACGACAGGACCACCATCCGATAGAACCACCATCCGATAGAACCACCATCAGATAGAACCACCATCCGATAGAACCACCATCCGATAGAACCACCATCAGATAGAACCACCATCCGATAGAACCACCATCCGATAGAACCACCATCAGATAGAACCACCACATCCACAGAAGCCTGTGGAGCACAAAGACTTTAGCAAAGGGTAATGTTGGTGTATGATGACAATAATAGTAATGTGATTAATATTTAAAATAACAATGATGATGATGATGATGGCAGCAGCAGGTGTCAGCAGGGCCACAGCAGGAGGCAGGAACAGGGTCCAGATGGAACCGTGATCCATGGAAACCTGTGTGGCTTGATATTACATTATAGTACGGGAACCTGCCGGTCTCAGCAATAATCCATTGTATTTGTAGGGATGGCAAGCGTAATTATTAATCCCGTTAGATAAGAGTGGAAAATTTTTGACGTGAAAAAAAAAAGATGCAGACGTTCTTGGGGGAGACGCGGCGCCCCCTTGCTCAACGGTATGGGAAATACTGAATCACATTATCTAATCTCGCTGAAAGTAGTTCTCTGCATGCTAAGGAACCAGGGGATCTCTACAGCACTCACATAATAAGCTTCTCGGCACTGACCCGTAACCTAGCAACACCCTGACGTCTCACCCAAGCAGACGATTAAAGGTACCTTCTTTTCATTCTGAGGACGAACCCTTTGAAAGATTTCCTCCACCCATTCGACTCCAGCATCCTCTGCTCAGTTGCACACTTGTATTAGCTACGAAAAAGACCAATGGATTGCCCAACACACGTGTTTCTTTCAGAGATCTGCAGCAGTCAGCCTTAACCCGTCATTAATTGCTTTGAAGAGCTCATATGAATCAGGCTTTTAATGTTAAGCATAGTAATCCGACACAGCCTCATATTCTGGCCCTGCAACTCTCCATGACTATTTCATTTACCTCCACTATCAGGTCAAATCTTTTATTCCTAGAAAGCAATGACAAGCCTCGTTCAAGGAATGCTCCTCTCACCATCACCGTGGGACGAGAAGCAAAAAGAGTCAACTGAATCCAGTTTAAAAATGATGAAGAATTTAAAAACTAACAGAAGCAATACAATTACAAAGTGAATTACGGTATGAATAGTATATTATTTCATCCCCTTGTCCAGTCTTATATGACCATCAATAATGGTTCTGTTCTCCAGGATCAGGATCAGGAAACATTTATTACCAAAATATGTCAAACCTACAAGGAATTTGTCTTGGCGGTTGGTGCGTGACAATAGACAGTGTAACAATAGACAACAAGACAGCAGTGCACAAGTAATAAAATAAGGCAAAATGAAATGCTAATGCAATGGGTTAGTAGAATAAGGCTATGGGTTAGTATAAAACAAGGGAATAAAGTTAGAGTTAAAAATTCAAAATATTAAAAAAGTTTAAAAATATTAAGCATAAGTGCACTAGAGAACAAGTGACAAAGTGATGAATTACAGTTAAAGTGACATGTGCAGTATGAGGGGGAGTGACCGGTGGAGTGTTATAGTCAGTCAGTGGGGGACCGGCTCTGTTGATGAGCCCGACTGCCGACGGGAAGAAACTGTTCATGTGGCGGGAGGTCTTAGTCCTGATGGACCTCAGCCTTTCAAATCTTGCGGGGGGGGGAGGGGGGGGGGGGTCCAGCCTTATGTGGCTTTTCATATAAAAATAACATAACATGCATAATATCATCATTATCTATTAGATAATAGTTTTACTTTCTTAATCACCACAGTTCATTTGAACTTTCCAACATTATGTTTAACTCAGTTTGTATGAATTCAAAATCAAACATGAAAATGAAGACATGACATGTAATAAATTCATCAAGGAAGGATTAAGACCGTTCCCTCAGGCTTTAACTTTATTTTGGCAGGATGTTATGTGTACAGTAATTCAATTACTTAAATGTCTATAAATTGTGTATACTTCATGCTGCAGTTATTAACATACTAATACAACAACTAATAACAGACAAACTACAGTTCTAGTGCTTTTTTTGTGTCTTGCATTCACAGGAAGGTCAAGACGAAAGTGGAGGCAGATTCAAATGCGTGTTTAAATGCTCAGAATGTGCAGTACAGTGGGCGGAGAAAGGCGCTGACTACCCGATGAACTGCAGTATCACGGCTTCCTGATAACGCTGCGTTGGCAAATGTACATACATTATGGCAGTAATTAACAGTAATTAATAGCCATGCAGATAATTCCTGGAAATCCCACTTTTTGTTGTGTCTTCATGTGCAATCCACCACATCAAGTTGTTCTAGATACTTAATAAACCCACACAGTGATTATCTACCTGGATAGCTGGAAGATGAACTGCTATAACAAATTGATGTGACTTTTTTCTACCTCCCAGGTGAATCTTACATTGATAGCAGTCACTGCAGTGCTGTTTTTGCACTCTACTAGCCAGAAATCACTCGACCGCCAAACAATATGTCCTCCAAGCCTCCAAAAATTCAGATGGCAATCCCTGTGAGCACTGACAAACGTACTGTGGTGACAACCCAATGTGCTGCCCAGACACCTCACTGGCAGTCATTGTCAAAACAGGCGCAAACATGGAATAGATAGCCCAATGTTGTATCAGCCTGTATTTCTGTCCAACCCGTTCACCGCTGTGACTCAAAGTCAGCATTCATTTGTGGGACACTATGAGGGCCTGTTCTCTGTGCAGCCGGCGCCTCATGTCCCGCTGCAGCCAGGACAGTTGGCTGCTGTGCAGAACAAATGTGAGAGCAGCAGTTCTTGTTCGAGACTGGGGTAATTAGCTTTGACAGAGCTGATGAGTTGCTAATTAAATGTTTATCTGGATATAGCATCTGTCGTAAAACAAATGCCTGTTAGCTGCCTACAATCTGTGGATTATCCCAAATAAGTGGGGTTGGGTCCTGCATGCAGGGAGATAAACGGGTGGGAGATTGGACAGCTGTCAGAAACTAGTCACAGCAAAAGCACCTACTGTGTACATGGCAGGGGCTTAGTCTCACTCTGCCAATGATTATTTGCATCCACAATTAAGCTGGTTCTTGTGTACCAACAGACTGGGATCTTCTCTGACTAGTAAAGTTGTACTCATTCATTGTATTCATTCATTTTGAATTTTCAATCTGTTAAAGCTAATCATGTTCAATACGTCCTCTTCTCACTCAGAAGGCAGCGCAGGTACTGATTCAGGCTCTTGTCGTCTCCCTCCTGGACTCCTGTAACTCCCTCCTGCAGGTCTCCTGCTACCACTATTCAACCTCTGCAGCTCATCCAGAATGCAGCAGTCCGCTGGTCTTTAACCTTCCTAAGTTCTCCCTCACTCCTCCACTCCTCTGCTCTCCTCACTGGTACCGGTGGCTCATCCAGTTCTAAACATGGTGCTCAGGTACCGGGTCCAGCTTACATCCAGGACCTGGTTCAACCCGACATCCCGACCCGCACTCTCCGCTCTGCATGTGATAAACTGCTTGTTCGTCCTCGCTGAGAGCAAAACACTCGACTAGATCTCCACTCTTTGCTGTCCTGCTCCTAAATGGTGGAAGGAGGTCTCTGAAGACATCAGGACCACAGAGAGCCTTCACATCTTCAGACCTCTTCAGACTCTACCTCCACTAAAACACTAACTGTAGCACTTACATTGGACTTATAATGGTTCTTATCTACAGCAAGTTGTAAATTGGCTTATTTGAGGAAATTGCACTTTCTTGTTTCTTGTTCTTCTGAGTTTGTACCTTATGGTTGAAATGCACTTTTGTAAGTCGCTTTGGATAAAAGCGTCAGCTAGATGACATGTAATGTAAAAAATGAAATTCCAAGCCAGCAATTGATAATTTGCTCATGGTCAGCATGTGTCTCACTAACAAGAGGTTCCGGTCAGCCATTCGCACTTCCTGCTCAATACATGCTGTGTTTACAACATGGCGGCATTTAGGAGTCATTAATAATAGAATTAACTTGAATTTCTACGGGTAGAAGTGTTATTTTATAATATATACCATACATCTTAGTTTATAAAATCACTTGTCACGTCACACGTTTGTAACCAATGTCTTGTTTCAAATACTCATAAGACGTGAGAACAAACGGCTCTTAGTTATACCGTTAACTGAGGGGAGTCAAACTCCAAACTCATAAGGGGGGTTCTGCGCGGATGGGGGGGGGCACAGTCAGCAACACAGCAGGGGACCTGCCGGCACTGCGTTGGCAGCCTGATCTCCAAAACCTGTTCGTAAAAATGTATACGAAAATCTTGAAGATACAAATTCGTAGTGATACATACTAAATAAACTGATGACGTCACCCTGTTCAAAGTGAACGGGGACCTGCACCCCGTAAACACACTTTGTGAAGTCTAACCATGTAAAATAAACGTGTTACGATTGCATTAACGAGAAATCAATGTTAACTTGTAAGAATAGAATACTGACCCTAACCCCCTCAAAACATCCAACATGGCGGAGAGACGTTTCTAGTATCTGTACCTCTACTTGAGTAATGAATGTGAATACTTTTGACACCTCTGGGTCTAACGCATGCACTCACTCACAGAGGGACTTTTTAGGAATAGCAGCTACTTTTATAGAAATACAATGTATGTCTTTCTGTAATTCTCACAATAGCAAAGTCATCCGGCAGGCCGCACTGGACCCCCCCAGCGGGTGATTATAAACGCTTTACATTTGGTTTGGTTTTAAGGCGCCAGGAGGAAGCAGCATCAAGCTGTAGGGGTGAACAACGTGTCTACTGTAACCATCTTACCTCTCATGCATCAGCTACTCTCCCATCTATAGATTCTTTTTGATTGCAGACTCATATATTCATATAAATGCTGATGAGCTCGAGGATCAGTGTAAATTGGAAACCAAAACATATGCTACTTTTTTCTTGTGTGATCGTGGAGGAGTGCAATTGTAGGTGCCGTTGCTCTGAGAATTGTCGTTTGCACTCTTGTTTTTGGATTAATTTCAAGAATATCTGAAAATCAAACAAATTAATTCAGTTGTCAAACTGAAGTTCTTCCCCACACTGGTGGCACACATGGTGAAACTGTCATTCAAAATTGTGGCTGTGAAGTCCTGTGGCGGGGGGACCGGTTATTACACAACTTTCTGAGGCAGACCAATATGAGAGGCAGTGATAATCTGATTGGCTCATTGTGATTGCCTCTCAACGGCTCTCAACATGTCAACAATACATTATTTTACAGGCATTGTTTTGGTAAATGTGGTATTGCAGTGACCCACAGGATGGAGTTATCTTTGCATAGAATTGCTACGCAAATTATTCGCGCCACAGGATTACATGCAAAGATTATGCTCCGATGTGATGAGACTGGAGTGACGCGAATTTGCAATAGCGCAGCATATCTGTCACTTAGAATTCCTGGCAAATTCACATAAATTCAGGCAAAGTTATTCTGATCCGCATTAAGCGGCCAAACGCTAAATAAAAAAGAAAGAAAGAATTGAAACGTTTCAAATCTAGCAACAAAATGGCGTGACGGCATGGTGCATACGCCTACTGGGATTGAGCAGGTGCCCCTCTCGTCACTGACGTCCTGTAAGCAGTTGCGAATCCGAAAAAATGGAGGGTAAATGAATAGTAACGTTAGCTGTGTGTAGCTACCCCTAGGACAATTGTATTGTTTAAGGAGACACTGCCACTAAATATTAAATCATGTCGCAGGATGTTTGCTCAATAATAACGTGTTGGTGTCTTAGCAGAGAAGTATGATGAGGAGGCGATGCAATCCGGGCCCCAACACTACTTTCCTTTTTTTTGTTAGGGCTGGCTCAGATGAGCCCTGAACCATCCCTTAGTGACGTAGCGATAGCGGTACAGTGCCTTTGGACTTCCCACGGTGCCCTGATCTCCTCTCTCCTCCTCTCCATAGTCCATTCTCATTACATAATTCACGTTAGGGATTCTTCTCTCCCATCGCTGTCTGCTTATATTTCTGCAGGTGTCAAATCAGTCTATTTTAACGCTTTGGATCTTATATCCAACCAACAGTTAACTTTGGTTACTCAAAACAATGACAAAAATGTTTCTATGACGTATACAAGTCCCATTTTTGTCGACCAAGGTTGCTTGTGTGTCTTTATTGTACCAATGGGACAGTGGTAAGTGGGTTTATTTTACCCGCCACTTCAAAACCTAAATGTCACTATAGCGACACATCGTAGTGTATCAGTCTTTTGAACGAAAAAGAGACACAGACATCTTTCAAGGAACAATGTGTAATGTTTAAAAAAATATGGTTGGTTTATTTGACCCTACTGTAACAGGCATTATAATTCATTTACATGAATCATTTCCATGTTAAACTTCTTCGATGTCAATGGACCACAGTGTACACCCAAATAGGAACAGTGCTATCAACAACACATTCATTTGCTTCTCTTCCTACAAATAGTTTTGACACAGTATAGTATTCATTTATCCTGTCAAATACTGGGTTAAGTGGGTTTCTATTCTGAACTCACAAAGTGATTTATAGTTGTTTTATAAGAATCTATGGATACAGACAGTCTAATACAAAGTCCATCCAGCATATACTTGTCCATAATACTGCTTCTATAATAGCTTATTTACAATCTACTGGAAGCAAAAAAAACTGCTATTGAACAAAACAAGCTAGTGGTCACTATTCAAAAGGGAACCATAAACAGAACAGAACATTTCTATTGGTTGTGCTTTGTAACCCCAAAAAACCCAATTGATTTTTAGAAATGGAACATCTGTCTGAGGCACCAAAAAGAAGTGCTAATAACATCCATTTAACGTTTTCTCATTGAGATTCACAACAGCTATGCATAGGACAGGGTGTACAAATGGTTCTTTTCTTATTCATGTATTTATATATTTATAAAGTTATTACAGGGTCAACCGGCTTCATCTCGGTGGTAACGTTGTGTTGCACAACAGAAGTCACGGAGGAGTCACGTTTATTTGACCATGCAAAAGCCCATTAGGATTTGCCAGAAAAGGTCACAGGAGAGATTTGTTGGACAAAGTGTGGCGGTAAAAGCTTTAACAGACACGGTTAGTGTTTCCTCACTAAAACATACACAAGATTAGGGCGTAGCCTATGGATGAATAGGGTAATCAAGACAGTGTTGAAATAGACTAGCTGGATAACAACAGAACCCCCCCCTGCCCCCTCATCTATGACCCTCCCTGGCTTCAGATCTAACTGGGCCGGTGTTTGCAGTGTACAGTGTGGTGCGTCTTTGTGGTTCTCACTGTAAGCTAGTGAATGTTCTTGGTTCTGGAATCTGTGACTCTACCGGAGCAGTTTTAAACCGGAGCAGTCAACGTCATTGATAATTCCACGATCCTACTCTAAGGCCAGTGTTCCCACTTACCTCTATCAACCAAAACCCCCTTTTGCTGCCCCTACACAGTGACCTCCGTCTTACTACCTGTGCGGTAGTGCTGAGGGTGCTGCTGTTGCTGGTGGTGTGGTGGAACGTAGTGGAGCTGTTCCATCGTGTGAGTCCGTCTCGAGGCAAACGCTTGCCTCTTTGTTGCTGTCTGGTTCATGCCTAAAGTGTTGGAGTGCCCAGTGGTTCCTGCTTCCGGTGCTCCGCTACCTCCGCCATTGTTAGAGGCACTGGGGTGGGAGTGCATTTTGGTCATCTTGTAGCGATCCATGAGAGGTGTGGTGGGTACGAACACGTCTGTGTGCGAGATGGCGCGTGATATTGACTTATCGCTGCCACGAAACCCACCAGAGATGCTGCTCACCATGCCGCGCTTCAGCGACATCATGAGCTTGTCTGGTGAGAGAAGAGGATCCTGGGATAGGAGACGATCTTGTGAGTAGAGGCGGTCTTGTGAATAGAGGCGGTCTTGAGAGTAGTGACGGTCTTTTGAGTGTAGATGATCCTGTGATATGAGCCGGTCCTTGGAGTATATGCGGTCCTTGGTGTACAGTCGATCTTGGGAGGTGTGGCGGTCCTGTGGTAGAAGACGCTCCTGTGATCGAAGACGTTCAGCAGACAGGAGCTGTTCGTCTGAGAGGATCCTCCCTCCGTATGGTGACATACCATTAGAAGACATGCTGTAATCCTGCTCAGGGGCTCGTTGTGGGGACAGGACGCGGTCCTGAGACATGGCCCTCTGCACGCGACGGGGCCTCTGCCTTTGCTGAGACTGTTGCTGTGAGGGTTGTGACTGGGGAGCGACGTGGGAGATGGAGGCCTGGGGGGGCTGACTCTGGAGCTGCTGCTGCTGCTCCCAGGGCTGCTGAGAAAAAGAGCAATACGGGGTTATTCAGAAGTACTAGGAGGGAGCCATCGGACCTCTGCAGCTCATCCCCAATGTAGCAGCTAAATTCACCCACACTGGCACACTAGGGGCCTCCTCCGCTCGCCTCACTGGCTGCAGTGGCTGCCCGCAACCGCCTCAAAACATTGGTACTCACGCACTGTGCGGCAAAGAGATCAGGTCCAACTCCATCCAGAACATGGTCAAACCTTACGTCCTTGCCCACTCACTCTGCTTTGCACCTGCTTGTTGGTCCCTCATAGGGACACTCAAAAAAAAAACAGTATGTTTGCTGTCCTGCCTTCCACAATGGAGGAATGGACTCCCCACTGACGTCTGGAAAGCACAAAGCTCAGAGAGCTTCCAAAGCAAACTGAAAACGCACGCAACTTGATTCTTGCTGTTTTGGTTCGGCTCCCTCTTGATTGAATGCACTTATTGTAAATGGCTTTGGATAAAAGCGTCAGCTACATGATGAATGTGAATGTAAAAAGCAAAGAACATGAACTTTTTCAGGCTTACACACCTAACTGAAGCATTTATTTACCCACCTGGTCTTGACCAATTTTGAGAACATGCAACGGAAGAGTTCCTCTTGCTGCTAGATCGGGTAGGTGTCGCTTACGAGTGTAGTAGTCGTCGACTTCTTTATCTGCTGCAGAGTGATATGAATAAAAAACAGAAGCAAGACGTGAAGAAGAGATTGTGGGAGAGAAAGCGCTGGTGGATTTAGAATGCAAGGGGAGAAGTTGGATAAAGTGGGATTGGAGAACATTGCGCACAATGCAGAGAATAATGTTGGCAGACCCATCTTGCACCTGTCCAGGCTCACAAAGGGAAGTAGAAAAGAGCGACAGAGGAACAGTCGGATTGTATTACATGCTAGGCACATCACATCAACACATCCAGGCTACATTTAGGATTCTACAGGCGGCTCCTGCTGTGGAGGCAAACTTTTCAAAGGTCACGTCTATAAACATGATATCGTAAGGACACAGACACTTTCTATATGCTAGAAAGCGCATTCTATTGTTTAACTCTTATTGGTACACTAACCCTAACCCACACAAACAGACATGTCTTAACGTTCTTGATAATGATTTATTGTTACATTCTTTTGTACCAACAAATTCAACATGCATTTAGAAGCAGATCCCAAAGACAGCAGCACATTTCCAGAGACAATAGTGTGTAGGAGTGAAAGTAACATTGAGTGCATGCAACAACACAAACACATGCACAAACACTGTTGAGTACAAAACCACACACAGTGACGCATATTCAGAATTCCATTGTTATGAATACGTAAAAAAATGATTTCTTTCTGAACACGATCATCAATGTTTGACCATCGTACCAAGGTGAAATTTATTTGGAGGGAATAAGGCTGTAAGGCAGAACTCTCCACCTCTAAAAATGAGTGGATGACTGAGCTTGTCATTTTCAATAATGGGTGCTGCAGCGTTCACGCCACCGGTCAAGATTACACTCAGCCAAAATCCCCCTCAGCAGCGAACCATGGCTGCTTTCTGCAAATGGATTCATTATTAGAGATAATTAAAAATAAATGCTCCTTTCTCGAGCAAAACAGTCTTAAGGATTTGGGCGAAATGCAAACTAATCCACTATATTACCATGGTGTGTATCTTGTGATGTATACAGGCCTTTGCTGCAAGAAGCTAAACATTTTTCTCCTCTGCAGACTTTAGTTTAGTAACGAAAAGATACTGCATTGCCTTTTAGCTATTTGCTGTCTCTTCTTTGGGATTGAGTTTATGACAATTTCGTTGATTTGATTCATTTTGCTGCCTAAACTGATATATTAATTGTTCCCACAAAATGACGGTAACGTTTGAATGTATTTTTTACCAATGCGGCTGAGGACCAATAACAACATCGTACAAACCGGTTTTGACATTTAGATCAAAATGGCGCCTGGCAGCTACGAGTGAAAGTTGTAGATCGTCTTCCTTCATTTTGACTGCATGTCAATGTCGGCATTGACATGCAGTCATGATGAAATTACACAAACCTGAAGGAATATATGCGTTTCACTCTGATAAGATCATGGGTTGAAAGTACCACTAAATCAATACCAAGCCGGGCCAGAAGCGGCTAAATGTTCCTATAGAGTCCGAGAGGACCGTTAGGTGGACAGAAGGTGGGACATCAATGGTCATCGTTCCTGGACATGAAGGTGTTTCCTGAATCTGATTCTAGGCCCTCTCCTTCCCCTGACTGACTGATTGAACTGCTTCAATCTACCCAAGAACGTACATGAGGACTGTTTATCGTCCTGCTAGCAAATCCTTTTCAGACCTGAGACACGGCCGAGCCGCTCAGAGAGTCTCAGTCAGGAGTCAGGAAAGCAGACTCAATGCGGGGCGTTTGTCATGCAGGGCATCAGGGCATCAGGGCATCAGGGCATCAGGGCAGGGAGCCTAATATTGCATCAGTGCAGTTAACGTGGACCTACTGAGTTTCTTCAGAGACGAGAACCGGTTGAGGTCGGCTTTGACGGCTGCCTCATAGGAGGGAGGCAGGTGTGACAGGCTCTGGAAGGAGCGTGAGAAAGACAAGTCGTAGGGCTCCGTCTGTGAGGTCAGGATGCCGCTTATCCGATTGTTTTCTGGAGACACATACATACACATACAGACACAGAAGAGGGAAGAGAGAAAATGGGAAGGCTGGCTTCCCTTGACCCAGCACCCCCCTCTCCGCTATCGAAGACCACCTGTTGAGGTAGAGAGGGTACGAATCGCAGCTGGAGCTTTAGTGCTGGAAAATAATTCCTGCAGAGATCTGAATAAATCTCAGGTAAAACAAAGTTTCTGGGATAGAAATGATTTTAAATACTGAGGTCAGAATGTAATGAGAACTCAGGTTTAAAGAGTTTAGTCCTCGTCGTGTTTCTAGTGTTGTAACAACCTGAGGAGAAATTCACATGAGCAACATAACATTGTTTAGAAGGCTTGTTTGAATTTCCCATGATGGATCATTTAGATGATTTCAATCAACTTAACAAATCCCACTGAGATATAAAACATGACTGCTTTATCTTCTAAAAGGATGTTAGGCTCACGACAAGTTGAATCCTTATAGTATTAATGTTTATTATTGGAATGAAAGGAAATATTCATCGCTGTTCAGATTTCTCAGTCCAGGTTGTGCAGCACTGAAATGTCTCCCTGGTCTTCTGGCTTTTCTCCTCACTAACAATGTAACTCATATTAGCAGAATACGTGGAAACGTTTTGGATGGAGAAACTGTTGTTATTGTGTCATTCAAGTGAAGCAGCAGAAGAACCCAAAAATGAACTTAAAAGGACTATTTTAGACCGGCCAGCTGTTTCCGGTTCCAGTTGTTTGGACGAGTTATATGTCACCATGAATGAGATTTTATTTCTAATTAGATAACAATGATCTGCCTGACCCGTAGCTTGTCAGACACGGTAGTTTGGGCAGTGACTCTGCACTTACATCTATGACACTTTAATTATCCACAGTGCCAGTTTTGCCCATTTGCAAGCACCCCCTTAATTATAATACAATTTATTTTCAATATTAACTCGCAGGGAGTAACATGGTTCAGGTTTGGTTTTAACAAGTTCAGAGTGAGAACATGCGTTTGTCTTTTTGACAAGCAGAAGTAAAAAACGAGAAGCCTGCCAACGTTTGTATAAGAACAAACATCCTTTTAACCTAAAACTAAATTCAAAATGAAACGTTGTTGTTTGGACAGACGTGAAAGGTGACGCTGTGTTTTGACGGAAGGAAACAGTGGTTCAAAAAAGGACAAAAACAGGACGACACAGCAGACAGCCGAGTGACCCTGCTGCTGGGACGTGATCTGTGCAATGGCCCGTCGGTGAGCTGATGCGATACGATGCCAGTTGAATGCACGGGGATGACTGGACCGAAGCCCTGTTTTATTCTGCTTTATCTCTCACATCCAGCGACATGCTCATTCACTGCTGCCTTCCCTGCTCCATCCATCTTATCAGTCGTACCAGGCTGCCAGCCATTCCTCCGCTCCTCACTTCTCTCTGGTCCATCCAGTATTCCCCTCTCTCATTTTGTCCTCGACACACAGCAGCACTGTACATTGTGGCAACACACCGGCCTCCTATGGAGCGATACGAGTTTAGTAACTGGACGGAGAGAAGTACGAGAAGGAGGAGAAAATATGGACGTAAAAAGGAAGAGTGAAGTATAATTTAAGTAAGAATATAGGAATGAAACAAGGGAGAAACGTTAAGGGAGGGTCAGGGAAGGGAAGCAGGAGACAGCTGGGGGTCCTCAGCGACTGGACTGTCTGCCGCGCTGCATCAGTAAGGGCATCATACTGTGGCATGCTGTTATCTCCACCAGACACACGTTCCACTGCTTCAGTTCACACAGACCTGACTCAAGAAGTCTTTGGGTTTCGCACTTATTTTCTTATTGCAAACTAATAAAATGAAAAGAGCTAAATGGCCGATTCACTGAAGTCAGTAACAAATATTGCTGGTGGCTGGTACTGGGGGGCGCGTTCCTATCGCTCCCACAATAAGTCCCATAAACACCTCTTCTGTCATTCTGCTTTCTGTGGGAATGTTGACTTGTGCTCTGGTGGAGTCGCTCCGACCAGTTAATGTTTGTCATGACTGACAAGAGGAGTTTACTTCTTTAGCCGATTAAGGAAAGTGACCTTTGTTAGAGGAATAACCTTTAAAAGTTTGGTTTTGTTGTCCTCGACAACCCACGTATCTTCTTTCAATACCACGATATCTGCATGAGGTTTGAATTATTCCTGTTTTCATTAGAAATGTCCTTTAGCTCAATAAACGATTGTAAGATTCTCAATAGGGTCAAATGTGTAACTACAAAAACAACAATATGGTCTGATCTAGTTTCAGATTCAGATAACTTCATTATTAACACACACAGCTGCTGGGTAAGTCTAATGGAAAAAAGTCCATTTGAAAGCCGGTCGTCTTCAGCGTCCCGAGTCAACCGACACGAAGCGCAGACCTGTGGAGCGCCGGTCGGCGGCCTCGGTCAGTAGGAGCTCTTCTCTACCGCCGACCCACATTTACTATCGTTTGTTTAGTCAGCTGCTTGTTCTTTTTTCTGGGATTTGTTTGCAATAAGAAAACTGTAGTAGAATACAAAGGAGATTTTCATACATCTTTCACATAAAAATCTAAATGTACTTTCATGGGTGACAAAGATTCGGCCATTTTTTTCCCCATATGACAAATTAACATTACTTTCTTTTTCAAACAAGGAATCATGAGCAAAAGCTACTTAAATCAGGTCTGAAAACACAGCGATTATATTATAAGACAGGAAGCCACAAACAAAGGGGTTGTTTTGGGGTGCAGTACACAATGTGTGCTGGAATAAGATGAATGATCTTTTACATTAGTTGTATGTACGACTTACCACGTCTCAACGATCGGTGAGCTACCAACCCAAGTGGAAAAAAAAAGATTTTAGAAACACGTTGATGATGACGACCACAGAACCTACACAGTCCCGTCTCGCCGCACTTGTGTGTGTGTGTGTTTTTGGACCACACAAACAGGGGCCATTCATTCAAGCTGAGCCCCTGAATGTCTGAGCGCAAGCAAGTCCTTTTTTTAAATTTGGAGGTGAAACAAACAGAATATAAATCAAATGCCAAGATCAGAGTGATTCCATAACTACAGAAAGCTGTGAATATTCAGCTTATGGCGTCTTTTCTTTCCTTTCATCTCTCCAGCCATCACCTTGCATCCTTATTCAACCTCTACGCTTCACATCTGCCAGTCTCAGACCTCAGGCGCGCTCAAACTAACAGCTGCATGACATCAGTAATACGGAACCATTGACGGTGATGAGCACTGAGGACTGAACGACCTCGACGGCAATTGTATTCCCTTCATACAAAGAGAAAGCCAGCAACTCCGGTCTGATCCCGCTTACAGAAGGAAGTAACACTGCTGCAATTCAATTTTCAACAAAAAGTCTTATTTTCTAATGAGAGAATGGAATTTGTGGTACGACGAATTCAAAGGAGGACAGTGTCAAGCGCCATTTCACACATCCATGTCATCCAATAAACTGAACTTAACGCTCCGGTCCAGCTTTCATCTCTGAACACAGCAGTGAATTCTAGTTTATCTTACCATTCTTAGGTGTGCGTGTAGGGCTACCTAGAGCCACATGGTCATAGTTGTGCTGATGAGTACCTGCAATGACAAAAAGCAATGACGGATCCCATCAGTGTCCACGAGGGAAGCTCTGTTTCAGATCAAATACAGACTGTCCGCAGTGTGAGATACGCTTTTCATATCATTTATAGAACACATTCATGTAGAGAATTTTGTGCATTTTAAAATACATATTATAGTGTACACAGGTCACGTGGCCACATTAGCATTCGGTTGCTCAAGTAATTAGTGGGTGAAATATCCCTTTAATTTAATATTGAATCCAATAAAGCAAATGGAAATGATACGAGATGAGATGTTTTTGGATGAGTGAAAGTCACCCTGCAAAACCTGTTAAAATCAAAGAGAATCCAGTAAAAACCTTACAGAGAAAAAACAGGTCTGCTAACAATAGTTACATCATGTCCCGGGACACACAGGGGAAAACCCCCACAAAAAGTACATTCATCATGAAATAATATAAATATTCAGCTTAACAAACCAAGTAAACATCCAAATGAAAGACAATTAAATACATTTACATTTATCAACTTTACAACAAACAAATATCTTTAAGAGCAGTGAAATCCTCATGAACTGCACACGGAGACTCATGTAAAGTCCAAGTAGAGATTTTGCCAGAAACAAGTAAGAAGCTCATTTTTCCCGCAAAAAGTTGATCCAGGACTCAAAAACCAAATTTAAAGGTAACTGATTCAATGTTTTTTAAATTCAGATGCACCCTGGGGGACGTTAACTTCTCCCTTCCGCTTTGGTTCAGAACCATAGACTATAGGTATTGCTTGACAAATAACTTTCAACCTTTAAAACAAAAGTGAGGTAATTAACTACGGTTCTATCAGTGCTGGATGCCTGCCAGAGGTTGTGTTTTACACTGGATATCTTCCGTCTGGTTGTTATATATTGTATAACATGAACCTTGACAGTCTATGAGTTCGGGTGTCGCCCTGAGATCAGTTCTGTTCTGTCAGGATCTCTGTCTTTTGCCTCGGCTTTTCCCCCATGTGTCTGTCATCCCCCTTGTTTTGCCATGTGCTTGTTGTGGGTGTGTTCTTGGTCCCACCTCCAGACGCCGCCCATTGCCACACCCCCTGGCAGTACACAGCTGAGGCCAATGGGGACCCGTCAATGGCTGTATATCAACCCCGGCCCTGCAGGCTTTGTCGGGGTTGTGTGTTTGGTCTTCTTCCCCGGTCGGTCCGCTGCCTGACCTTGTGCGTTACTGACTTTGTCTTTCTCCGCCTGTAGAGTTCCGGTACTCCACTTGCCTTTGACGTCGACTCACGGGTTGAATTATCTTTTTGGGGCAGCGAATACATTTGGTAGCCCGATACTGGCCCCTGTAGTTACATTTGGGTCTTAATACTTGTTCTCCTGTGACACTGGTGAGTTCACAGGATTCTGAGTGACCCAGAACTATGGAGGTCATCCAGAATACATAGAACTGTAGTTAAACACATAACTTCTGTTCTATTTCATCCCTACTGGCCGCCAGGGGCAGTGACATAGGCAAGGCCAAATTTGGCCGCAACGGTTTTGCCATCCAATGGGAGACCGGAGAGAGTCCTGGTGTCTCTCTAGCATGTTTGCAGTTTCCTCCGAAGGTGTAATTAAAAGACAGCGGGAGTGGGAGCCACAAACGGTACCAGCAGGTGGAGGTTCAAGCGGCCATACATTCAACTGCAGGCGTGCCAGTGCCATGCGAAGGACCGACTCCAACCAGCTGTGAACGGCCTCCTCCGAAGAATTCTGAGCTAAGGAACGGGGAAAGAGATTGGTTGATGCTGCCACAAAGACTGTGTCCTACTCTGGACACCAGGTCCACTGTGGCTCAGAAGATGCAGTTCCCCGCTTTAGGGGGGAGGGTAAGGAGAAGGGATGTCTGAGCTAACTGTCAGCAGATCTACTCTCGGAGGCAGCCCACTGCTCCTAGCCTTCTTGTGGGGGTGGTGGGGGCCTTCTCTTGACCAGTGTTTGAAGCGGGTGGGATGGGTTGGATTCAGCGGCCCCAATGGGAGGAAGTTGGCATTACCCATCAGGTGTCCGTAGCAGGCCAAGCGGACCGTACGACGTGAGGCACGAGGGGGGTGCAAGTCATGGCCAGCGTCCTCCTGGTGGGAAGCCTCACAGCAGGAAAAATGAAGCATATTCATGGTACTGGGGGAATTCAGTCCCCTTAGTTAAAGTGTCAATCTGAGCAGGCTCCACTAAACTCTACGGCTGAGAAGTAGTCGAGAGACGCAGTCGAGGATGGTGACAGGGGAGCGAGAGCTCTGCCGTCACCAGCATGGCCCCTATAGATAGTGCTGACGCAGGGATAAGGCAAGAAAATGGTCCGCAATAATGAGAGGGGAGCAAGAGCACTTTCACCAGGACACTCACTAATCTTGAAATCACCCTACTAGTGTGGCAGCAGTCCGGGCGAAGAGAGCTCTACCATCACCAGGACGGCCGCTCTAGACAGTTGGTATCTACTAGTTCGCTGAAGCGAGAGCACTGTGCTTAACGTGGGAACAGGCCGAGGCAACAGTCAGCGACCGTGAGACGGGAGCGAGAGCGCCAACTGACAGCCTCTTTATTTACACTTGAGTAGCCGGAGCTACAGCTCTGCTAAAAGTGGGTAAACAAACACTTCCATTTGCACTCTGCTGCTGTGCCTGTTTAAAAATGCATTAGAGCCAACTGCTGAAACATCCATTTACATCTGTCACAGAAAGGAATGAGGTGCGAGAGGCCCACAAATCACAGCTTCCAATATTCACTCAAGTTATGGAGATGGATGGGATGTGTCATCTGTGTGTTGCTTCACTGACTTCCTCTGGTTCATGTAAAAGCTTCACAGTGATTATTACAAAAGAGATGATTCAAAGGGGAGAATTCATGGTGATAAGAGAGTGTATCCTGAATATGTGAAATGAACAGCATTTTGAGATGCAAAAGCTTCATTAGTTGCTGTTCCTGAAACACACAGATGTGTTTCCAACAGAAACAAACGCTTGAAAAAAGTGTTGAAAAAAGTTCAATTTCAGGGTGAATGTCATGTTTTATTTAGCGACTTTGCATGGCTGTTCCTTTCTAAAAATGTAAATCCTTGCTCAGATAAATCCTTCTCAAATATACAGAGAGTGCCTTGCATAAGTATTCACTCCCCTTGGACTTTTCTGCATTTTATCATGGTGGAACCCCAAACCTCACATTTATTTCGTTGGGGCTTTATGTAATGGACCAACACAAAATAGTCATCAAGAAGTTTACACTTTACACTAAAGTTTACACTTTTTCCTCTGTCCACACAAGACAAGGACCCGGGGACCAAAAACCCAGAGCGTGAGGAAGCTTTTATTGCGTTTAACCCTTTTCCCAAAATTACTTATTAATTCTGGAATGTTGCCTCGATGTCTCACGGGTGGTCGCACTTTCTACATTAAAAAGGCAGGGGGATGGCGGGGGGGCAGAGAGGGCAGACAAGAGGAGAAATATTGTTTGGGAAATATCAGTCAAAGGGAGAGAATCCGCTACATAAGCCAGTGATCACAAGACAGCCCCCGACCACAAGACCCACACAGGCCCCCAAAGGAAATGGCAGTGACACCTAAGCCGAGACGGCGCTGTGCATAGAAGTGCATATTTCCACATCTGGACTAGTTTGCATATCATATTTTATAATTTCTTGGGAGTCGTGTTTGGGGTATTTTCAAACAGATTAGTGCATATTGTAGCCAAGACTCTAATGTGTGTGTGTGTGTGTATATATATATATATATATATATATATATGTATAATCATTTAGCTTGTGGAAGTTGAATTTTGCTCAGTTTTGGTCAGTTTGGCGGCCTTTAGTTTGAGGTCATCACATCTTCTATAGTTCTACAGCTCATGTCTGCTAATGAGCTAAGACCAATGAACGAATACGTTTTAAATTGATAAACTTAATATTTTCAATGAACTACTGAAAATATTGTCATTGTTCATTAATAGATACGTCCAATAATCACTGGAGCTGCACATTTAAAGCTTCCCTTGTTCACATAAGTGCATAAAATCCCAGTCCAAACTGTTTCTGTCTATATTGCCAGTGAGTATTGCTCTTTATCTCAACCCCAAGCCACCAAAGGCCAAGTGGTTTCTTGACATGTCGCTGCCTCTGTAGCTTAACAAATGTGCCGCGATAGTCTCAGAAAAGGGCTGGAGGTCGAGATGGACTTCATTTGCCGTTCATTTTGAAACATGATAGACAGTGAACCCTCCGTGGTCTATGGTGACCCGTTTGCTAAAAGGCAATAACAGACCATTTTATTCAAGTAATGCTTTATGATGTTCCAACAGAGCTCATCTGGCATCACTCTGTTCTCTCGCTACAAAGCCAAAGGCAATCTGGCTTCAAAGGTAATAATCTGTTCTGAAAATCAACAGTGGAAGAGTTGGGCATTTCAATGGGATGTAGGAATGAAAAAAGCCATTTCACCAAACAGTTGAATGGCATACCAACCGAGTCCATTTGTGGGCTGTTGAAAAGCAGACTTCTTTTGAGAGGATGCGGAAGACGAGGAAGAGGTAGAGGAGGAAGAGGAGGGTCCGTATATCTTAAGCAAGGATAAGCACAGATTTATCTGATGTCTTCTTAAAATAGAAAAAGTAACATCATCAAAACTGCCTTTATCCATGCCTTTAGAGACCAGCCCTCCTCTCCATTGAGACGGATACAGTCGAAGACTGTGCACACCATAGAAGTCAGGACAGTCATTTTAATGAAACGGGTAACACAGAAAAAGCTTCAGTGAAACATTTCAGAACATACATTTCAAAGGGCAGGGATTACAACAGGAGTGAAATGGGACAAGTTTGCTTTCAAGGCACGATGAAAAAACATCAATGTGGGCCTGACAAAACAAGCAGGCGGTACAGAACATCTTGTTTACATTCAGTATGTCCTGGTGTGCGTGGTTTTCATTAATTAAAGGCTACTCATTCTACTCATGAAATGGGATTTTTGCTTGAATGCAAAACTCTGGTACATTTCTTTACACCGTTTCCTTAAAGCCATTCCCACACCTACACATCACTGACTAGAACAGAAGCAGATAGGCTTTGTTTCAGTGGACTGTCCAACAAGCTTCAAACGGCGTCATCTAGGCTGAGGACGATACACTGTGAAGGGTTAGGGTCGGACCGTAGTTTCTTACAAAGCTCCAGCAACACTGGAAAAACCAAAATGGATTGGAAATAAAGTGTGTGTGTGTGGAACTGAATTGAGAACTATTCACTATGGCAGTAGACCATCACCGGGCTGCTCCACAACCTGCGCATCCGTCAACCCGTTGAGACTGCTCTGAAAACCAGTGAGAGCTTCAATCATCCAGGAAACGTCCTCTGCATGGGGCTCTCTTGTGTGTGTGACATAGTGTAATTCATTCTTCCATAAGAGCCAATCGATCGATCGATGTGACGACAGCTGCCTGCTGTCGTTTTCTTTGCACATTTCTTTTTGTGTTTGTGTAAAATAAAGATGGGGATTTGTATGCCACTGCAATCAGAGCATGATGGGGATGTATTTTTGAATGAGCCAATTGCAACAAGTGTTATTTCTTAGCAAATCTGCAACTCTCGTCTGAACAATCCGTTTTTACTTAGCAGTTATTTTTGTGTAGCATGACACCTGTCATCACACAGATAGGAGGGCTAAATGTCAAAGGGCAAATACACAGTAGAAAGAAAACAGGATCAAGTTGTTATTTATTAGATTGTTTCAATTTGTAATAAAAGTGAAAAATACAGTCAAAGGGAAACCTGTAGTTATTGTTATATTAAATAGTCTATTACTGTGAAAATGGGAAATTCTGACAATTAAATATTTGACAATCGCTGGGTTTATGAATGATACGTATTTTATGAGTCAAATATTGCCCATGTGTCAGCAATAGATTGCAGCAGGTTGCTGGGAAAGAGACTTTTAGTGTTTGGATATTGATTGTTTTATATTTTTGGCTGATGCCACCTGACACAAAGCATCTAGTCCCCCTCTGGGTCTATCCCCAGACACACACACACACACACACACAGACACACACACACACACACACAGAGATACACACACACTATGCCTCCAAATGTTTGGGATAAGTCAGAGGAGTTTGAATATGAAGATAAACCAGGCAGTTTTGGAGTAAGGGGAGAGGAGAAGAAGAAGAAGGGGGAAAAGTCCCAGGTTTTTCCTGCACCCTGATGCCGCAGGACTCCAGCCATGCAGCACTTTGATCCATCACCATTGATTTACTATAAGCTTTTCATTGCTGCTGCCTCCCACACGTCTACACAAAGCCCCAGGGATGCGTTACCCAGCTAGAGCTCTGAACAAAACGCACACCAGTTTAAACCCAGAGACCGTATAAACCTTTATAGTTTGGAGTACATTCATGATAAGTATAGGCAGTGCCGTGGTAGATACACGCATGAGCATGAATTGCAGATGTTTACACATCAGCGCACTGATAGCAGCCGCAGATTTACAGGAAATCCCCTTTGAGAGAAATTCACAAACAGATCGCAGGTCAGTATCAGAATGCTAAAGTACACGTTGTATCAGTAGCAGCAGAGTGAGGGCACACAGATGAACATTGCAATGTTTTATTCCATCCACTGTAGTTTGCACTGTTTATTTTCAGATAAACAAGAATATATTTTGTACATTAAAATCACAGCTTAAAAATCTGCTTTCATATGAACAAAAAGTTGAATTTATAAGCCACAAAGCCCACATGCAGCCCGGAATGACCTGCAGCCAATGTGAGCGATTATCAGCAAACACTTTACAGGGATTACAAGGCATAAAGAACATGATTGCTTCCTAATATTATATATTATAATATACTGGGTTTTCTGCATTCCAGTTTGCTTCTTTTTAATTTATTTTTATTATCTCTATTAAAATCAAATTGCGTTAACATTATATAAATCACATATTTGCTGTGTGATGATTTGTAAACTTGCTGTCTTTGTTTTTATATCTCTAAAACAAAAAAGCAATGATTTATTTATTTAATATTTTCCATTTTAATAATATAAAAATCTCAACTGTAAATCAGATTAACACATTCATTTTATTTTAATATTGGCAGTTGTGATATTAAGACTGACTGACTCATATATTTTGATAACCTTTTCTAGATGTAATACTGTGGTTTAGACCTCATAAAGAAGTTAAATCAGCACTCATTGCACCCATGACATTAACTTACTATATGATAAGCAGGACTAGTGGAAATTCCTACACAGAGACCGTGAGCATTTATTCTTTAGTCAATAATTATTGATGGTATAATAAATCCATCAGATATTTAATGCCAGGCTGACATTTTATGCAGTGTTTCCTCCAGAGGACCCTCTGTCACCTCCTGCATCAGGGGTTTTGTCCGTATGCCTGGTGGGGGGGGGATGATGAGGACGATGCAGATGTCCTCCTGTAGTGTTGGTCTTGGTGGACAAAGTGAACTCAAGACTAAACCCTGACCTGTAACAGTGGGATCTTCTTTGCTCTTGTTAAGGCGATCCGGGTAGACTGACCCTTCTTATGGCGGTCTATTTGTTATTGTGCTCTGTTAATACAGCATAAGATGATGCAATTGGTATTAAGAAGAAACAACCCAGAGATAGCAGAGTGACAACATGGTGCTATGGAGACCGAAATGTCTCTGTGTGGTTATTTAGAACTGAAATGAGACGAGAAGCCTCGACGCCCAAGCATTAGCTCTCCTGACTCATTATGCTGTATATTTATTGTGTGTGCAGTAAACGCGTGAGGCTAAGGAGTTCTCCTGGAAGAAGCATTTTCCTCAGTGATGCACGACAAAATAATTGTCTCATTTCACCGTTGCCAACTAAAGTAGTCAGTTATTTCGATGCGCAATTTTCTTGTAATGCAGAAAGAGAGGAGGGAAATCGAAAGTTTTAAAATTGTCTGTCAATGTCGGAAACATTAAGAGATAAGACGTTTAAAGCTGGGCCAAAAAATATAGAATCTAGATAGCAGATAAAGTGTAAACAGCATTGCTTATGCGCTATAATTGGAAAAGAGACTGTGCTGCTACCCCTAAACCCGTTTATACTACGATGGCGCACTACGAAGGGGAAGCACAACTCAGTCACACAGTCAGATTTCAGCACAAGGTAACTGGTTCTACAAGAACCAAGCCAGCCGCAGCCCTACTGGCCTTGATAAATCAGCGCCTCTTGAAGTCAATGATATTGACTCATCCCACTAAAATGTCAGCTGCAAAGTGTCAAGTGTTCACAATATACACAGAGCCAACGCAAGGTGATTTGTCTTTCAGAACCAAATTCCAGCAAAAAGACTGCGGGAGACACGTCGCTCTCTTCTAGGCAGCCGATATATTGAGCTCATGAGTCCGGCAGCTCTGAGCGCATTCAAACAAACTACTCTTTAATTCATAGCCACACATGTAATGTTGTAATTTGCTCATTTCTGAGCTTGAAGCATTCAAAGCTTCTATTAGCAAACTGGATGCGTGTTTCACCCCAAAGCCTTCACCTGGCACACACAAACATACAGCACCTCTCCCCTGCTGGGGGTGTTGGATTGCTATCAGTCCCTGAGAAAGCTGCTTACATAAGCGCCCACGACAGCCTCCACGTTAGATCACAGCACCTTACACCAAGCTTTGACAATGTTGCATCTCACTTACGGTTTCTGAAGACGTGGCCACTCATGAGGGTGTGTGAAAGCGAGGGCTGTGCGACTGCTGGCTTGCCTGTGAATAAGTAGAACAAGATGGTGTGGAATGCAAAGGAATAAAATCGGAGGATTTTTGCTGTTGGGCCAGAAAAGTAGTTCAGATTCATTTCGGTTGAAGCTCTATTTTTCTGTGGCTTTAAAAGAGGCGTTAAATATTCATCAGGAGTTGGGATAGTAAAGAATGAAAGCCGATCGAGATGCGATTAACAAAAGTTTACCAGGCTTCTGGCAGGAAAAGAAATGTCTTCATTAACTGCATCTCATGAAGCAACCCCCAAGCTGATAGAGGAGGGAGACATTAAGGGAGGGAAATGAGAGCAAAGATTCAATGAAGACAGGGAGTGTCTTGTTCCAGTGCTCCACACACTACTTGGTGATCAAAGTAGAAAATGCTGTTATGTTCAATAATAATAATAATTTCAAGAATCATTTCTCTTCCCCTGTCCACAAGCTCATTATGGAGGATAATGCTGCAGCAGAGAGGGAAAAGGGTAAAGGAGGAGTACAGAAGGCACACATTGGATAAACCTAAAATACAGCTTGTCTAGTTGCATTCAACTTAATACAATTTTGTTTTTCAGTACAGCTAACCTTTCTATACCCTTTGTGGGTGTTGTGGATGGGCAACAGTGACATTTGCTTCAACCCTGATGAACTTCCCACTGGTGCTGCCCAAGCAGAGGCCAAACCTTGAATAAAACATCATTTGAAACGGACATTGTTATTATATGTTGAAGAAATAAGCTTATTCTATTCAATTACGTTGGTTTTGTAAAGCCCAAAATCACAAACTTGTCTTACCATTGTGTGATGCAAGGCAGAAAACAGTTTTTTAAGTAAGTAACCAATCAGATTACCACACAACAAAAAGGGAGCAAATATAACTTTTATAGATCCATATTGGCAGATACAATCGCTTTGTTTTTTGATTTTACAGCTGGTCAAATTTATTTTAGTTTTGCCTAGAACGCTGTCTGAATGTTATCCTTTTATTTAGCCATCGTAGGTTTTCTACAAAACAAAACAAAGTACTTTTAATGATGTAATGAAAGCTGCTTAGAGGTGGAGTAAACAGGTCAAACATCATCTACAAAATCAATGTTAATTTATGTGAAAACATCCCCTTCAAATAACTGGATTTATTAAAGCTTTTAACCAAAAATACATTTCACAAGACACTTGAACACATCATGACACCCTCATAATCCGCCTTGGCCCAATACTTATTTTCACTAAAGATAGCCTGAACTCATCATAATATAATGAAAAGAGCCTCAGTTAATCGGCTGTTAGCAGTGCTGCTAGCGTTACTAGCTCTCCAGTGTGCGGGAAAACACTGCTCTCCCACTGTATATTTCACGTGACATTATCTGAGATCAGATGACTACAACTGGAATTTTTTTGTATAACCATTTGTTGCAGAATTACAATAAATAAACTGCTTATTCATAAAACCCTTTGTAACTTTAGACTGTGAAAAAAGATTTTTACGGAAAATAACGTATTTTACAGGGTTTTTTCTGGGTTTTTTTTTTATTATTCACAAATCGCTGTAAAAATAAAGATATTATCTGTAAAATAACAGTCCAACTTTAATTTTAGGTATTATGCTAACATGAAAAATCTCTTTTTTTCTCATTTTTTACGAAAAAAATACTGTAATTATTCTAGAACATTTTACTGTTTTCTTAAATTACATTCAAATCATGTAAAATAAGGATCAAATGACTGGCAGCAGCGGCTGCGAAACAAAAAACGTAAAATTAAGGTGAAATAACTTAATTCGAATGAAGTGTGGGAACCATACATTTACAGGAATTATCCTTAACAATTTTACAGAGAAACACATTTATTTCATAGATTTTTCCAGTAGTATTACAATGAAACACCTTTAATAGAGGGTATAGTGTGGATTGTGTGTGTGTATATATATATATACAGTATGTGTGTGGTGGTTAGCCCTGTAGCCTCACAGCCTGGTCCAGGGTTTGACTCCTCCCGGTGGCCTTTCTGTGTGGAGTCGGTATGTTCTCCCCATGTCTGCGTGGGTTCTCTCCGGGCACTCTGGCTTCCTCCCACAGTCCAAATACATGCTCTGGTGATCAGGTTAATTAGTGACTCTAAATTGCCTGTAGATGTGTGGATGTGAGTGTGAATGTTTTTTTGTCTCTTTGTCAGCCCTGCGATTGGCTGGCAACCAATCCAAGGTGGTACCCCGTCTCTCACCTGAAGTTGGCTGGGATGGACTCTGGCCCCCCGCGACCCTGTGTGCAGGATAAGCGGTTTGACAATGGATGGAAGCTTCCAACCCCTAGTTTAATTGAAACATTGAAAATCTTGTAGATTTAAAAAGCTTATCTTTCATGAGAATTGACAATGTGTTACAGGACAAATCAATAAAATAATAGTGTTTTACTGCAAAACCTTTGGTGATATACCTTTTATTAAGTGTTTAACCGTAATACTAAATTCCGATAAAAAATCTATGAAATAAATGTGTTTCTCTGTAAAATTGTTAAGGAAAATTCCTTTTCATTTATGGTTTTCACACTTTTGAATGATGTTATTTTACCTTGATTTTATGGTTTTTGTTTGGCAGCCACTGCTGTCAGTCCTTAGACCTTATTACGTTGTTTTTTTTTACAATGTACTTAAAAGAGCGTCTCCGCTAGGGAAGCTATAGTATGAACATTCAGACACACATCCCATAATACGTGTCTTTTTTGTGCAGTAAGTACAGGACTACAGGTTACTCTGTGGACGCCAGATATTTGTTAAATCTAAGCATTCTTGGGAGCTTTATGGGGTATGGCTTATCGTTTTATGATGTGGTGAGCTTGTTGTGCTTGGATTGACAATGAAGCACAATGTCACCTGGAGCAGAGTGTAGCATTAGCATGAGAGTCTGCATGAGATTTCATTTTGGCTTTAGCCTTTAGCTTTACATTTTTTGCGTTGCCTCAAACGCTCTAAACGCGCCGCAGGACTCTCGTTTGTGGTCAATGTGCGTGTATCGCGTATTCGCGCCTGATGCGACAGAGAGAGGCGTGGTTTATCGCCCTGAAACTGATCAACTTTCCGCCATTGTTTTTTCTCTCCATCAAGCCTAGAAGATACAGCGACTTGTTGTGGAAGTTCTACTCACATCGGACCACCAAACGGTGTCATGATTTTGTACTAAATAGCAGTCATAGTCCGAAGATCTGCCTTGATCTCTGAGTGTCATGGCTCTAGGTGTGGCTTGACTTGCACGAGTACTGTCACCTGTCTGAGACAATTTGGGATTACGAGACATATAGTCAGCTGGGTTGTCAGCTCCCTTTCTGTATTCCACCTTGAAGTTGTAGGGCTGGAGCCCCATCTTTTTTGCGCAGCAGTTCTGAGATGGAGGAGAAGTCTTTGATGAACCTAGAGCATTATTCAGCCATCCCCAGCAGACTGCGGATTTCCACTGAGTTCTGGGGGTCTGCAGCGTGCTGAACTGCAATGACTTTCTTGGTATCCGCAGAAACACCTCAAAGAACTCAAGCCTTGACTTGCTGAAGCCACATTTTTCCCAAGTGTGTGAGTGTGAGACCGCTTTGTTAGAGTCTGTGAAACAGTGCTCGGAGGTTGTTGTCATGGTCGGGCGGGGAGGCTCTGTAGGCAATGATGTTGTCGCTCAAGTTTTTTCACACCTGGGAGATACTGCAGTGTCGGTCATATAACATTTTAAATATACCTCAGTGGCAGAAGATAGACCAAAACTCAGTATCTTGTAGTACCTCAACCCAAGGTATTGATGTACCTGCTGCCTGGAGGAATCTCTAGCTGGTGGTATCCAGCTCTCAAATGCAGTTTGGAAAACCCAGTTGCTCCGTTTAACTTATGTATCACATCGTCAATGGTGGGAGTTCCCTTTCTATAGCTGTGCTAACTTGGAACATATCAGGGTCCGTAGGCTTGGGAGGTGCAATAGGTGAGACCGATGGTGGAGATGGTCATCTCTTAAATGTCATCCTCAACCTTCTGTTGTATGTGGAATGGTAGTGTAGTGTGTGGTAGAGTGAAAACCTTCCAGATTTTCTTCTGGTTCTTGTACCATTTTTCTGCAGATGTATACATATACCATTTATACCATTTATTCCAGGGAGATCCAACAGAACCTGGGTCAGTTTCTATGTCAAAAGCTAGCTTTTCACCTGCTGGTCCGTTGTGGCCACTGTTTAACCAGATGATGTCTGCCTTGTATTAAAAAATCTAACTAACACGGGACAAACGTTTTTATTAGGCTTCTTTGGCAGTAACGAATATTGAGGCATGTTCGTCCTCGAAAGCTACAGTCTCAGTTTTTCCAGCCCTTCACACACATCCATCCATAAATTACTCTTTCAGCTCCCCATTCAACAGCACAATCTGGCTCAGCAGGGGATCCAGTCTCTAGTCATTACAGCCAGTTAATTCTAAAATTATTAACAATGGAGCCATAACAATAGCGCGCACAAAAGTCGACTGTGTGGGTGGACTGCTTTCACGTAGGAGAAAAATATAGAAAAATGTTGGGTTTTTCATAATCAACTGCCAGTCATTTAGGAAGATAAAGGCTTCTTAAAGGGGGACAAAGGCCCACCGTTACAATTTAATTATCATTTTGCTGGAGTTAAGTAAAAAAGATATATAAAAAGGTACGGTTATGACTATGGAGGATTGGCTTCATGAGTAGAAAAGTTTATACTAAAGACAGAGGAGATAGTTGGATTAAAACCCTGACATAATTAGTGATGTATTTTGTGTCTCCTCTGACCTACCGGCTGAACGAGGAATAAAAAAAGACAAAGGATTGTATGAATTTTAACCAGTCTTCTGCGCGTCAGGAAACCTTTTTGACCTTTCACACCATCTATGTTTTTTCTTTGACTACAACTCTACCTCTGGGTCATCAATACATTATTGTTAATCAAAAAGCAAATTCTTTTAGAGCATAAAAATTTGAATAATGTGACAACTCACAGAAACATCATATAGTGTTACTTCCTG